ACCAACCCAGTCCTCAAGTCTCTGAATGAGGATGCCATGATCAATAGTGTCAAAAGCAGCACTTAAATCTAACAGAAAAAGGACTGAGACTTTTCCTGCGTCAGTGTTTAGTTTGATGTCATTTGTTACCTTTATTAGCGCGGTCTCAGTGCTGTGGTGGGGTCTAAACCCTGACTGGAACATATCATAAGCGTTATTGATTATTAAAAATTCTGTAAGTTGTTGATAGGCAGCTTTTTCTAGAATTTTTCCCATGAAAGGCAGATTTGAAATGGGCCGATAATTTTTGAGTGCCAGGGCTTCCAGACTCCTCTTTTTTAGGAGGGGCCTGATGACCGCCGTTTTCAAGGCCATTGGGAATGTTCCAGATTCAAGAGACATATTTACTATTTGTGTAAGTGAAGGTAAAAGACTGCTCAGAACTGACTTGAGAAATCTAGGAGGTAATACATCCAGGCTGCATGTGGAGGAACTCAGACTAGTGATTATCTCCTGGACAGTTTCAATTTGTACTGGTGTAAAGTGCGTCAGCCCAAAAAGCCTCACTGGCGGTTGGATTATTATTTCTATCGTGGAGGTGATGGCGTTTTTGAAGTTAACTGGACTAATTCTGGTTCACTCATGCTAAACTAAACCAATATCACACACAAATCTATGTTTGTTGATGTAAAACCACCAAACAAGTGTCCAATAGTCTCTTGAGTCAGTTCAATCTTAAGTGAACCATCTTAAATGCACCAGAGATCAGCTGCATATCCCTTCATGGTCTAAAACCGCAAAAGCAAAAGTGATAAATTAGGACTTTTGTGTCAGGGGTCGCTGCTATGTGAATTGTTTAGCAGCTGTGATTGCCACCCCCCAATCCAGAAATGGATTAGACGGATGAATAGGGATGGGTTGTGTCTTTTATACAGTTTACAGATGTAGTTCAGTCACTGCACAGACTGTCCTCTATTACTGCAGTAAGCATGAACAAAGAAGAGATCTTTATTCTTCTGTAATGAACATTTTGGTGTTCTGTAAATGATGTGTATTAGGATTTGAATACAGCTTGTTCCTTGTTTGTTATTATTCTGATATATTATAGTACATACAGTAATTTCACACATGCTGCATATTGCATAAAAAAGAATCCTATAGGAATAAGATATTTTTTGGAAGGGTATAACATTGTGTAAAAAGTGAACTTCCCACTGCAGTAACAATATACTCTCAAAACAGACCTTGGGGGAGACAGAGTATTCAGCATCACGTTTTATCGATTAGTGTGTGGTAACAATGAGGTAAAGCATGAGCAGGGATCAGTTCCAAACTATGCAGTGGACTCACTTTCTCACCATCCATCCATAATCAACTTGATCAATGCATTTCATTATAGAAAGACATGCTGTGCAAGTTTGTGCTAACACACTAATAACCAGATGATAGAATTGACATCTATCATTCCATCCAGATTGCATTCAAACAAACGGTAAAAACCCCATGCATTTTCCCCCTATGACGTGGTCTCAGGAAATGATTTTCATATGGAAGCCATTTTTGCGCCAATCTGTCAGAATATCATTCCATGATATTGACAGCATCATCTCATTCACAGGAATTTATTCCTAATCTTATTCTGGAACGCTGCTATGGTATTGAGATAGATGCGTGTATGTGCATAATAACGCAAACCACCACAAGAATATTAACAGACAACTAAAAACCATAGAAAAATAAACCAGGATTTCCCCCTCAAACAAAACCATCTGTTGTTATCTTCTACGATGAATAGAGCCTGTAAACACATCCCGTTAAGATGCTATTAAAGACAGATTTTTATATATATTAACAATTTGCCAAAAGACAATCAGAATCAAAATCAGAATCATTTTTATTGCCACGTAAGTAACAGGAAGTCACAGACTTGGAAATTGGACGTGCCCAGATCTTCTGGTACAATATGAATAGATATGAACTTCTATCAAATCACTGCTAAGTTATAAAAAATAAAAATAAATAATGCATAAATAATGTGTTTTACTGCAGATTAGTAAGTAAGTAACAACTGAATAACTAATGAAATACTTAAAACTCTGACTATCAGCTAGTACATATATTCCCACATAGCATTTCTGCAGTACCCCCACTGTGTGTGATATTGTTAAATATTCTGCTGAACTTGGTCGTCTCCACACACCTCAAGTTCAGTGGGTAAAAACAAGTGACACAACCGTGGGGTCTGCTGCTGAAATTGCAGTTCATATTAGTTTGTTACATTATAATTACCATTGGCCTCACTTTCCAATAGACATCAATATCAATTAAGCCCCAAATCAAACTAATGTAATGGAATATTCTATGTCGAAAGATATGTGAATAATGAAATATGTGGAACGTCCGGAATGTCCCATTCAAAAAAATATCCCTCCTCCAGGTCAGGGAACATTCACAGTTCGGACCCATATTATAAAAGATCCATGGTTCGGACACGTGTTTTACTTCCAAATCAACGTGCTCTTAGATTAGTATATTATTACATCACGTCTGGGCTTTATATGAAGAGCTAGATTACACTGCTCTCAGAATGAAAACACGTTTGTTATTTGTTATTTTTCTGCAAATTATCAACATGTCCCCCTTATCTGCCATTTGAAATAACTAATATATGCATACTGACTAGAAGCTTCTAACACACGAATAATGACAACAGTCTAACGGTTTGTCAAACATTTAAAGAGTGAGACATTATTATTATGATTTGATTTGGTGGGAACGCTTAAAATATGTCAGAACAAACACAGCTCCAGTGGGAATAAGATAAAATGATATATTGATTGATTTATTAATGCGCTGTCTGTTATCCTGAGAAAGAACTTGGTCTGAAATAGAACAAATATTTGAAAAGAACATACAGCAAAATTCACCCATTCATCTCTCAGACCCAGACCAAAGATAGTGGCACACAGTGGGAAAGCCTCTTGCATGCCAATAAACTTCATAATTTGAGTGCATAAGACATGACATAAACACATAAAAGGCTTCCAGACAGAGATTTCAAAAGGTGAATGGCGAGCTGGCTCAAAGACTCTCTTCCCACCCTTCATAATCTCAGTCTTGGCCTCCAGCACAGACCACTTTATTTTTCATTCACACCTTTGACCTGTGACAAAGTCTTAGTGAGAAGATTGAGTGCAGCACCGCCGCCGTTAAGGCCGGATAGACAGAGCCTGACGTCACTAAATACCACAGTAAATACAGAGGATTCCTTATTTCCCTAGATCCTATTCTGTCCATTATCAACGAAAGAGAGAGGGATAAACAAAGCGCTGCAGCCAACACATAGAAAGCACAGAATTTGGACACATTTGATTGCAAAGGTTTGCTTGACCAGATGTGGCAAATGAATCTTTTTTAATGAAGCATGTTTGGGCATTTTCGTCTTGAAAGTGTATTTAATTATAAGAAGAAATACTGCATGTTCAATAATGATGGTCAAGCTACAGGACATGAGGTTTACAATAAGAATCAACAGTTTGTCCGTGAAATTAGCATGCTCTTGCAATAACAGTAAAGGCAGTGTACATCTAGTCCGTAGTCCGTCCAATGTAACTGTTGTGTCTATATATGCAGAATGTAAATGCAGTGAAAAACTGTCTTCCTCTTTCAAATTATTATCTTATCTTGACATTAATGATGCATAATTGTAGAAGAGGCCTTCATCAAAACACAAAAATACATGAATTCTTCCCATTTTGATTACTTTTTCATTTGTCTAAGACCTGGGCAAAGTGCAGCACGGGGGCCACATCCGGCCTGATTCACAATTCCATGCGGCCGGCAGACCCTTCAGCCGTTTACAAGTCTGTCGCTTATCTAAATAAATCCAGAGTCAATACTCATTGAAGTTTTGTAACTTGCTATCATGGTATGTTTTACATTTATTCTGTTTTCATCCAAGATTATTAGTAATAATTTACTCTAAACAAAAAACCTGCAAACGCAAAGAAAACACTGGATTCCTTCATGTTTGTTAAATATATAAATACATTTCTTTTATATTCAACCCAATGAAATTGCGTTTGACTCTCCACAAAAGGGCGATATCCTAATGTGGGCTCTCAAAGAAAATAATTGCTCATCCCTGGTTTTTTTGCAAGAGATACTGAATTTTTTAAATTCCAGATAATGATTATTTTTTTGGATCACATCTGACAACAACTATGAATTTATGTTGTTGACTTATATGTAAATTACATTTTCATCACAGTGGTTTTTATCATACCTGTCACTTCCTCATTTCGTCTGCTTTACAAAAAATGTTCTTGGAAATATACCTCCCTGTTTGCTTCTTCTCTATGCACTGTGATTATTTATGATTTTATTTAGAATTGTTTTGTTAAGCACTTTGAGTTACCATGTGTATGAACTGTGCAGTACAAATAAACTTGCCTTGCCTTGCCTTTAATCCACACAATACAACATTGACGAGCTAACCAACATAAACATCTAGTCAACAACCATGGATATATGTATTATTATTGACTACAACTCAAATCCACTTGACCAAGCCTGCTAGCCTTTGAAGCACGTCTGAAAAAAAGGTTAAGGCGTTTGATTTGAGGCATAAAGAAGTGTCCAACGTGTCCATACCTTCTGTAAGATCAATGTCCTGGGCCATGTATTAAAGTATAAGCAAAATAAAAAAGATAAAAAGTTGTGATCGGGTTAAAGGATGTTCGGTGCTGCGTCGCCCCCTGGTGGTCACAACTGCTCCTGCTCTTCGCACACTGGCTTTAGTAAAATCTTGGTATTTCGTCACAAGCAGAGGAAAATATCCACATGTTATTTATTTTTTATTCTTATTAAAAATGTTTTTGCAATTCATAATTAGTTAAATAGTTGAGTTTAAAGTTAGGAGCAGTTAAATTGGTTAAGGGGTGGTGATGGTGTGAGAGCTAGCTTGTGGAAGGTCGAAATGGCAAGATTTGAGAGTCCCCCTGGCGCACTGCTCAGAGAAGATGGCGACGCGAGTCCTTGGGAGAGCGCGCAGGGGCTTGGCTCAGGCTCAGACCAGGACCCGTTTGACAGGACAGCTTATCGTCTGGTGCAGGTCTGCTTATCGCCATTATGCATGTTTGACTCTTCACAGATTGCGTATTGAGATGTTCGTAGGTGTCAAGACAGTGGTCATAGGGATGCAAGGCAGCTAGCATCATACAATCCTAGCTCGTGCCTATTAAACCAACCACCCTCTGTCACTGTTTAGATCTGAAATACCAAAAATATATTAGACACAGTAATTCCATAGTGGGGACGAACCTTTGACCTGAAATACAGTGAATCCCAAATTTCAAGTGCTGTATTTTTTTTTAAGTTGCACTTGATTGTCAAGGTCAATTCAAAACATGCAGCTTGTTTTCCAGTGTCCATATTTTAGGATTAAAGCATGCATTGTTGGCTAAAGGCCGTTGCTGATTATGGACATTTTATTTATTGTCATGCATTTATTTCATTCATGGTTTATTTTGCAGGGGATTTTCGACAAGCAACCAGAACAGAGAGAACAGCTGGTTTAAATCTCTGTTTGTGAGAAAAGTTGACCCTAGGAAAGATGCTCACTCTACTCTTTTGACTAAAAATGAACAAAGTAACCTTTACAAAATCCAGTGTAAGTCAAAATCTCCAAACATACAGTACTTATTGCTTTGAAAATGTTAATCTAACTATATGTCTCTCTTCAGTCCATAATGTAAAACCTGAGTGCTTGGATGACTACAATAAACTCTGGTGAGTATTTAATGATTATATTGTAATTTCTTGTCAAAAACAGGTGTTGCAGTTTTGTAAATGAAGGGAACACCAGTGTAAAAATAGTTTGGCCCTGTTGATGACAACCTTGCTCTTGCTTTGCATGTCATAGGGCAGCTACTTGTAGTGGTCTTAAATTAGGACTTGCAACTTCAGACACAATGTCACAGCTACAGTTGTTTATGTAGTTGTCCAATTTAAATGCAATACATATTGTGTGTTTTAATATATTAATTACATCTTAATAATAGTGAAGAGGTTTTGCCATCAATCCATGCTGACAAATATTACCCTTGTGAGCTGGTGGGCACCTGGAATACCTGGTATGGAGAACAAGACCAGGCTGGTAAGATTTATTGAATCAAAATCTTTTATAAGCTTAAAAATGTGTAATCGTGTATATTAATGAGTATATTACCTGAACATACCATTTTATTACTGAATTTTTTTTAAGTGCACCTGTGGCGATACAGGGGTGGCTATCCAGCTCTCACAGAGGTGATGAACAAACTGAAACAAAACAAGGTCAAATACATTATTTGCATTATTCTGTTGTATAACTAATGATACTTACTAGAACACATTGTTTATGAAGGAGTTTACAGCCTACAGGAAAGAACGAGGGAAGATGCTGTTGTCCCGCAGAAATCAGCTTCTTTTGGAATTCAGTTTCTGGAATGAACCAACTCCACGGGAAGGTCCCAACATTTATGAGCTGAGGTCCTACCAACTCAGGGTGAGATCAACAACCTAATTTTGTGAATTTGATTGGTATTCAGCTTTGTATTGATTTAGCATATCCCGTCAACCACACTTTATTTGTAGATGTATAATGTTCCCTTTTGTGTAGCCAGGAACCATGATCGAGTGGGGTAACTACTGGTAAGTAACGGACACTCCTGATGAATTAGAATTTGAATATGTTAATGCATGCATTGTTTTTTTCTCTTTCTCTTCAGGGCGAGAGCTATTGGAATTCGTCAAAACAACAGTGAAGCTGTTGCAGGGTTTTTCTCACAGATAGGAAATCTTTATATGGTGCACCACCTATGGGGTAAATGCTTGTGTTTTTATATAGTGTAATACTTGCATTATTAATTATTACGTTATTAATTATTACACCTGCTTAACAGCTTACAAAGACCTCCAATCCAGAGATATCACAAGAAATGCTGCGTGGCAGCAGGAGGGCTGGGATGAAGTTGTGTATTACACAGGTGAACACTTTTCTTTGATTTGACTCCAGACATCATTGATCAGATTTTAGCAGTTCTCTTTCTGTCTCTCAGTTCCTCTTATTCAGCACATGGACTCAAGAATAATGATCCCTACAAAAGCTTCTCCACTGCAGTAAACTCCTGACAACTTTATTTGAAGAGAATTGGACTTCTCTGCAGAAAGTGTTGACTGCCACATATGGGTGGCGCTGATACTGGAGCACAGACCACCAGATGGAGCAGTTTTGTTACAAGACCCTACTTGAACACTTTTTGGACAGCCGTTTATGTATTATAAACAGTATAATTTCAACCATAGTAATACGTATAACAAATGTGTTTTTCTCTTGATATTTATAGCAAATTCTTCAGATATTTTATTATCTATTGTCAGAAAATGTATCCTGCATTCTAGAATTATGCTCTCTCCAGTCTAGGTGGTTTAGGACATAATTCTCCAGGGTTTTAGAAGGTGTTCCATATTGATGTGAGATTTCATAACACTTTTAAGCAACTTTTGTTAAAGTTAAACTCATCATTCTATCAATGTGCAGAAGCCTGTACTTTTCCCTTGTTGTGTCTATCTGAAGGCCAAGCTACAAGCACACCGTGGAAGCTGCTGATTGGAGGTCTCCATGCCTCCGCTCTGTATAATACACTTGCATTCTGTTGTTTGTGTTGTTCGTGCTGTCTCTACCATCGACAATAAAACATGTCTTCTGTCTGAATGAAAGACGCGATCCCAGACTATGTCATCTTCTTCAGGTGGTGGAGAATGCGGGCATTGTCTGTAACATCTAGAGAACAGAAGACTACTTTTTTTTTTTTACACAAAAAGTGTTTTTTTTTTTAAGCCAAAACTGAAAAACCTCAAGAGAATGCATCTGGATCAGCACATGGACAATCTGCACAGCCCCTGATTCCAGTCAGGCTGTGAGCTGCTGAGACATGGATAATACCATCGTCCTCTTTTGCATGGACATCATTTGGACTGAATTGAATTGCTGAATCTGGACACTGAAGCTGAAACGTGTGATTGAAAGACACGTCACAGACGAATTCATGGCTCGACACAAATGCAGCCTGAAGAAACAACACGGAGAAGTGGGAGAGACTGTTTTCAAAGCAATATCTGGAACCACCATCGACTGATGAAGTTTGGTATTTTACTGAAGATTGTTGACAAGTTTTATGAAAGATCTGAAAATGTTTTATGAGTTTTATGAGTTTTTGAAGTATTCCGAGTTCTGAGTTTTTTGAAGTACCGAGTGAAGTACCAAGTTTATGAGTTTTGAAGTATTGAGTTATGATGTTATGTTGCTGTTTATCGATCCTGATGGTCACACGGGAATGTATGACCAGAGGGGGGAATGTGAGATTTCATAACACTTTTAAGCAACTTTTGTTAAAATTAAACTCATCATTCTATCAATGTGCAGAAGCCAGTACTTTTCCCTTGTTGTGTCTATCTGAAGGCCAAGCTACAAGCACACCGTGGCAGCTGCTGATTGGAGGTCTCCATGCCTCCGCTCTGTATAATACACTTGCATTCTATTGTTTCTGGGATCGTGTGCTTTGATCGTGCTGTCTCTACCATCGACAATAAAACATGTCTTCTGTCTGAATTAAAGACGCGATCCCAGACTATGTCATCTTCTTCATTAACCAAAAAAAAAATGTGTACTGTAATGCAAAGCATGTGAAAACAGGATTATGATTATTAAAACGAATTCAAACTGTTTGTTTACATAGACTTTAATGTGTCATTTGAAACACAAGTCATAGAATAACTAGGTACAGTAATTTAAGACATACATACTTATTGCACATTTTATAATAACAAAATGTCAAATATGGTTAATTTAGTTTTTTGCGAAAACAAATCCTAGACATGTGAGAATAAACAAGAGAACACTTGCTTTAAAAAGTTAAAAGTGTAAACATTTGGAATAATATAAGCCATACATCTAACCGAGAATTGATGCCAGATGTGAGATTATGAGAAGAACTTAAGTGCATATATAAAACTGGTAATACAAAAGGTCAATCTTCTTAAATCTTGTCCAGCTCCTTCAGCAGCTCTTGAAAACGTGTGATGTACCAAGAACTCTTCTCTTTAACCTGCTGCCGAACTACGTTTCCACCAAACCCTACAAACGCATTCTAGGAGAAAGAAATATAGTTTGAGACTAGATGACATGAATTTAATGCCAAAAGAAATGAGCTCAGAATACTTACAGCGGGAGGACAAGCCTCGAGGTCAGTCGCTCCATCTCCGATCATAACAACAGTCTTAAAGCCATACTGCTCTTTCAGGAGGTTGATCACTTTTCCCTTTCCGCCACTTTCAGCTGTTGGCTGACTTTCATCAAACCCAGCATATTCACCTGAAATAACAGGATAGATTTTATTACATGACAAGTTCAAAGAACGAGAAAACTCTCGAACATGCTTCGAGTCATACCATTAAAGTAAAACTTGAGTCGGTTTGCGTAAACATGGTGTAAAGGAATATTGAGTTGTGTAGCAACATGCTCAACAATGCAACGGAAACCTCCCGATATAAGAAATACTTTAATATTTTGATCATGTAAACGCTCCACTAGTTCACTGCAAAGCAAAAAGGAAAAAGAGTTAGACACAATATTTAGTTCTTGCGGTCTAATCATAACGACTGGCACACGAGTTCCATGATTGGGTTTACCGTATGCCTGGAGTCAGCTGAGGAGGGTGGTCTGTTATCAGCTTATTGACTTGTTCCCTTGAACATCTAATGATGGAGAGACGCTCCATCAAGGCAGTTTTAAACGTCATTGAACCACCCATTGCTTTGCGAGTCCTGAAATATTTTTTTAAAAGGTCTCATTTAAAAATGTTACAAATAGAACTCAATTGCAGCAGCCGTAGTCAACTTGCATTTCAGTCACTGCATCCCCTACTCCACAGAATTTGGCCAGTTCATCAATGCCTTCTTCTTTGATTACTGTGCTGTCCACATCAAAACAAACAGCATCTGCTCTCCTGAAGAGCTCCTTTGTCTCTGACTGAGTCAACATATTTCTGGAAGAGAAAAGAAGCATTATTGGAATGAACACGTGACTATAATCTGAAGTCAAAACAATAGTATGCTTTAGTTGAAGTCTTTGAGCCCCAATGAAGAGGCACATAGTTCACACCTTAAACCAGAATGTGCTCATTTACATCTATTGAAGCTGCAGCTCCATTGAGACAGAGCTTAGAGCAAAAACGCGTGTTCCAGGGCCAATGAAGTGAGAAAAATGCGTTGCATACAGAGCCTCACTACAGGCCATTGTGGAAAGTTTCAGCCTACGTTGCATCACCCTCACCACTGTACAGTAGCGTGAGCGTACAACATAAACATTAATGCAACTTTAAGAGGACTTCAACTAGACATTAGGATTGCCCTTGAACTATTGTCACTCCGTCTCTGTTATGGAGAAAACAAAAAGTACTCTACGGGCAGACCACTGTAGCGACATCCTTTGATGAAGCGAAACATTATAAAATCATTGGATCAGCTAAAGAGAGGCTTTAGGCAGAACCAAAACTGGATTAACCAGATGAACACGGGGCATGTAATCTCATTGCATATGTTTGTTACTCACCGATAACGATTGTTACTGATCCGGAGAGCTGCCGAGCTGAAGCAGATGAAGGAAACCCATCGACAACCGAGACAGAGAAATGCTCCAGTGGTCTTCCAATCAGAGGCAAGCCGGCTCTGGGGCGACAGCAGCGTCAGGACCAATCACTACACTGGGACTTTCAGGGGCCGTGACTATTCATACTACAGTACATGCATGGTTGTTTCCACATTATCTTTCGCTAATGTATATGTATGAAAAAAATGATAAAAAGGAATCATTCTATAGACATGCACACACATACACATATCATACATACATGCATACACATACACGCACGCACACACGTAAATAAATAATATATGTTGAATTCACGACGCACATATTAAAACCAAACACTAGGTGGCGATATCGCGTTCTCTGGAGTTGCCATTTCCGCGCTGTTCTTTCAGTTGTTGGACAGAAATGTAGTACTGTGGTGTCACTACTTACTTATAACACACAAGTCTCCCTTATTGTGAAAGGCTGGTTTATCGTTGGGCGGAAGTGTGATGTTTTTCCCGCTGTTTTGAGAAGTAACAAATAAAGTTTGCAGAGACTCCATATTCTCGTCCTTTTCATCCTCCACAGTACAGTAATACAATTTTTATATTTGACATCAGTTTACCGTGCACATTTCCGTGTAGAAAGCTGTGGTGCGTGTGCTATTAGACGCATGCACAATTCCGTATCCTATTTTTCTGTGGTTCCGTTTCCTTGTTTCTTTCTCATTCTGCGCATGCGTCATGTTGGATCCTTCCGTTCCACCCGTCTCCACATCCCTCGTGGCTGCGACATAGACGTCCCCTATCCTGGTAAATAAGATGTTTTTTGATACTTTTGCATGGACGAATTCTGTTTTGCTTCAACATAGTAAATGCAGTCAGACACCATGCTACAGAAAAGTTCATGCCAACGTTTGTTTCGAGTAATGTCCTTTTTATTTCATTGTTCTTATGTTGGTGTGAATACATTAGGCTTTGCCCATGCATTTTATAACCTGGTCTATGCATAATTTTTTTGTCTCATCTACACTTCTCTGTATTTCAGTTTTGGTCAATTCTTCAGAGACGAGCTCCAGAAATGTTGCTGACACGTGGTTCTTGGCTAAACGCCTTTTTTCGCTCCCATGAATGAGTGACTGTTGAACTGTTGTACGTACTGTAATATTCTCTGCAATAAACATATTTAAACTAAGCAAATTTTCCACCCACTAAAATGTAAAGCATGTTATTATTCACTATATTTTTTTTCAAGACTTAAGACAAATGTTTTACTATCACAACGAGACAGTGTTTAACAGTTAAGAGGTATGTGTGGTAAGTAACAATCTTACATTTTACATGGGATGAAGACCTTTTTATTTGAAAGTTTCACGAAATTAAACAATTACAATGAATTGATAGACATGACAATTTTACTGGTAAACCCAAGCCCAAAAATATAAATATACATTCTGTAAGTCTAGGTATGGAACTTCAGTGATGACTTATGTTCTAGTCTTAAGTACTTTAGCAAAGATACTTTTATAGAAACCCACTTAGTTAAATGTGTTAATCATTCCATATCAGTACTTAAAATAAATTGTTAAACATTTTACTTGGGTGGCCTGAAAAATGAGCTTGCATACCTACTCATCTGAATTTAGAAGCATATTAGACCCATTCTAACCTGTTTTAGTCCATTGGACAAACTGCTTTTTAAATGTAAGGAGAAGGTACAGATATTTCAGTAAAACCAATAATCAAGTAGGCTTCACAGACCAAGTAAAACTACTTAAGAGGTAATGCATCTCACGTTCAGGGCATTTACAAAGATGATAGGATTCAATGGGCTCATTGTGAATCTTTGGGATGTTAAGACGCTTAACAGATCTTGATGAAAAGTGAATGCAACACAGGATAGAAATCTTTTTATAAGTAAAAACAATTCCACACTAATGAAATCAAAAGGTGCACCATTAAGCATGTGGATTTTTATTGTGAATTGGTTGCAAAAGATCTATGATCTAAAGTTCTTTATAGTCAGCCTGAGTACCTGAGTGATAGGTTTGAAATAAATAAAATCCCAGGCGATGTCCCCTGAGTAATAAGTGCATTAAGTATACATTTATTTAACAAATGTTTTTAACTGGTTCGTCGCCCTCTGCAATAAGTGACAACAAGATTGCCTTTGGAGTGTTCTCGAACAGAGCTGCACGGTTCTGCGTCTGTCCCTTTTTGACCCAGTGACCGTAGATCTTGAACGCACATGCATCGATGAGCTTCCTGATGGGCTTGACAGCATAAGGATCACTTTTGATTACCTCCTTGGTAACGGGCTTAGCTCGCCGATAGTTGCAGTAAATCCGCATAGTTGCAAGGACAGTCATGCAGATGACCTAAAGACATAGAAATTAGTCTTCTTATGTACAACCTCTAGTTATGCTGAATGGACTTAATATTTAGAAAATGGTTACTAGCTTCTCACAATAACTTGGTATGAAAATGATTGAGATGGAAAAAATACCTCCATTCTAAAATACTTGAAACCCATTCTAATATTCTATGTATTTCATTATATGATGTGCCTCTCAGAACACTACAACTTACCTTAAACCTCCTGTAGGGGCTGAACTGCCGAACTTCATCAACCACATACTGAGAAAAGAATGGATGATTGAGAGCTTCAGTAGCAGTGTAGCGTTGCTTTGGGTTTACAATCAGCATTCGGGAAATCTAAGAAAATAAATTTGCAAAATTTAGCACAATTTCTTGTGTTGTCTAAAGTGTGTGTGTTTTGTGCTGTATTGAATGAGTGAAAGAAGTATTGTGTGATTGTGTATAACTTTTGTATCCTGTGTAATTTATGTAAAATGTGTGTACAAAAGCTTGTTAAAATGGAATCTTATCTATCACATCTCCAGAACATTAATCATTCATCCAGAAACTCCATGTGTACCAAGTCCTTGACAGTGTCCGAACGGTCCTCCCATTCTGGAGATGCAAAGTCATATTTTCCAGCTAAGATCATACGCAACATCAGCATCTGTTTTCGGTGCCAGAACGGAGGAGAGCCGGCGAGCAGGGTGTACATGATGACTCCTGAGCTCCATCTGCGAGCAAAAGTGTGGGTGATGTCGCCGTTTATCAATACATGGATCTATTGGTCTTTAACTCACAAATCAACTGCAAGGCCATATCCAGTATGTCCTGAATCCATGGAACATTCAATGATTTCTGGAGCAAGGTATACCGGGGTTCCACATACCTCTGCCAAGTATGACATCAGAAATGTTTTTATTATGCACCTGTCAACCACTAGTGCGAAAACAGGTAAAGCTGGGGTATCTAACTTTCAAACCACAAAACTAATAAAATCATAGTTACTGGCTCTAAAACAGTAATCACTAATTCTCACATGCATGTATTTTTTGGCCTCTTTCAGACAAAAAGGTGAAAAAGTTTCTTATGTTTCCTAATAAGATAAAGATACAATGATGTGATCTGATTTGTTCACAGCATTAAAGTATTGAAAGACTATCTTTATCAAAACAAAAAGCTAGAAAATGGTCCGATGTAAAAAAAAAAAAAAAAAAATATTTAAATTGCATGTTTGATTGAGAAGGTCCTGGGTTCAAATCCCGGCCGGACCAGGGCCTTTCTGAGTGGAGTTTGCATGTTCTCCCCGTGTCTGCGTAGGTTTCCTCCTGGTACTCCGGTTTCCCCTACCACTAAAAAAAACATGCACAATAGGTCTGGCATGCGCCTCCTGTTCGGCGACCCCGCTCCCATCTCTGTGTGGAGTGAGAGACAAATGCCCAAAAATAATAACAATTGTAAACCGCTTTGTGACTCTGGTCTGTGAAAGGCGGTATATAAATAAAGATTACTTACTTACTTGATTGCTGCAGACAAAAACAACTGATAATGACTATAATGAGTCATGGCCAGAGAGATATGAATTTGACCTTTGAGAGTCTGTCCTGGCTGAATCTGAACTGCGAATCCAAAGTCGGTGAGTTTGATGTTCATGTTGTCATCGAGAAGGATGTTCTCAGGCTTCAGGTCACGATGGACAATGTTCTGAGAATGCAGAAACTGAACAACCTCGAGCAGAGCTCGCATGATCTTCCTACAATCAAGATGATACTTGTCATAGAACACATGTTACGACAAGTTTTGTTCAATAAGCATTCATGACACTAACCTGGTTTCTTTTTCACTTAGGGTTACTTTCTCTGTGAGGTAGTCAAACAGTTCACCTCTTTTCATTCTAGGGAAAGCATTTGAAACATGAATAAGACTTTCAGAATATCTCAATACAACATATTACTTACAGGTCAAAAACAAGGAAGTAAAAGGCTTTTGACTCGAAGCAGTCTTGAAGTTGAACTGTGAAATACAACACGTTTATCTATGACTTTATCTCCAACAAACCAATAATATGACAATTTTGTAGGGTAACGGAGTAGCAAAGCAATGCATAACACTTTATATGATTTCAATTTGGTGAACTGGAAAAAAACAAGTCCCAGGCCCTTACTGATGTTGTCCTGACCACAGACTTTCCTCAGAATATCGATCTCCTTAACAGTTGACGCTCTGATCTCCTCAATCTCTTGTGGAGTCATCTTGTCTGAAGGGGTGATGTCAATAATCTTTACGGCATATTGTTGAGAGGTCAGTTTGTCCACACAGCGGCGTACCACACTGCTCACTCCCCTGCGGAAAAAAATAAAAATAAATTGCCCCACCTCAGCTCTGATCTGGTTTTAAACTGCAGAACTTAAACTCAGTAACAATAATTGTGACCACCTGTAGTTATTTTACTCAGATCTCATTGTAGCAACTAGAAAGTGTGCTAAACAGGTAGTCAACAAATACTGAGGTATCTAATCTGCTTATAATATTTAAATCAACACTTTATATATTTACAAAGATTACCAGCATGAGTCCATGGAATGATTATATTGATTGTTTATACCACATATACATTAAGAACATTACCATGGAAAGAAGCAGTTCGGGGGAAAGTCAACTTTCAGAAAGGTAGAAGGTTGTTATCCATGTTCAGTGCAGCAGCAACAGTAACAAACAACAGTTCGACTTAATAGTCTACAACAGAGGTTCCCGATGACCCCCTTATCAATCGAAAGATACAGTAATGCATAAGTACGTGTTATTATTCATTATGTCACGTCACAGCTTTTCTATATGCTCAATATTTCTACCTGTTATGAAATGTAACCTGTTATATGTACAAATATAATAAAGGAAAAAAGTGGTATGGGAGAAAGAAAACAATTCTGAAGTTGAAACATATCTGACAGTTTGTTCTCACGTTTCTTCTCTGGCTTGTTGTCAAGGGTTTGGCTCAGAAATGCTGTAGAGCTGCTAAGTCACACTGAGTGAAGTATGTGCAGATCAATAGTGGAGCTAATCCCAATCTGGACCAGGGCCAAAGCATCTCTGAGATTGTTGCTAGATGTCTATAGAGACATAGCCTCAAATGACAGTGTAAGCGCGCCCCCCTCAGGCGGCGTGTGTAATGCCAATGCCACTGGCAGGTGCTCCTGCTACGTTCATGCGATCTCGGAAACCAAGACGACACCACGTAAAACAACGTGATCAAACGCGACTCGGTGCGGTTATTCGACTTGGAAACTGCTGCTTATTGGGCTCTGAGTTACCTCACTATTATGAAAGGAAAGACACAATCTGGGAGGGGATTCATTTTATATCAGATTTATGTCGATTCGTTTCCAAGATCACACGAATGCATCTACGGCAGTGTCTTGGAAGCATGGCGGAGGGGATTTCTAGGATATTGTGACGTGACCTCTTACGTCATAGAGACCAAAGCAGTACATGTGTAGATTGGTGAGGAGACTGCGCAAGGGCTACCTACAGGGCATTTAGCGTTACCTTCCCAATATCTCCTTGGGCTCATATTTATCATAAAACTCTCTCGCTCCAACCCAGTCAGGCAGGGGAAGCTCCTCCTCTTTGGTCATGATGGAAGCAGCCCTTGGACTTGACTTGTGTTGTTTGTCACCGATCTAAACAAAGACATTCATCAGCCTTTCATTCAGAATATCAGCACAGTGCACACAGGTGTACAATGCAGGATTCCAAACAGTCGTCCACGCCAGTTCACCTTGGTTCGGTGACCGCTCACCACTGCTATGGGGGGTATAAAGTTCCCTCTCACGGCGGAGAATGTCAGACAAGATTCCAGCAATATTCCACTTTCAAACGAGCAATTTCAATACATTCAAAACTCACCGTCTAGGTACAGCGGCGTGCAAGCTCTTTACATTAGCGTGTCCATGCAGCGGTCAGGGCCAGTCCAGTCACTCAGACTGTTTTGTGGGGCCACTCCATCGCAGAGGGGTGAGCTCTAATGTCAAACTCCAGAAATAAATGGCAGCTTTCCTCGCACCACTCGCGCCACATTATGTAAACTACACATTAATAACCAAGTCCTAGGAAGAGACGAGTCATTTACACATTTATCTTATTATGTCACACAGCAAATGAGTTGATAAACACATATTTTGTATGGATGAGCTTTATTTCAGTTTGGAACAAATGTAAATTTACTTGATATAGAGCAGTTAAAACTATTGCATAATCATAAATGTAATGTGAAGGAAATGTAAAAAAACCCAAACAAAACTACATCTTAATCAAACAACATAGCCAACATTATGTGTGAAGTGATGCATGTTTATAAATACTTCTTGTTAATGTTATTAATTCTAACTTTATTAAACCAGGTAAGACCGTTATTCTAATAGATCCATGGGTAAGACCCATTGATATCGCTTGACTTGATTGTTGGTGCATTTTTTATTATTCAGGACAAGGACAATATTAATGGCAGCCAGCTGTCTCATGATAGACCTATGAAAACAAAAAACAATAGGACAAATTAATGACCAAAGTTCTGTGCAGTGTATGCATTCAACTGAGTGTTACAATCTCATTTACCATTTGAGAATTTGCACTGTTTGAGCACTTCACTGAAGCCTTCGCAGAGTTTGAAGTCGCTCTGAGTCTGTGCACATTCAATGAACTGTTTGAGTTCATATGAGCAGGCCTGCTGCTGAGGCTCTTGTTGGTACATAGACTGTGGCTGCTGGTACATGGGCTGAGCTTGGTATGGCTGTGCCTGGTAAGGCTCCTGAAAGAAAGAAAGATCACATTGAAACCATCATTTAACATTTACGTTAAGGGTTCGCCAGTGCTATTGTGATTTTATCAGCGTCGAGGGATTTACAGTTTTTTTTCACGGGCTGCTCCAATCAATTAGAAACTTTTTGAATAATCAACAATGTCAAAATTTCTACTGCAGAAACATAATAGACAGTGTATGTGTGTACATGTTCGCACATGTGTGCCGGAAACCCCGTTTATACTGGGTCTGGTCCTGGTTTAGAGGCTCTGGACGCGCAGGGAGCAGAAACTGCTCGCATCAACATATTAAGTTTGGTACGAAGAAGTAAGAAGGAGACGAAGTTTGTTTGATTGCGCTTCGTTCTGAAAAACTATGACACCCTCATGTAGTCAGTAAATCCACCTTTGCATAATTATTATTGATCGCAAATGATAGAACTCAAAGTCTGCACATGTTATTTTGTGGAGAGGCAGGGAGAGATTAAAAATCTGTTCCTCACCAGGACTTTAAAATTTGTAAGGCATGAAATGTTCACAAATTTAAGAGCTCAAAATAAAAATAGTTGAAACAGTTTACCTGGTAAGTGACATCAGGCTGGGCAGGCTCCGAATGTCCTCCACCAAAGCCTCCCGTCATGGCATGGCCAATGGTATGGCCCACTGCCGATCCCACCGCTACACCAGCTGCTGTAGTTGCCATCTGGGCAAACATACCGGGCTGCCTGGGAGCCGCTGGAGCACCCACTGCTGAAGGCTGTGGCTGCATAGGAACAGGGGCATGGGCAGGAGGAGGCGCAGCACGGGCCATGGGGGGAGGAGGAGCCCGGCTGTAAAGGAATTACACTATTAAGAGTCATTTTATATATTGTGGCTTTCATATAGTAAAAAAGTCACTCTCTAGTGAAAAAAAAAAAAACATACTATCATGTAAAGCCCTTTGAAAATATGTATGAAAAGATTGATCTGAAACCCTCTTATCTTATCCGTAATATAATCTTTAACAGTGTTCTATTTTTATAGTTAAGAGTTATAAAATAAGAGTTATTTTTTAATAATTTAAGGTTATTCTTGAGTCATTTGATCCCACTGTTCTGTAAAGTCTGATGCAACAGGTAATATTATCATGGATGCATCACTGGAACTTCCCATATGTTGGACAAATAACTTGTTCTCCATTTGGTTAAAACTCATTGCACCAATTTGTAAATCATATACATTCATTCATTTGGAAATTAATCAATACACAGCCCTGACACCAATCTAATGGAGCGTTCATGTCTGAAATTTAACTTTTCCAGCTTCTTCTATAAACACTCTTTATTTTCATCAGATAATTTTCCATCATTCATAATGCATGTTCAAGGTCCTTCAAGTCCAATCTGATAATAGCCTTTAACTTTTGTTTGGTAAGTGTTAAAAAAAAATCAGATGACAACAATCGTCAGGCATGGCCCAATCAAATGTACAATAGAAACATAATTTGCGAGGAGCAACAGTTTTTAGTTCTGTATTGGATTCGCCTGTCTCATGATCCATAAGTAAAGTAAAAAAAACTCATGACCTTCACAGAAAACACGAGGAAATTAGAGTAAATACATATTGTTCAGTTTCAGTGACGTCACCACATTACTTTATTATCCATAGTGGAGTTGGAAGGATGCATTGATTTGGTTCCAAAAACATGCTGACATAACATTAGCAGACTAGCTTAGCATCTTAGCTTCTGTTAACGCTAACGTGATCTCAGTAATAACGCATCATGTATGATCACGGCTCACCTGGCTGGAGGGGCGACCCTTGAGCTCCGGCTTCTGCTTCCTCTTGGCATTGTTATAATATACTGTAGTAAGTTACCTCTGCGACAAACTAAACCCTTGGAGAAGACAACACTGGTCTAAGAAGCTTTGCGACCTTAAAACACTCCGGAACTTTCCACGAGTTACATCATCATAGGTTTCATGCGCAACTTCCGGTATGTTATCTATATAATATATATTTATATGGTGTTATATACTTTATATTATTAGTCAGTTAGTATAATATTTCAATCATGTATTACGATAGTGTTTTACTTATGACTATTTTGAAATATAATTCAAATGTCGCGGATATACGTTTTGTTTGAAATACCACTGTTTCAGGACACAGGTCTTTTTTATGCCAGTTATATTTAGCTAACTATAATAATTTTTAAAATCTTGAATGGTAAAAAGAACATAAAAAGCTAAAATAATAAAGCAAATGTGCACTTCTACGGATCTGACTTGGGTTCCTTTCTAACAAGTTATATTAGAATTACCTCGAAAAGGAATGAATCATAATGAATAGTTACTGAAAAAACTGTCAATATAACTATTGCTCTAATATGTATTATAAATGTTTATATTAATCTATTATGTGTGAGTTTATACAAATAGATGTTATACATATACATGAAAAAATACACATTTGGACGATTTCCTTTTTTATTGTATGAAATAAATTACATAAAAAAATATGTATTTATAGAACATTAGTTTCAGAAAAACAAACTAGTTGCAAGCGATTAACAATATATATATAATCATCTATGGGAACAAGTCCTTCTTAAATGTTCCATGAATCTCAAGCTGGACATAACTCATAAGATAATAAGGCCTCAAATGGCTTACTTTATATAAAAATCAAGAAATTGAGATTCTTCTGGTTCTGAACAATTAGGCTGAAAAATTAATGTTTGTGCTTCTTTTTATCTGAAAATTTGCGCCATTTCTGGTTTCCACTTGCTTGCCCTGATCTATGTCCTGATCTTTGATCTTGCCATGTTGGCATTGGTGGCTCCATTTCTCCTGGCCTCCCTCCACGATCTGGAACTGCTCCCATCTTCACCTAATGACAATAGAAAACAACAATCAATGCGTAGTAAAAAACAGAATGAAAAAAGTGACTATACTTTGTAAACCGGAGTTGAATTCCCAGGACGAATTGGATCATTACAAGACTGATTCACTCTGGCAGCAAGAACAAGTGGAAGTGATACTTTAGAGGGGTGGTCAAATGAAGATATCTGCGGAAGATTTTCCAGAACTTTCTTTTGATTCTAAAAGAAAGCAGAACATGGACAGAAGTATTTAGGAGGACAGGGTGCAGCAAACATCTTCATCGAAATTACAGGTTACAAACCGGGTTGTTTGATAAAATATACTAAGTAAACACATTTTCATTTTATTCTGCAATCATTATAGAAATAGCCAACTAATAAAATCTCTTCTCAGCATGTTGAAGATTAAAAAATAAATTGATTATGAAACGATTTCAATAATAAATTATTTGCAATTAATTGATTAAACTGTTACAGCCCTCAAACATAAGTTATTTTTGTTATATTTGTTTACCGTCTTATTGTCTCCCCATGAAAATGATTCAAGTGTGACTTGAAAGCGTTTTATCATCATTTGCCTTCGGCATTTGTAATCTTCAGATAAAATGTCATTTAATTTTTCAAGTTTAACCTGTAGAGATAAAAGTGGTTCAGAATGGTCCTCCATGTAATAATAAATTATTCCAAATAATTATTTGCCCTGAACATACAAAACTCACCCAGTGTTCTGGACTGAGAGGGGTGTTGAGGAGAGGGCTCATGGCATCAGAAGGCAAATTTGATATCCTCGTCTCCACCTGCGCTTACACAACCATTGTAATCTTTTATACATTTATTTTTACACAATAATTGTTGTGGAATACAATTTGTTAAATGGCCGCACCTCATTTAAAATATCTGTAATAGATGAATTTGCATCCATGCTTAGTGTTTGGAGCATCGACAGCCACTCAGCGTGTTTATTGACCACAGCCTCTTCACAATCATCCTCACAATTCTCTTCAGGATTAATGCTGCTGCGACACCTTTGTTCTTTAGGAGATGTCTCTGTTGGAGCCTCGTCATCGGAAGGACAGTCCTTATGCTTAATGATGATTGCAGCTTGTAGTTCAGATACTAAGAAGTCTAATTAATACAACACACAGAATGGTTTATCTTAATCACATGGTACTTGAGAGTCACAAATGTCTGCGTCAAAGAAATTACTCACCTGTAATTCTGTCAAGTTTAGAGGGGTCCAGAACCTCGAGGGTCAGAGATGCCAGAGGAGATGACATTTCCAGCAGCAGTGTTTTGAGCTCATCGGCTAAAAGAAGATTACCTCCTCCACCTGAAACACAGATCACTATTCAATAATGATAATACTTCCATTCTTCTCTCATGGTGCACGGTGGCTGTCCTGCTCCACCCAGAGGCTACTCCATCTCTGCTACTGTGTGGAGCTGTCCTGCTCCACCCAGAGGCTACTCCATCTCTGCTGCTGTGACCTGTCCTGCTCCACCCAGAGGCTACTCCACCTCTGCTACTGTGTGGAGCTGTCCTGCTCCACCCAGAGGCTACTCCATCTCTGCTGCTGTGTGGAGCTGTCCTGCTCCACCCAGAGGCTACTCCATCTCTGCTGCTGTGACCCGTCCTGCTCCACCCAGAGGCTACTCCATCTCTGCTGCTGTGACCCGTCCTGCTCCACCCAGAGGCTACTCCATCTCTGCTGCTGTGTGGAGCTGTCCTGCTCCACCCAGAGGCTACTCCATCTCTGCTGCTGTGTGGAGCTGTCCTGCTCCACCCAGAGGCTACTCCATCTCTGCTGCTGTGTGGAGCTGTCCTGCTCCACCCAGAGGCTACTCCATCTCTGCTGCTGTGACCTGTCCTGCTCCACCCAGAGGCTACTCCACCTCTGCTGCTGTGACCCGTCCTGCTCCACCCAGAGGCTACTCCACCTCTGCTGCTGTGACCTGTCCTGCTCCACCCAGAGGCTACTCCACCTCTGCTGCTGTGACCTGTCCTGCTCCACCCAGAGGCTACTCCACCTCTGCTGCTGTGACCCGTCCTGCTCCACCCAGAGGCTACTCCACCTCTGCTGCTGTGACCTGTCCTGCTCCACCCAGAGGCTACTCCACCTCTGCTGCTGTGTGGAGCTGTCCTGCTCCACCCAGAGGCTACTCCATCTCTCCTGCTGTGACCCGTCCTGCTCCACCCAGAGGCTACTCCATCTCTGCTGCTGTGACCCGTCCTGCTCCACCCAGAGGTTACTCCACCTCTGCTGCTGTGACCTGTCCTGCTCCACCCAGAGGCTACTCCACCTCTGCTGCTGTGACCTGTCCTGCTCCACCCAGAGGCTACTCCACCTCTGCTGCTGTGACCCGTCCTGCTCCACCCAGAGGCTACTCCACCTCTGCTGCTGTGACCCGTCCTGCTCCACCCAGAGGCTACTCCACCTCTGCTGCTGTGACCCGTCCTGCTCCACCCAGAGGCTACTCCATCTCTGCTGCTGTGACCTGAAGGGCTGTTGCTGATTATTACTATTGCAAGCTTTTTGTAATGATCAATGTTATTTCTTATTTTGCTACTGGACACCTGAATTTCTCCTACGGGGATCAATAAAGTATCTATCTATCTGTATGGGAGGCTTTCATGTGCCAGTGTATACGACGTCGAGAGAATGGAAGAAAAAAAACTGAACATTATAAATCACTTTGGGTGACCTTGTAAAAATGCGCTATATAAATAAAGATGACAATTTGTTACTCTTCGTTTTAACCATAGACTGTATATATTAATTGTTTTAACCAACCCCTTCACTCCGCCCACTACCCTGTGCTAATGTCTTCATTATAAATGAAAATATTGTTCAATAATGAAGCATTCTGCCGCTGTCCTTAATGCAATTCAACTTCTTAAAAGAGTTCTACCTTTAAGTTGTGGGTAATGCACTTCTAACTGCGCGCACAGCCAGGTGAGCAGGGGGCACGGAAGTTCATCACAAACACACCGCGCAAGACACGCTGCGCCCGGGTACCTGAGGAGGAAGGCCCGGTGTTACTTTAGTGACGTATGGGCAAATGTTCTTGGTATTATTAAGGTATGTTGAAATACCACAAGTTGCCGATTATGTAGGATAGGCTAGCTATGGCCAGATTACAAATAACAACGTGTGTGAAACATACCCCACAGACTTGAGAGCAGAGACCTCCTCCAGGCTCCTGTCACAGTGCATTACAGCAGAATGTGCCGTGTTCAGCCCACAGAACTCTGATCTCATGTGGATATATCGTTCAGCCTGGGTGTGTAGTCTTCCTATTTGGATTTGTGTTGCTCCACATTTCCCCCTGCAGGCTGGATCTGCTGTATGCTATAGCTTCATGTACCACAAGATGGCGATGTCACTCTTTACATAGATTGGTATTTTGTTTGTAAATAGTCACACACCAGATTGTTACAGATTAGCACCATGGATCTAGCACTTACAGATTTCATTTCTCAGCTGTCGTCGTGGGCACTGTGTGGACAGGAGCTGCAGTTTAATTCTCATTAGAACCATAATCATTCATGAGATTAAATACATTCAAATAATACATACTCTAGCAATACAGGAGCGAGGACAATTGATTAGATATTATTATTGATGAGATTAATATTCTCCTTTTCAAGAGTGTCCTGGACAAGAGGCAACACATTCAACATACATTTACAACATTAAGAAATAAAAGCTAAAAGATAGACATGACACATGAAAGCGTACACATCCAATTGAACAAATAAAACAAAACAAAAAAAAGAAATATTGCATATAAAACAAGTACATTGTGCTGACTGTTCATCTAAAGCATTCAGCCGTCTCTTAAATGTGTACGGGAAAGTCAGTTCCTTGAATCCAAGTTTTGTTTGCAGCAGACTCCATGCAAATGGTGCTGCACAATGGAAAGCCTTTTTTTCCAGTTCCGCCCTAACTCTGGTAACGGACAGCATCAGAGGCCCCAGGGTATGGGCTCCCGCACTCCTGGGTACTAGGTAGACAGCCAGATACTGAGGCAGCAGACCTAACATGGAAATGTGCCAATGCTTAGGTTTGCGCAACGATAAAAAGATCCAACTCTCTAATAGAGCACACAATGATGAGTCAAAGATTTTAGGTTGATCATAAGAACAATAAGAGCTCTGTGGTAAACCATGTCCAATGTATGTAACAGACACAAGCGTCCTCCTTGCTTGAAAACATAAGCAAGATTTGATCCTGAAAAATAACCCCAATTTATTTTTTTGTTTTCTTGCCAACTGCTGTATATGTGGTGCAAAAGCAAGGCACTCATCAGTTAAAAAGCCCAGATATGTGTAAATTGAAACTATAGCCAAGCCTTGGTGATGTGAGGTAGACTTATTTGGCTTTTGCTTTTTGAGAACAACATGATTTAGTTTTTTCTTTGCATTCAGAACAGGTTTGAAATAATAAATAAATAAATCCACTATTTTATAATAATAAAATAGTGGATTTTAATAAATTAAAATCCACTTTCACTTGGTCAAGGGCATCAGAAGGTGTATTAAAGGACAGTGTCATCTGCATAAAAATGTCATTTAGCATTTGACACAAATTTGTTAGCACTGTTGATAATAACATAAGTGGTCCTAATATGTATCCCTGATAAATTACAATTATGACATTCTATCTCTTTTTTGAGTAATTTTGTACTGTACATTATAAACAATTTGCTTCTGGCTGAAGCCTAGTTAAATTTGTCAGTCAATGATAGTCAACCAACCTGTTTATATTAATCAGCTGCTTTAGATCAATACTGTGGCATAACAAAATAAGAAATTACGATCTATCTGTCAGCTGTATCAGTAGCTCTTATTGTGAACTTGGCAAGGCTTCTGGCACTCGGCTATATCTTTCATCTGATGGCCATGGTGTGTGCAAATAATTCAGGACTGGAATAACATAATGTCACATCCTATCACAAATCTATCAGTTTGAATCTCCTGTGCCCTTGAATCTGTGCTGAGAGAAAGAGGCAGTCTGGAAAGCAGGGCAGCCGCTGTAGTATCAAGGCCTATGCCACGTTTGCCTTTTATCTTCTGGCCATATGTACAATAACTGCCTTCCTCTAACAATGAGGTAGCATGCGTCAGGATGCCTCTTCTTTTATTCCCTTGACACTAGGCCCGCTTCATCTGCCTTCGGGGATTTGACCTATGATCTTTGCCAAGCCATAAACAAAGCTCCCAGACCCCCCTCTGGAGCAGTCTGATGTGCACTTGTTGAATGCTTGTTTGAAGTGAGCGTCCGTCTAAAATGCCCTCTTGCAATGTAGCCAAAAATGCACACAAGAATTGAATACAATACAATGTTTGAAAATTGTCCACAATGCACTGGGGGGAGGGTGCTGCTTGTATCAAAAATGCTTTTGACTTGTAAGAGATTTTCCTTATATGTATATAATTAATTTATTACAAAAATATGTTATTATATTACTATTGCAATAAATATACTACTATTTTCAAGGCAAAAATTATGTCAGTATAGAACAGAATGTTTTGGTCCCCTCACTCAAACCCAGAGTTGCTGCACTCTTTATCTAATGGATGTACTTGTCCAAGAAATACAGGCGGCTGATAATGCCTTTGTTTGTTGTTTTTCTATCAGTAAACATGGAGGGAAAGTTATAACCATGGCATTATGAAAAGATTATTGTTTTCACATTAACTAAAAACATTTTGAGAACCAGAATGGGAATCTGATCCTCAAAATGTAGCATGTTTTATTCTTTTCATGCAGATCCTTATCACGTAAAAGGTTGCATCCAGCAACATTTACCTTTACCAATCTTAACCATTTTAATGCAACTTGAGACAAATTCACCTCCAGTATGGTAAGTAATACGAGAAAGCAAGGGCAAGGCAGAATGTAGCATATAGTTTTCGAAATTGGTTGCAGCCTGCAGCCCATTCAGGTGACAGGTGTCTATTGTCGCCAGTGGGATGGTGCAGTTGCTCAGGTGACAGCAGCGTGTCATGAGCTTCTGACAGACGCACGAGAAGAGGGGGGGGTGTTTGTGGGACAGGCGTCTGCTTCATTCACGTCTCAACTCGAGTGCGCGGCAGGTGGCACGTAAATGCGCACGCCAGGGGTACGCGACTGTTCCCGTGCGTTTGTGCGCTTTTCACTATGTAAGTGTGAGCTGGTTCTACTTAGAAATGGATATGCTGCAAGAACGAAGTTTCAAATCCAAGCAAGTGGATTTAGAGGAAGAGGAGGACTTCTACTATGATTATGGGGCGGAGGAAATTACAGATTACCAGGACCCCAGTGAACTTGTGGCCGCTCTCAAACAAAAGGAGGAAGAAGTTATTTTGGCAGCCCAGCTTGGAAACGCACTGCTCCTGGAAAACCAACAGTTGAAACAGCAGAGCCATACACTTCATGAGGATTACGCTGAGAAATTTGAGGTAAAATCTGGAATTTTCCGTGAATGATTGACGGAGGTTTACCCACATGCTAATTAACTGTCCTGGACACAGTGTTTTTGTTGTTTGTTTTTGGTGGCCAAAGATTAGGATAATATGAAAATGTCTTGTAATCCAACATGAACTGCTTCATTTAGGTTTCAAATATAATGAATAACGTATAATTGAAAATGTGTGCAATAACTTTTACAACCTAAATTATTCCGACAGAGCTTGCCTCACCATTGCCTATAAGTTCAATCTATATAGCTATTTTTAGTGTGCAAAAGAGCTTCAACAGGTAGAAGTAACTTTCTGCAGTTAGGGACTATTTGTTTTCACTGCTCTAAGGTCTCACACAGTTTTTTGTCTAATGAAAGCTAGGATACCTAACAACATGTAGCCCTGTAAATAATACATTTAGTTTGTCCAGCAGAAAGACTCTTGTAAAAGTAACATTGACTGACCGAGAGTGGTCCTCTCTTGTTCACTTTTCTATCTGAAAAAGCTGATTTAAAGATTTGATAGAGGCCATTCAGAGAAATACGGATATGGGGGCTAGGAACTTGTTTGGATTTTATTTAACAGATAATGGTTTTATGCTTTGAAAGTGGGCAATTCCAGCTTTAATTGCATTTCTGAAAGTAAATCTATAATCTACTCCTGCCTTCATTTTGCCCAGACCAAAATGTTATTACCCTCAAAAATGGAAGAAGAAAACAAACAAACAAAGCCAGAAGATAAATCTATTAAGAAAGAGTTGAAATACTGTAATACAAATACATTAATTGTACAGGAGCTGGAGCAGGACAAGCATGAGCTGCGGATAAAACTGGAGGGGTGCCGGTCGCAGCTGGAGAGCCAAGTGAGTGACTTAGAGAGGGATGTCCGGGAGCTGAGTGCCCAAGTGGAACACCTCACCATGGCCCTTACCGAGGCCGAACGCAACAAGAGCCGAGCTGAACTGGAGCATGGAGAGAACACGTTGTGCCTAAAGGACCAGCTCAACTCAGTAAGTACATTCTACCAGTGTAAATCATGCCACATGGGACACACCGGCTGGATTGTTCGAGGTAACCGAGACACTGTGTAACAAACACTAAAGCTGGAGGAATGAGAGACTGTCTGTCACCCAACCCGTGCAAAATCCTTATGTCCCGTCTCGTATATCAGCCTCCACAGATTGGCTATACTGAGAAACAAAGTGCCAGAATGGGCTAGAATTTTATAATATCAGTATAATACTACTCAAAAGAACTCAAAGATGCTTTACAAAGGAAGAAGACATTCACTTTCATTCACACAAACTCACAAAATCTATTTGTGCAAAACAATTAACAACAAAGCCACCCTGTGTATCTTAGACAGCACAATACTCGGATCATGCAGACGTTATCCCAATAGATGATTGGGTTGACATTTTTCTTAGAAGATAATAAATCATTGGAAACATTTTAGCGACCTCAAGTTACTTTTTAGCGTTGCTTTGAAATGTATGACATAACACATAAACAAACTAGCAACTTTATCATTGTAAAGTGATGTTTATGACCACTGTTCTACTCTGAGAACAGACACATGTTTTACTATCTGTTGTCACACCAGCTGCTGCTGACTCACCAACCTTAGATATGCTGAGTGCACCTTTATGTTTTGTTTTCTAAGGTGCTGACTGCTCACACAGTAACTTTTCTAGTGGGGTGGTCGTGCACTTGCCTGTGTCTGTGCCGAGATGATTGTCCCATATTTCTAATTTATCCTTCTGTAACTTGGCATGATGGTGTACTTGTGTTTCTACAGAGATGAATAAGTTAATTATTGTAGACACAGTGATCCACGGAATGAGCCATTCTAACACAATATTAGCAATGGACCAGCGCAGCATATTGGAAAAGACACTCCCTACCACTCAGGAAAGAAACAATTTAGATAAAATGCAAGGCAGGAAATGGGGTAGGGGGATGTTTGACTTTAATTCCATAGTTGTGGTTTGAAAGATTGATAATGAAAGAAGTTGTTCCTTGAGTTAATTAATCTCTAATAATAATAATAATAATGATGAATTTGATCATTATTATTATTATTAACTACTAAATCTGTAACCATAGCTTACCTGGGGTTGACTGACAGGAGCTGACAGGCATTTGAGCCATCTAACCCTCAAATCACCACCAATAATATTCATACACCAGACTCAAATCAAATTCTTGTCAATGTGGGTGAACTGCCTTGCCAGGCCCACCTGTGGCACCTAGCGGTCTCCCATCACAGCACTATCCAGCCCCTGTCCTGCTTAGTTTCTGATAGTTGACAGAATCAAGCTTTCACATGTAGATATGGCTAATTTCAAATGGTGAATGTATTGTAAGTGATATGGAGGAAGCCATCTGAAGATATTAATGTGTTAAGTTCTTTTAAAATATTGGGAACATGTTTTTTTCCTTTTTGCTTTACATTTGTTCCTATATCATTTATATTGACATTAAAATCTTAATTCCAACTGACGGAATACATTAAACCCCTCCTGTTATTCTTCAAATGAGCCAATGAGACGGATTCAATCCCCAATGACCTCTGGCCCCTGACAGCATCACACCGTTAAGAAAAATCCACACAATAATATACATTAGGAATTAGTGATATAGATCTCCTCTTTTCTTTGATGTTGTACCACAAAATAAATCTTCTAATCCCTGGAGTGAGCCAACGTCCCTTTTGCTTGTTCCCTGAGGGCTAAGGCTGTGGCTGGGGTTGTCAGCTGTTCCTTTATGGTTAGGTGGGCGGGTAAGGGGGGGGGGGGGGGGGGAGGGGGATGTGGGGGGGGGGGGGGGGGGGTGGGGGGGGGGGGGGGGGTGTAATGTATCCAGCTTTGTCCACTGTCCTTCCCCTGTTTGTACCCCCATTGTTATAGAACAGCCTGGTGTTGTCAAGTCTAAAACATTAATTGCCAAGCTCATGTCTGCACGTTTTGTATTTGTCCCATTCACCACTCGCTTATATTTGGATCACTTCCATATGGGCAGCCTTCTTTCCTTCCAATCCCCCCCCCCCTTCTCCTCTCTTCTCATCCTCTTCAAACACATGCGCTACTTTGTGACATGATGATAATGACTGTGAGATGCCATGTGCTCCCATCTGCCATTGGGCTGCTGATCCTGTCTAATAGATCACATCAAGTGCCCTCTGGACTGCTGAGTAAGGTTAGGTTCAGAGGGGTTTGAAGCTAAACGGCTTTTTGTGCATTGGGTCAGTACAAAAACACAACCACAACTGATCCCACCTCTCCCAGTGTATACATTTCAACACCAAATCTTTCCTTTGGGCACTACTTTTCTCCCATCTGTCTTTTGTAAGGAGGCTTTGCAACTAATCATATGGTATATTATCATTATTATTATACCTCCAGGAAGACTGACTTCTAATTAGAATGTTGTATACTAATGATTTTCAGTAGGTGTTTGCATACCATGTCTTTGTGCAAATATTAAGCCTGGATCTGAGGGGAATTCAGAGAAGGACCAAGCCCGGACCAGACCTCCCCCAGCCAGATAAGAGTTGTTTGGAGAAGGGCTTCTTCCTTATAAGGAAGAAGCTATAGGTTGGAATGTGTGAATCCCTTTTTCGGCAGCCCCCAAGGACGAGGAGAGCAAACAGGAAGACCAGCCTCGGACCAGACCAGACGAGGGCCAGAGAGGGACATGGATTAGCTTTTAAGAGCTCTCTTTTGTTGAATATTCTGTATCTGATTGTAAAGATAATTAAATGCAGATGTTAAACTTGGAGAATCTTTTTGTCTGATTTCTGTATCAAATTGTGGACACGTCAGTCAAAGGGAATTATTGGCTTCATTTGGTGACCCGAGACGTGATTTGATACAGAAAGAAGACGCAAGATGAGCTCAGATATAGACTGGGTCCGTCGGCCGGGAGAATTCTCTCTTCTCTTCTCTCTTCTCTTCGAAAGAGGTAAGCGGATCGTTACTTTTGAAAATCTGCACATTGTTTTAAATGGAAGAGAGAGAGAATTCGGCTCGGCGGACTGCAGCGTGGCCAGACGACCGCCGTGACGGGCGATTCTATCGGACGCGATAGAACAATAGTCAGGTTTAGACGTTTTTGGCCTTGGGGGAAGCATGGGTCCCTCCAAAAAAAAACAGAACATAGATGATGAATCAGAGCCACAGAGTTTATAAGTGCAGAAGAGGCACACCGTTTAGAGTGCAAAAGAAGCACACCGTTTTAAAGTGCAAAAGAGGCACAAGTGTTTAGAGAAATAGGATTAGAAAATAGGGACAGTTAGGGTCAGAAGTTATAGGATAATGAAACCTCCATATCCCCCGGGGGGGGGCGGGAAAAAGGGTACAATTAATTTAAACAGAAGAAAAGCCAAGTATTTAAAATGTGGATTCTGATAATAATGATCTGATTAATGAGAAAAGAGAGAGCCACTTGGCTGTAGTATACGAGTTTCATGTGAAGAAATGATCAGTTATGGAAGTTTTTCTCTTATTCTGATGTAATGTTTAATAGTTACAGAGAATCAAAAAAAAAAAAAAAAAAAAAAAAAAGAGATTCTGCTGGGACTATTAGTCATGTAAGCAAATAGTAATGTTTTCCATTACTGACGTATTTAAGGATAAAATGTAAAGTGTCGTTTGACGTGAGAAAAACTTTTACCACTGATTAAAACCTTGTCACGAGAAAAACGAGGAAAGTATTTCAGACTCCATGTTTCCTTTGTTCGGGAGGCCCCTCCCCTCCCTCGTTCTGTCTTCTCTCTCTCCCCTTCCTCGCTCTCTCTCTCTCTCTCTCTCTCTCTCTCTCTCTCTCTCTCTCTCTCTCCCTCTGTCTTTCTCTCTCTCGTGAAGAAAGAATTTTTTTTGTAGAAAATTACATTTATACACACGATAATGTTACTGACATGGAGTCATAGGATCACAGAACTTTGAGTTAGATTATAAAGAGGCATTATTTTATTTTTTATTTTTTATCTCCAAGGCGTCTGGACAAGTTTTTTCCCTACATTTTGGTGATATAAAAGTTAGAATGATCTTAGAGAGCATTATACTTTTGGAAAAATAGGGCTCAGGATAGCAGTTGAATGCAGAATTCGGTTTTCAGAATCTAATGTGTAAAATGTTAATATTAATTATTTCATAGGTTTATTTTGAATTGTAATTAATCATTGGTTTGGTATGGTAATTAACACACTTGTTTGTGCTTCTTGTTTGTCTGTTTTTTTCCGAGAAAACTTCTGTCTGTTTCATTTGGCCAAAATCGTCTCGGCCACAAACCACCATCAAGCGCCATCAACACGGACCATCAGCGTCTCCCCCTCTCCCTGCGGGTCGCAGGGGGCAGCATCGGCCGCAGCAGCTAACAGGAACTCTCGAAGAAGACTCCTCCTGCCTGTGAGGAGGCAAAGAAAAGACCGCAGACTTTTTCACAAACTGAGTGTTGTCCCATCTGCGGAACAGAAGGTGGCGGTAATACGGAAAAATAGGCCGCCAACCGCCGGAAAACCAAACAAGAAGAAGAAGGACACGACACATTTGGGTGCGTCAGATATGAAAGAAGAAGAAAGACATTATGAGGAAAAGTTATCGGAAGAAGAAAAAAGTGATTGTTGAAAGAAGAAGAAAGACATTGTGAGAAAGAGTTATCGGAAGAAGAAAGAAAGTGATTGTTGAAAGAAGAAGAAAAAAGGCATTGAGGCAAGGACATTGGACACTTTGAGACAAAGACATTGGACACTTTGAGACAAAAGACACTGAAAGACGCCATAAGAAGAAGACGTGGCCGGGCTAAATGAGACAGACAGAAGGTAAATATATACGGACAAACAAGCGCACAGAGACATGTGGAATTTAAGTCATATTTACACATTTAGGTCATTCGTTCATAACACTACATTTAGCTGCATGAAAGAATACAGGACAATCGTTAAAATTAATTAGACTCTTGCTTTAGCATGAGACACAAGGAGATTAGAACAGCAGTATATTTAAAGTAGAGGAGCTCTATTATTGAAACTAGTATTATTATTTAAAGTTATAGACGCGGAGAAGTTTAGAATTATTGATTTTGACTGCATGATCTTGGTAATACGGATATTTAAGGCAATTTTTCAACCTCTGAACCGTGGCTCGTTTCTCATTTAAGAACAATCACATGCACAGTTGAAACTGGTGCTAGAAAGAGAACTGCAGCTTTTAATGGACGTTGCATTTAGTACAAAATGGTTTGTTCAGACAATTAAAGTTTGAAAAATGATTTAAAGCATTTCTGAATTTTGGCTAAAGGTGATATTGGATCATTTCTGATAACACATAGACGCAACACTGTTCATTGGTTGAAAACAAGGATGTAGAGACATTTTAGGAAATCTTTTATGACATGTTTCTTTTCCAAATAGCTAAATTAGAAACAATTAGGACAATTATGTCTTTGATACAACTGTTGGCAGTTTATCTGAGACATGATTGGTACAAGTACACACACATAAAACGATGGTCTTTTCTCCACATGAACGTGAAACAAAGGTGAAGTATTAAAGTTTGAGACTAATTTACATTTTTAATGAATCCGACCTGGCTTTACTGAAAAAGAAAAAAGAAGGAAATAACATTTTAAAGTAACAAGAGCTCATTAAAGATATAGGGGACACAATCTGTGATAAGCCCGAGTACAGACCACGTGGTTTAAACACTAAAAGTTTGAAATGGATCCTTTTAAGAAAAAATCTCTCAAAGCTCTGCATGTTCTGCAGGCTCTGAAAGTTGCAACAATAGAAATAGCTCATGAGACAATTGTAATTGGACATGGAAAAATATAACAAAGTTAAAATTACAAGCCTTCTGTGTTATATGTTTGTGTGTGCTATATGTTTGTGTGTGTTATATGTTTGTGTATGTTATATGTTTGTGCGTCATGTCAAGTACACTACGTTGACCTTAACAAACTCTGGACCAATACTAACTGGGGAGTCGGCCTGTGTGAGTGATGTGAGTGTGATGTGAAATGAGGAGTGGACGAGGAGTGCTGAACGGATCATGGAATAACAAATGTCTTTCTGTAATGTGATCATGGAATAATTATTTTTTGTCAACAGCATACGGTGTAAGTACTAGAGATTCAAAGATAACAAGCTTTATTGAACAGGTGTAAAAGTGAGAGTACTCTGGGATGAGTACTCTGAGAAAGTACTCTGAGATGAAATACCTTGCTGAAGGTACTGGGAGTCCCTCCCTCTGCTGTTTGTCCTGACAGTGATTCGGTCCAACCGCAGTGAGCGGTCATTGGGCGGAGGACAACTTTGGTTTGTAACTCACATTTAGGGGAGTATAAAATTAGAAACATACATATTGTTAAGTCTGTATTTGGCTACAGCCTCTGCCCTGATGTCACACACCGTCTGTCAATGCAGTTATGTTTTGCCCAATTGGAAAACATTGACAGGCCGCTAAAAGCCAGGGAAGTTGGCATTTTTGTGTTCTAATATTTCTTTTTCAGATGAGAGATAAACTACCCCTGCTTCAGGGATGACAGTAGTATGGATCATGAGGAAATGAGCCTCTACTTTGGCACCAAAGCCCACAATATGAATTGAGGACGATCCGGGAGGAACAACTGGAGAATGATGGGAACAGTAATCTACACACACACACAGATGCATGTTTTACACTTGGCCCATGACCAAGAGAGGGGAGTATTGTAATGTTATTGTCATAGGTGGTCATGGTCCTTAACCTTCTAAATCATTAGAAAGAAGTGTAAAACATATATTTACAAGAACAAATAAATAATAGAAAGGGCAGCCTAAAAAAGCAAAATGGGAAAATTATTAAGTAATTTTCGGAGTTGCCAAAATGGAATAAAATTCTATATTTGTCCCATAGGGGGTCATTCTAAATTTAGTGTTGTGCAAATTCAAAAGGAGAAATAATAGCGCTTATAACATCAAACAGATCTACTCTTTAAGATAATAGATCATATAATAATAATAATAGAATAGAATGAAATAGTCTGGAGCTATAATGTCATTGGATTCAAGGAGCTATAGGTTGAAAGGTCGCTAAGAAGAGGTGTCAGAATAAACAATAGTAATAATAGTTAGAGTAGTGAATAATCATCCATCCATCCATCCATTTTCTTCCCCTTAATCCATCTCTGGGTCGGGGGGGGGGCAGTCAGAGCTGCACCCAGTACACAGAGCACCAGCCCCTCACTGATCCTCCTGCAGGTGGTGAGTCCACAGGAGTGAATAATCAAAATAGTTCTATTGTGGAAATAAGTATCAATAAGGTCAAATTGTTCTAATAACTAAAGTAAAAAGGAATCAAATGGAGTCAGATTTTAGATGTTTCTGTTTTCCACATCTGTAGGAACTAGTGCAGATGTGTTTATAGAGAGTAGTATTAAAATGCAGACATAGAACGACAGGCTTTAACACAATTTTAAATCTAAAAATAGCTCAAATATAACATTGCTCTTGATGCAGCCTCTGAGCTGCTCCATTGGAGAACAGGTTAAATGTTATTGTTTATTACAAACAGCAGATGTATTTACACATATTAAGTTTGGGACAACTCTTTAAACAGTTATAAGCAGCGGACAGAAGCCATGAATGTGCTTTTGTTTATTAAATAATTAAATGCATAGCCTTATAATCGTAGAGAACGTTTTAAAATAGTTAAAATCCCTTTCAGGCAACTTGATTTAGATGTATGTCTTTAATATTGGAGAACGACTGTGTTGTTTTTGGAATTGTCTGAAATACAATACATAGAATAGTGATTCGCAGAACAAGAACCAGCCAATGAAAAATCGTCCATTGCCAATGCAATTGTTACAATTAGAACCACAACTGTGACCAAATGCAATAAAATGTTAAGGGTTCAGTCTGGCAGACAGAAAGGTTGATTTTTAGTCTGGGAGACTGAGCAACAGTTAAAATGTTTTAAAATGATAAAGTATGAGTATTGTAGCGTTTTAATAATAGTAAAAAAAGTAGAATTGTCCTTCCTTTGTTGTTCATAAACACATTTCCACATAAGAGTTAAAATAGTACCATACAATGTTATCTCTGATAGAGCAGATAATATTAGAATCAGAATAATGTTAGAGATATTAAAAGTGACAGAAGTTACAAACAAGGAATATGCCTTTGCTCAAGCTGCAACCGAGCTTTAGAGTCACAATAGAGTAAAAATAGGAATAGATAAATGCATCAACCATAGATGCTTTCAAAATGGAGATTATTTTTAGCCAAGGCTAATATCAAACGGTAAAAGGACCATTTCCTTCATATTATGTCTAAAAGTATTTACTTCAAAGGTAGATAAAGTTCATTACAGTTTATGCACAGTTTTATTAGATACTGTCAAATTCACTTGTTTCAAACATAGGTGAATGTTGACAATGCAAAAAGCTAATGAGATAGATTAATGAGATCGATTAGAACCAACACAGATTCAAAAACATTTAAAAGCATTTTAATGTATTTGGGTATAGCACAAAAGTAGATCTTTAGGTATTTTTGAGAATTTTAAGAGCTGTCAATTTGTCAGCAACAGATTAGAGAATCAAAATACCGTTGTATAGGGACTGACCCCAGAGAAACCTGCTAAAATAGATTAGCTCCTGTATGGATAATACCAATTTGATTAACGATGTACATTTATCCCAAACGGTCTGAGAGGAGGAAGTGACAGCACTTCCTGGTTCAACAAAATGTGTTTGGAAAAATGAGCAAAGCCCCACAAAATGGCCCAGCCACTGATAATGAAAGCAAACCACAGTATAGATAGATTTATTAGATAAAAACATATGTTTAAGAATAGGGCTCAATAAAAGCAAAATATGCAAACATATTTGTAAATAGATCAGAATAGTTTAAACTATAGTGAATAGTTTTAGTGCATACATTACAGACGAGGTTGATGAAGACACAGCAGTAGTCATCAAATAGTATTGAAGGAATGGTTAAAATGTGGTTTGTTGTGTGTGTATTCTTTCTGTATTAACTCTTCACAGATATCAAGCCTGAACTAAGCACAAGTATTGATGATAAACGACGATGTGGATTGTGACCTAATTTTTAATCAGGTCAAAAGAGGGAAACTGTTGTATAATTAGAATGTTGTATACTAATGATTTTCAGTAGGTGTTTGCATACCATGTCTTTGTGCAAATATTAAGCCTGGATCTAGGGGAATTCAGAGAAGGACCAAGCCCGGACCAGACCTCCCCCAGCCAGATAAGAGTTGTTTGGAGAAGGGCTTCTTCCTTATAAGGAAGAAGCTATAGGTTGGAATGTGTGAATCCCTTTTTCGGCAGCCCCCAAGGACGAGGAGAGCAAACAGGAAGACCAGCCTCGGACCAGACCAGACGAGGGCCAGAGAGGGACATGGATTAGCTTTTAAGAGCTCTCTTTTGTTGAATATTCTGTATCTGATTGTAAAGATAATTAAATGCAGATGTTAAACTTGGAGAATCTTTTTGTCTGATTTCTGTATCAAATTGTGGACACGTCAGTCAAAGGGAATTATTGGCTTCAGTCCCCAGGCATAGCACGAAGCGGTTGTTGCTCCTGACGGATTGCCCTTGAGGGATTGAAGAATGGGTCAAATGTAGGGGACAAATTGCCTTACAGGGGCAAAAAGGTCTGCCTTTCCAAATAAGGTTTACCTAAACAACAGTAGTTTACCATTCAAGAGTCTACCGAAAAAAATATATGTAACGTAATGAGGCTGCTATTCTACTTCAAGGAAGTTACAATAAAACTAATTTTCAATAGATGTATGACTTCTTTAGGGACACATAAAACTCTGTTTCTGAGCCAAGGGAAAATTCAACCACAACGGTTTTCTTCTCTTCTGATGGGTAAAACTGTCAATCTCAAGAAACAGCCAAAGTCCCTCCTCGAAGCAGGGTTCCTGGATCTACAACAGGCTGTCGTAATGGTGAATGGTGAAAAGCGATATTACCACAAAGCCGAACAGCAGCTTCTATGTTTCTCATGAACTGCACTGACAGTGACTTGTGTCTGCCAAAGCCAATCAGGAGAACGCACTCACCTTTGCTGGGGGAACAGTGTGGGGGAGACTTTGCCCAACAGCTGGCAAAACAGAGGAAGTTCCCCTTTTTCAGCTTTCAGGCTATTGTCAAAATGAGATGCTGACAACCTTCACAATCAGTAATAGTAAAAGGCTCCAATTTACAAGGTCTTGCATGAAATACCCCACAATCCACTGCAGTCACGCTACTCATACCCCCGCTGCTGTTCTTTATTACTAAAGTGTGTGTCCAAAAAGTGTGTAGGAATGTGTAGCAACTTTGTGGAGTGGTTATCATGATTATATATTATATCATGATTTATGCTTCAGATGAGTACGAAAAAGTGCTACATCAGCGGTGAACAGGTGTCTGCTGGTCGACTGTAATTGTTGTTTTTTCTTGTTCAAATATGAAAGACAGAAATGACTTATGAACTTGCCATCATCAGATAGAATTGACTTTTATGAAGGTTGATTTGTGTTTTTATTATGAGTATTTTATTTTACATTTACAACTTTTGAAACTGTATTCAGTTAATATGATTAACATTTTCAAGTTGCTGTTCATTGGATCCACCTTCACAAACTTTCTTCACAAGACAATATAAGATATGAAACCAATCCAATTTGTACTCATATTGTCAAATGAACTCCAGCAGATTAATAGTTTTTCTCTTTTCTCAGCATTTTCTGTACAGTACAAGATTCTCCTGCCGGACGATTCTTTTTTATAGTTTGTCCTGGACCGGTTTGTGCGTTTGTGATTTGTTTGTGTGTTAATTGAAAAATTAATACAACTAAATGCGGATTGTCATTAAAGCAACTAATACAGTATAGATATACAGTGTAATAGCTTCAATTATTACAGTATGAGTCACTTGCAGCATTGATAATCTGCTTTATAAGGCTACTATTTAACCCATGTATCTAATTATACTTAAATAAGATTAAAACAAATCATTGGCAGAACAGTCTACAGCTACACGCCTTCTGCACCTTTGCTCCAGCTCAATCCAAACAAACAGTAACTGAAATAGTTTTGTTCAGAATGAAAACCCCAAAACAATATACAAACTCATGCCATACACAGGTTATAAATTCCTAAAAAATACTGTCAGAATGAAAAACAAATATATATATACATTTTTTTAACTTTCGACTAAGTAAACTACTATATAGCTATTACTATTAAAATTCAGACCAAAATGAGTTTAACACCCCTGCTTTAACCTGCAGATTGCCCTTTCAAGTAAGTCTCTTTCTAGATATGTCTTAAGAATCAATATGTTATTATTTTGCTAATTGAATAATTCTTTGTCCCATAAGATTTGAATGAGAGGTCAAATGCGTACACAGGCTGGGACAACATTTTCCTTGTAGCGTGCAGCAAAGCCTGAGCCAAAATCAACTTCCACCAGACGCTGATATTGAGTAATTTTTAAAAAAGGGCAGCTGCTCTTAATGTCAGAGGTGGAGTTCCATTTGCCGACCCTGCTTATCAGGATTACAAGACCATTGCTTGTTTCCTCAACTCCGCAAACACATAGAGGTAGACTTTGATTTTATCAGTGGTGCTTTCGGAAATTAAATGGTGGTTTAACGCTGCTATAGTTTCAATGCAGTGAGTGAATTACAGCAAAGACAAATATTTGTGATACCGTTTCAGAGAAAGGCGCCGTGGCAACTTTCAACAGGGAGGTTTCCAGATATTGTAGGGGAACTGGCATTACAATAACATTCATCAGCGTTTTGGCACCATTGTTTGCCAGGTGATGATGGGGATGTGGACTGTGCCAATCACCAGAGCTTCGTCCAGCAGTGGAATCAGAGGAACCCACCCAAGCAGGATGCCCCTGACGGCAGCCAAGCATGTGTAAACCAACAGACCACAAACAGGGCATTTCACTCTTTAAAATTAAGCTGGTTTTGGAGAATTTCTACCCTGTTCTAAAAACAAAAGAAAAAACTTGCCATAAGAAGTAAAATATGCAATAAACTGTTTTTTCTGTCCTGGACCTGTGTGTGTGTGTGTGTGTGTATGTGTGTGTGTGTGTGTGTGTGTGTGTGTGTGTGTGTGTGTGTGTGTGTGTGTGTGTGTGTGTGTGTGTGTGTTTGTGTGTGTGTGTGTGTGTGTGTGTGTGTCTGTGTGTGTGTGTGTCTGTGAATGTGTGTGTGTGTGTGTGTGTTGGAAAATGATTAAATAATAGATTATAAAAACGAAAAATATGATAATAATCTCATATAGCAGCATTATATTAGTTACATACCAGGTACAAGTCCTCCATATCCTTGTCCACCACGTCCACCCGCTCCAGGCACCGAGCCTTGTCCTCCATAACCTGGAACTAAATATTACCTGAGTCATCGCCAAACCATCAGCTTTTTATTTGAACTTGAATTTATTGACTTCTTTTTGTAAACATAATTCAAGTCAAGAGCTTGCAATATTTAAATCTGGTCCAGATGAGCATGTAAAATATGCTTTTTTTATGAAAAGATAAAAATAAGAAATGCTGTGTCTCATTGTACTCACCAGCAGGTTTGGCCGGTTTATAGCCCGCCTGGACCCCTCCAGACCCTTGTAAAACAGAAACGGAGGACTGAGTAGCAGATAGTGATGTCATGGATATGGTTTTATTTATATTTCACAAGGACATCATAATAGCCTGTGACATGAGGCATTTCGATGAAACATTGACTTCATTATAATTTCAAATGTTGGATTTCATGGGAGCGTGTATTATACAAGTACAGCTGGAAAAAAACAGCCATAATTTTTGCTCAACAAGGCCAAATCAAATCACAGAACCAAAGAGCTGTTTAGTCTGACATTATTCTACGACAGAGTAGTTTTGTCAAAGAACTTAAAATTCACACGTATATTATTGAATTCAGACTTCAAATCTCATGAGACCAATCCTTTTCCACAAGTGAACATACTTTCATATTCTTGATTATATATGTACTTCCCCGTGTGTGAAACTTTGCTTCCATGTTGTGTTCTGGATTATATCCACTGAAACAGTTAGGACACATTTTGGATGAGTTTTTTTTTACCTGGAAAGAAGCCTGCTGATCCAGGCCCAGGTCCTGCACCAGGTGGTACGTACACACCTGCAACACACAACAGACATCATCCTTATTCCACAATAGTTTCTCACCAACAACTTTAGGTATTTTATGGGGGAAATTATTAATCACTTAAAACACATCAAAATAAAATGAAATAAATGCGTGGGAAATACCCAGAAATACAAAATACAACTGTGATACAGTATAGATTAAAAAAAATATTGTTTTAGCTGTAATTCAGACCCCCATCTGAATCCCCTTACCACTTTTTAACATGAACTTAGGCTGCACTCCAGAGAACCTCCTAAAACAGCCAGATACTGTGGTCTCCAGAGTACAAGGAACAACAACCAAAATATGAGTCCAACAAGGAGCTCTAATCATTCAATTCACAAAAAAGGAAAGGCAAAGGAATTGTTGATTGTATTATGTATGTATATGAATGTACAGCATGTATTTGTGTGCGTGTGTTTGTTTGTTTGTGTGCGTTTTCTTCATAAAATACAATAGCAAGTAACTTAAATTACTGCAATATTCCCATAATTTATAAGAATGTATAGATAATAATTGTTTTACAAGGTTAGGGTTAGGTAAGTTTTATAACGACTAAAACTTTACAAACTTTAAACAAAAGGAGGTTTATACACCTGATGACCTATATGACCTGCATGTCATAATAGTTTCCTATAATATTTTATTTTTCTGAAGAGATACTATAGAAAAATGCTGTTTAGTGTTGCGTGTGCATTTATGTCACAAAATGTGCACTCCCAGGGGTTTTCTGGCAAAACACTGTGTCCCCTGTCACTGGGATATTCTAAAGCAATTTGATTGAAGAAAAGTTAATTCTTTGAGTCAATGATACATTTATGACAATATTTTACATAGATTTGTTTCATTTGGCTGATTTCAGGCTGTGGAATTGCACAGTCAAAGTAGACGGCTCCATCATATCTACAGTGAAAAAGAGGATTTCCCGTCTTGGCATTGTGAGCCAGGGAAAAAGCCTGTATCAAGGTCCCATCAAGCTTCTATGTGCGATACTCACTAAGTGCATAAGTGCATTGGGTTCAGGGAATAAGCAAAGAACAGCATTGACCGATGGTAAAGAGACAAGATATTCTAATAATTTAAGTCATTATCATCCTAAGCGTAGCAAGGTTCTTCAGGACAGACAGAAAATGACCCTCATTAAAGGCCCACTTCATTCTTTGCAATCAACTAACATTTTGTATATGTTCTGAGGTTTAAAAGAATCACATAGAGATTTCCAAGGATTCTACTGCATCCAGATGCAAAATCGCTCTATTTATATTTCCCACAATGTTTTGATGCAATAAGTCAGAACAGAACATATCACTGTGATGTAAACTACGACATACATTTTTGTCACCATTTCAATAAGGTTTTTTTTTCCCCACATGTCCAAAACCGCTGTCCCAAAAGGAGGATTGGAAAGCCAGAGTCCTGCAAGCCAAAGCAGTGAAGCATACACTGTGGTCTGGCACTCTGGCATCTGTCCTTATCAGAGAGAGAAGAATCCCGCACACCGTCTTACGTGCAAATAAAAAATATTTATTTAAGGAGCTGCGACGTTTCGGCGTTATGCCTTCATCAAGCAAACATGAGAAGAGCACCAGGAAGTTCTCTTAAATAGGGTGGGGCAGGCACCTAAGGGTGCACAGTCAACCACACCCACAGAGCCGTGTACAAAAAACATATGAGCCACTAGGTGGAGACATTCAAAGATTACAATCAATACAATATCTATATATATATATATATACATTTGCTAAATACCTATTTATAGTAAATAGTAAATAGAAAAGTTAGAAAAAGCAGAAGAGTTAGAAAAAAGAGTTAGAAAAAACTGGATCTGTCCTTATCAGACATGTGACAGCTGGCCTCCCATCACTAAGAACACCCACAAAGGCAAAGCAGGCAGTTTTCGCTCATGATGAAGATCCAAAAATGCAAATAATCACGTCATTGTGCTTTGATTTTAAGTAGACGATCTCCCTAAAGGTCTTTGCGTACATAGCAGGTTTAGAAAAGGAGACAGTCGAGTGTAACCATAACAATGACTAGTATTTTGTGTTTTTTTTTTTTTATAGAAACAAGGGACAAAGCTGTTTTATTGTCGTGTCTTGAATTCGTCAATTTTGATCCAAGTTTACATAGCGTATGTAGAAGCGAAGAACTGTAAGATTTATGCTCAAATCCTTCCAGTCTGCTTTGGCTGTAGATGAATCGGTGCAGCTGTGTGGACCAGAAAACGCCCTCCGCCTATAGACATTGTGTTTACTTATAAAAAGGATTTGATCATGAAATTGACGTCAAGTATTTGATCACTCAATCTGCGCTTGGGCAACGGTAGGATGAGAAAACAGAAACATCTCACAGCCTGGTGAGGAGGCCGCGGTGAATCATCCTCCTTCATGGACCTCTTTGTTCAACGTTTGGCACCGGAACATCACAGACCAAACATCTGACGGCACTATGCTACAGCCGCCGCAAGAATCCCACCAGACTCATTAATAATGTTCTTCTTGTGTATAGTTTCTGAATACAGACTATCTGGAATGACAAGTATTAGCGAGCAGGTGTGGGAATATCTCCTTACATACTTATTCTTTTTTTATTGTAAGTAAGTCATCTAAATAGCGCATTTTACAGAACAAGATCACACAAAGCCCTCCACTCTCTCCACACTCAGTAATTACAGAAGTGAAATTTCAAACACAAAACCCCTGCCCATCACCATCCACTCACTCATTACTTTCATTCCTATTGTACATGTTTTTAGTAGTAGGGGAAACCGGAGCACACGGAGGAAATCAGAGCACAGAGAGGAAACCGATGCAGACACAAGGAGAATATGCAAACTCCACACAGAAAGGCCCCGTCTGGAGGTGGAATCGAATCCAGGACTTTCTTGCAGTGAAGCCCAAAAAAGCAAAAACAACCGGCACCATCTCCCCATTGTCTCTGCAGCTGATGTAAAGTGTGGCTGTGGACAGAGCTCTCGTAAGACTTTCCCAGAGCGTGGGCCAAAGTCAGAACTAAAGTCTTTCACAAGCGAAGGCCAGCCACTGAGAGGGCTTGTAATCTGTTTCACAAACGAGTCCTGGATGAGGTCAGCTGACTCATGACCAACATCAGCACAGTGGTGGAAAGAGTGGCTTCTTTACATATCACTGAAGACCAAATACAATGGACCAAACTCTCTCTAAAGTACATGCAAGTTATTATTTGACAAATTAGTTAGTTGGTTGAATGATTCATTAAAGGGTAAGAAAGTAATGTGTTTGTTATAAATGGTGCCAAACTTCCATATCTCTCTATAGTGTGATGTCAACAGTTGTAGACCTCTGCTACTTCCTGCAAATGTCATTCTACGTCATGGTGCTACGTCCCTTAGGACTTCGCTAGTGGGATATCACGTGACCCCCAGGTCACAGACGCCAGAGAGATCAAAATAATTTGCTCCAATCACCAGCCACCTTCCTCTATAAATGCCCCTGCACAAGGCCGCACCCCCTCTTTCACTCTGGCGCCGTTTGAGATCTACATTCGTTACCTGAGAAAGAAAGATGTCTTCTGATGCACGTCCGAGTTCCCCTTCGCCATCCGGCGTCGGACGTCGTCGTTGCTCGACCTGTCGGGGCAAGCTCCAACGCAAGGACCAGCACTCCAGCTGCTTCATGTGCCTGGGTGCGGGCCATGCGGCGTTGAGCGCCACCTGCGCCTCGTGTGTCGCTCTCCCCAGGGAGGAGAGTGAACGCAGGCGCGCGTTCTTCGCCGCTACAGCGCCCCGTCCGGACTCCTCTAAGGACGAGGAGTCTGAGATTGACTGGGCCCCCCTCGACATTCCACCTGTGCCCGCGGAGTGGGGTGACTGCGAGGACGGAGAGGTGTCGGAGGTCGGCTCTCTCCTCACGCTGGACGAGGTGGTGTCCAACCCGGAGCCGGACCGCTTCCCGCTGGACCACATGCCTGGGCTCTACGCCAGGGCGGCGGCCATCATGGATGCCCCCCTGCCACCGCAACCGAACCAGAGGGTGGAGGACTTCACCTCTGGGTACGCAGCCCCTCGAGGGAGGAGGAGAGCCCAGCCCACGTTGTGCCCGCGTATGGACCCGATCGTCCATTACGCGACACGTGAGTGGCCAAAACCCCTAGCGGCCAAGAGGCCCGCTTTGGGGTATGGCATGTACTGCAACGTGCAGGACTGGTCCTGGACAGGCGGGGTCCCGGACATCGAGGACTCGGTTCGGGCGGCCCTGCACCCCTCCTCATCCGTGTGGCCCAGCACCAGACCTCTCCTTCCCTCCGAGCGGGATAGGATGTCTCTGGCTATGCATGACAGATGTTACGCCAATGCGGCTCAGGTCGTCGCGGTGGCGAACAACATGGCTTTCATCACCGGGGCCCTGGATAGGTCTCTCTCCTCTGACCAGGCACTCAGTGGAGACACCTTAGCCCAGGCGAGGACCACTTCAGCAGCGATCTTGCGCATGTGCCAAGCGCTAGCTGTCGATGGCGGCCGCTCTATGGCAGCAGCCCAGGTCGGGGCCAGACACCTCTGGCTGGGGGCGGTGAACCTCAGAGAGGCGGAGAAGAGGCAGCTACTGGACCTGCCCATCTCCCAGACGTCGCTCTTCGGTCCGGAGATGCAGACGCTGATGACGAGGCTGGACAGCGCGGCTAAGGACTCGGCTAGCCTAGCAAAACACCTAGCTACGAGACGCGAGGCCCGCCCACCAGCGCGGAGCCGAGACAGAGGCAGGGAGCGCTCGCCTGGCAAGCGCCCCGGACCATATCCACGCTCCGTGGTCCATCGTTCCCCAGCGGCGAGACCCCCGGGCCCAGACAGGCACACGGGAGGTTCGCGGGACCAACACACCCATCGACGGCCTCCCTACGGTAGAGGAGGTCGGGGTGGTAAAAACTCTTTCAATAAAGGCCGTCCGGCATTTCACCAGTACTCGCTGTCTGAGTCTCATTTGGGGGTATGTAACATGTCAAATGATTTGAATTCTGTTTGTGTTACTTCTCGAGCATATAACGTGGCTCCGCCAGGCCTGCAGCCCCCAGAGAAGGGCGTGCAGCGCGCTGTGCAGACCACGAGCTCCGATTCACGGGTTCATGTTTTGCCCTCCCGGAGAGAGGGCAGGCGGAGGGATCTGATAAGTGCTAATGTGTGTGCTCCGGGCGCTAGCGTGTTAGCATCTCTGAGCTACAAGGCTAACACGGGGTTTCCCAATCCAGGGGCTCTCCCCCCCCTCCATGAGGCAAGAGCCAAGGGGGGGCGCAGCAGCCGTGTCACGCGTGATGAGCAGAGCTACATTGCTAACACGGGGTTTCCTAATCCAGGGGCTCTTCCCCCCCTCCATGAGGCAAGAGCCAAGGGGGGGCGCAGCAGCCGTGTCACGCGTGATGAGCAGAGCTACAATGCTAACACGGGGTTTCCCGATGCAGGGGCTCGCCCCCCCCTCCATGAGGCAAGAGCCAGGGGGGGGCGCAGCAGCAGCCGGGTCACGTGTGGTGAGCAGTCCCGTACTTATGACGTCGGACCTGCAGAACACGTGACCGCCCTCGGCGCTCACGGTGTGACGCAGGGGCCCCCCCGGCCCTTTCAGCCACCCCCCCTCCCTGCTAGGAACACCAGGAGGGGGCGGGGCCATGACGTCTCGTGTTCCAGCTCCCGTTCCGCCCTCACAGATTTTTTCTACGACATCTGGAAGGAGCAGGGCTTACTGTCAGATGTTTGGCTGGAGAAAACTCTGCGCAGAGGTTACGCTCTGCAATTTTTCCGAAAGCACCACCATTCCGAGGCGTACGGGCAGTACGCTCTCAGGTACGGGGATCGACAGAGGCACTGGAAGCAGAGGTCTCCTCCCTGCTGAGTCGAGGCGCAGCAGTGGAGGTAGACCCGCAGGACGCCACCAGGGGGCTGTACTCCCCTTACTTTCTGGTGCCAAAGAAATCAGGCGGGGTGCGTCCCATTCTGGATCTGCGCGTGTTAAACGAGTGCATTTCCAAACGGCAGTTTCGGATGCTGTCCACAAGGCAGCTCCTCGAGTGTGTCAGGGAAGGAGACTGGATGACATCCATAGACCTGACAGACGCATACTTCCACGTACCCATAGTGCCAGAACACAGGAGATTTCTGCGCTTCGCAGTGGGAGAGAGGAATTACGAGTATTGCCGTCTCCCTTTCGGGTACGCTCTCGCGCCTCGCACTTTTTCCAAATGTGTGGAAGCGGCTCTGGAGCCGATCAGACGTGCCGGGGTAAGAATATTGACCTATATAGACGATTGGTTAATACTGGCCCCATCCAGGGAAGTGGCCGTGAGCCACACGCAATGGGTCTTGTCCCACATACAGCGTCTGGGCTTTGTGGTGAACAGGGAGAAGAGCAAGCTGCAGCCAGCCCAACGCATGATTTACCTCGGTCTGCAGCTAGACTCTGTGATATTCCGTGCTGCATTGTCCGTGGACAGACGGACGAATATTACCCGTCTGGCCCGGGAGGTTCTGGCGGGCCCCAGAGTTCCCGCTCGGCGCCTCAGGTCCCTGCTGGGGATGATGGCAGCGGCTCATGCTGTGGTGCGGCTAGGCCTGCTCCACATGAGAAATTTTCAGAGGTGGTTCTCGCGCCTCAGGCTTCACCCCTCCCGGGACGGGGGGAGGCTGATCTGGGTTCCCCAAGGGGCAGCATCGGACATCAGGTTCTGGCTCACTCCGGGTCTACTGCGGGACGGAGTGACTCTGGCCTGCGCTGTGTCTCACGCCGAGGTGTTCACGGACGCGTCGCTCGAAGGATGGGGCGGGGTCCTCGGCCAGAGCTCTGTAGGAGGCTGCTGGTCGGACTCAGCCCGTCACATCAACCTGCTGGAGATGGAGGCAGTGCACAGAGTACTGCTGCACTTTGCCCCTCAGCTGCAGGGGAGACACGTGATGGTGCGCTCAGACAACACCACAGTGGTCTCCTATCTGAACAGGCAGGGGGGCACCAGGTCCCCCGCTCTCCATCGCATGGCGACGGTGACGCTGCTGTGGGCGGCGCTTCACCTCCTGTCTCTCAGGGCGCGCCACGTCCCGGGGGTCCGGAACGTGGGAGCCGACAGGATGTCCAGGGGGGGCCCACTCCAGGACGAGTGGGGCCTGGCCCCACGGGTAGCCGCGGAGATCTGGCGGAGGTTCGGTCGTCCAGTAGTCGACCTTTTCGCCAGTGCAGAGAACGCACAGTGCCCGTCCTGGTTCGCCTTAAGGGCCGCGGACGAGCCGCCTTTAGGCGTGGACGCTCTGGCTCATTACCCATGGCCAGGCGGCCTGTTGTACGCTTTTCCACCGGTGCGTCTCCTGCCGGTCCTACTGCGGAGGATCGAACAGGAGAGGAGGTCGGTGATTCTGGTGGCTCCGGACAGCCCGCATGCCCGGTGGTTCCCCTTCCTGAGGGGCATGGCGGTGATGGAGCCCTGGGCCCTCCCGGACGAGCCGGGGGCTCTAGTCCAGGGGGCAGGAGCCCTGTTTTCACGTCCGATAATCGGCCGCAGGCTCTGGGTTTGGAGGTTGAGAGGCGGAGCCTCGTAGATCTGGGTCTTCCCCCTGCGGTGGTGGAGACAATTCAGGGAGCGAGGGCGCCGTCCACCGTGAGGGCCTACGCCACGAGGTGGAGGCTATTCAGTGCCTGGTGCGATTCCCGTTCCTGGGATCCCAGGTTTTGCCCGCTGGAGGGGGTCCTGGGATTCCTACAGGAGCTTTTCGACAAGGGGAGGGCTGTCGCTACCTTGGCGGTGTTTGCGGCAGCCATTACTTCAGGTCACGACGGGTTCGGGGGGTTCACAGCCCCGCTCTCACCCGTTGATTAAACGTTTTCTGCGGGGGGCGCGCAGGAGGAGGCCCCCGCTCCAGAGAACGCCTCCGGTTTGGGACCTCAGGGTGGTCCTTAGGGGGCTGTCGGGTTCGCCTTTTGAACCGGCGGCGGAGGCGAGTCCCGATTGTATCGCTTTTAAGACGGCCCTCTTGCTGGCGTTGGCGTCTGCAAAAAGGGCGGGCGATTTGTGTGCGCTCTCAGTCCATGCGTCGTGCCTGTCCTTTGGAGAGGACGACGGCATGGTGGAGTTGTGGCCCAATCCGGCTTTTCTCCCCAAGGTCATCACGTCGGCCTTTAGGTCGAGAGTGATCAGGATTAGGGCTTTCCACCCGCCGCCGCATGCCTCCCCCGAGGAGGAGCGGCAGCACCTTCTGTGTCCTATCAGAATGCTGAGGCATTACCTGGCCATGACGTCGTCATTCAGGTCGGGTGATCAGCTGTTTGTGTGTCTGGGCCCCAAGAACAGGGGCGCCCCGCTGTCGGCTCAGCGGTTGGCGCATTGGGTCGCCACGGCGGTGCGACGGGCGTATCAGGCGCAGGGCCTGGCCCCCCCGGTGGGTTTCAGGTCGCATTCCACGCGTGGGATGGCGGCCTCTACGGCCCTTCTCAGGGGGGCGTCGGTCGAGGACGTTTGCCGTGCGGCTTCTTGGGCGTCGTCCTCCTCTTTCGTCCGGTCTTATCTTTCGGATGTGTCGGACCGGTCGGTGGCCCATTCCGTGCTGAGTGCAGCGGATTGAGTTGGACCGTTGGGTCCCTCCCCTGAGGAGTGGGCCTTCGGTCTATTTTTCCGCCCTGGTGCAGGAGCTCTTGGGAGAGGCATCCTACAGGTGCGGTACATATATGTGTGTTTGATCGGTCTGGTAGTCTACATCAGGAGCTCTTGGGAGAGGCGTCCTGTGACTACGGTTGACCTACGATGGGTGTTACGTGGGGGCGTCCTTGGTAGGAGTGGCCCGGTAACACGCTTTGTTTCTTCTGCCCTGAGTCCTCTCACGGTGTGAGGGTCTTGCTCGGGCGGAGCTCCAATCACCCTTCGCTGGCCTGCTGGGAGTACATGTTCCTCACGTGGGGACGGCCTCCGCGTTGTGTCCCACTAGCGAAGTCCTAAGGGACGTAGCACCATGACGTAGAATTAATAGTTACCTAATGTAACTTAAGTTCTACGAATAGGTGCGTAGTCCCTTAGCTACGAGCCCATCAGGCCAGCCCGGCTTGGCAGAGTTCAAGAGGGGGTGCGGCCTTGTGCAGGGGCATTTATAGAGGAAGGTGGCTGGTGATTGGAGCAAATTATTTTGATCTCTCTGGCGTCTGTGACCTGGGGGTCACGTGATATCCCACTAGCGAAGTCCTAAGGGACTACGCACCTATTCGTAGAACTTAAGTTACATTAGGTAACTATTAATTCAACCCACTTTCTCCTTGCTGCATTGACATGTCCACCAACTCCCCCCCCCCCCCCCCCTCCCCCCCCGGTATGTAGACATGTACATGCTGTCAGTGCGTCGTAAAGAGACCTGAGATGGGACTCGTGTCGCCGCGTTACATGCTTCGGAGAGAATGGATTATGGGTAAAGAAATTCCGATGGCCACTTTCACTGCTCTCAACTGCTGCTGGTGTCTTCTGTGCAGCCAACTTGTCACGGGAGAGTGAAGGCCTTTGTCTTATCTGTTTAACAGGATATGCTTCCTCAAATTTTCCCACTCACACTGTACTGACACGAGTTGTCCGTGCATTTATTTGTCACTTTTAAATCCCGCTCATTCTAACTGGGGTAATTAAAGAGCGGCTAAGATTCCATACAGTACATGCAGGAGGTGAATATGGCCTCACATATGAAAGCGTTCACTTGAGAAGAATCTCCAATGATTCACTTGAGAAGGCCACCATAACATTTTCCCCTGTATATTTTTCTCCATTTAATAGAGCAAGGACTATCTCCTGCAGTTCGTTTCAAAGTCTTTTCCCGATAAGCCAGGATAACATGCCTTGTATTTCGCTTCCAGTCCATCCCGTTAGAGGAGCAATCATACATACAACATTAACCTTATAACCTTGAGTGTATGTTGTGTTATTTTAAAAATACTATAAATATTATTCATTATGATTATTATACTCTGTAATCATGGTATTGAACTTTTTTAACCCCAGTTTGTGTCTTGAAAAAAACAGTACAGTCAGTAATTTTGGGCAGATATATAAGCAATAAATGCAATATCTCTGTTCTTGGATGATATTGATTCTAATTCAATATTATCCGCTTCAATTCATTACCGCATACATTCTGGAATGTAAATAAAAAATAGACATACATGATTAAACTTGACAATTTCGGCACATAATAAGAACTCTCAAATGCTTTGGAATTTTACTTGAATGCCTAGATAGCTAGATCCTGAGGGTCAGAGTGATAAACGACCCTTTAAAAAGATCTGCATGTTGTGTCCGCCCATGTACCTTTCTCTCCAATAATGTCCGTTTGAATATATGTTTTTGTTTTTGCGTCTTCTGCTGTTGAATAACTGCAAAGGAGCTTGAAATAAATACTCGCCAGCCTTGCTGTTTATTCATCGAACTGAATTTCTCCATCTGTGAGAAAATAAATGATATTGATTATTGATTATTGATTGAGAACCAACTTGTGACCAATCATATTTTGTAAACTGCAATCTGGTAAGCTCCTGTATATAATATATTAAACAGCTTTTCATTTTATTTTTTAATTGTGCAAATTATTGCAGTTTGATCAGTAAGTCGTAGGAAACAATAGTGTCTCGTTAGTTTTAATCCCAGTCCCCAATTCAGTGCCAACACCCTTTGACCTGCAAGCTCCGATCGCTAATAAAAGTTTCAGAAGTAAGACAATGAAATATTAAAGATTCAAATGTTGACAAGAAGCACCTCAGTGCGTCGAGACCGTGATCAAACACATGGAGTGTGGCTTAATATGCCTGTGGTCTCTTCCTTTGTCAGCCTCAGGCTCATGGGTCTCGTCGCCTCCATTCCTACTCGGCTTCTGCTGGTGACATGTGGGAAAGTCCTTGAACCGAAAGCGACGAGCGACTTTGAGCGGACAAGTGATGGGGCCTAATATGGCGGACCTTACAGGCATGTAGTAACACTCACTATGAAGGAAGGGAGACGTCCAACCTTTGGACCCTCAACCCCCTGGCTATACGTCCTGAATGCCTGCGAATTGAGACGATCCCAAATTTTCAGATAAAAAAATTCTAACCAAGAATCCCAATCCAATTCAAATGTTTTTTGTTAGCCCGAGACTTAACAAAACCTTGAATTTGCCAACACAGAATCAAGATATGTAAAAAAAAAAAGATTACTAACACTTATATCCAATCGGTCATGAATAGTTACAACAAGAAATAGAAATGTAATTTAAAAATGTTTTATTGATGAAGCAGGCTGAAGTTTTGTGTAGACTGGGTTGATACTCTGGTGGGGTTTAAAACGGCGAACAAACTTGACATGGAAATCTGGAATAATGCCTTCTGGTAATGAGGAAGGATAGAAGAGGCGAGATTTTGTTGGATGAGGAGAAGAGAAAGAGGTGTTTCCTGCTCCAGACTATTAGTTACAATTCATAATATTATTACTCATATCTTATGTTTAACCTTGACCAAATTATAACAAAAAAAAAAAAAAATTAATCTGAAGCAAGCATTTATGCCATGTACATTTTATTGATTTTGTTGAAAAAGAATGAGACTGCATACAAGACAATACGGCATTTTTTAATTTACCGTGGCTGATGCATTGATTGCACCTTTCTTCAGTCCGTCAGATAATTTACAGAGTTACTTATTACACTCTGTGTATTGAGTAAAAGGAATAAAATGCAATATAAAGCACAGAAAATAAGTATCCTTATTTTAACTCTTAATAAAACAATGCTAATTTGTAAAAAACAAACAAAAAAAAAACAAAATCCACCTTAAATGTTTTTCTCTACTTGCGGTCACTCTGATTCCTTGCCAGCATCCCTCACTGCCACTCCATCTCCCTCTTTAACATTTACATAAAAATAACTTTGCATCGCTGTATTTAAGACTACTTGTTGGCTTGTGCCGCTGCCTGTAAAAGAACATAGGTGAGTCATGTGTAGGAGGGGATGGCAGAGGAGGAGGCAGAGATGCGGACTGTTCACCAATAGGGCAGCTATACCCTTTACTGAATTAGCTGAACTGACCCAGAGAGGAGCCGGTTTGAATTCACACAAACTTAAAGGGGTCATTCTGTTTGTCTCTATATTAACATATTTCTTCTTTCTGTCATGTGGAATTCAAGAAGAAGAAGATCAATAGTGCAACCATAACTGAGAACACTATAGCATTGGGTGGTACACAGCCGTGGCCTTCCTCGAGGGTCCCCTTTTGCACACTGCAAGATTGGATTTTGAAAATATGACGGAATAATCAATAGTTGATCAAGAACAGTTGTGGACATTGTGCTGTGTCCGTATTGTCCTTTGTAATCATAGTTCAACAAAATGAGAAGCCTTTTACCAACTAAGGTAATCAAAGTGAACGATTACTCAATCTTAGTTTCACAGATGTTCCATAAATGCTGTTAGAAAAATGTCCAATTTAAAAAGTAAAATTTATTTCCATTATGCATGCTAACTTACATCATTTTTTATTTTAATTGCTCTACAACAAGTTTATATTCAACTTTAAAAGTTTTAAAGTCATCTTTGTTATATTCTAGTACATTACCTAAAATTTGTATGTATTTCATTTCTTTCTATCTATCTATTGAATATAGACTTACATAAATGGAAACATATTTAACTGTAAATCCATCTATTCATGGAATCGAAACAAAGAGAGCGCATTACATAAGATGACTCAATCCTGTTGCTGTGCCAATCACATAATGAGGCCTACATAGTCATTTACAGTAAGAGGAGAGTGATAAAAATGGACAAACAATTGCTTGTCAGTTAACTGCCAGAGGCAAACACGTGATCCTTCATAGTAAAATAATACTATTGCCTAATGTCCAATAATACACCATTTAAATAAACATACTGTATCTGGCATATGTATTTTTAGTTCTACTCCTTTAAAAAAAAATATTATATTGCACATATGACCTGTGCAATAGATACGTACATGCGCTTGACCTGCAACAGTAAACACAACAATAAGTCCATGGCTGTGCACTCTTTCCTTTTTCTACATGCAAGAATTCTAATTGATTAGTTATATATATTTATTGTTTTTTTCTAGTGTGGTTCATTTTGAATATTTTTTTCCCAGGTATCACAGCTCACACAGAAAGAACAAACACTTGAAAAACGATTGGATAATGCGTGTCACAAAAATGGGGAACTACAAATCGCTTTAGCCAGTTTAAATACACGTTTATCTCTTCAAGAGCAACTGAACCAGCAGCAGAGCCAGCAGGTAATCATATTTTTTTTTAAATATTACTATATCAAAAGATATCAATATACAGTAACTAGTCACCAGCTCTCAGAATAATTCAGTTCTATCACCAGTTCCCACATGCATTTTGGCCTCATGTTACATCTTTATATCAGCTTTTTTAGACAGAAAACTGAAAAAGAGAGGACCACCCTTACTCAGCCAATCCAGTCTCAGCCAATAGTGACTCACAGGGCTCTGTCTTACAGGCAAAATGTTTTCCAAATAGATATTGACAGTGTGTTTTGCTCTGATGTGTTCACAACATGGTTTTACACGACTCTTATCGTTGGGACAAACCCAATGTATTGTTCAATTTATAAAATGAGGTTCCCCAGATTTGTGGTGTATTTCAACTGAGTAATGATTACCTGATTGGCTACTGGAAAACCCCAGCTGGATGGGGTTTCAGTGTGAGCATGGCATTCACTCGCAAATCTGGATTCCACTGTTCGCTTTAGTTTCACCTTCAGTGGAATCTTGCTTGTCAGGATTTGTTGTCCACTTTGTGGTCTGTAAGTCATATGCAGGCTTCAGTATCTGTTTGATGCTTAATATTTTATGATAGGAATATTATTTTCAATGCAGAAAAATGACCTGGATGGACATGATTCTTCTATGTATATGTGCAACAGACCCTATTAACCTGTGTACAAAGACACAAAGATAATTAAAGATGGAGTAACTTTTGGTTTCATGAATACATTTTGTAATTAAACACAGAGTCTTGAAACATTTTCTGAACAAATACTACAATAGGCAATGTTCACCTTTTATTACAAAACATTATATATTTTACATTCTGGGGAATGAGTGGGGGTGTACCCCTATTTTCACTTCCTGTAAAGGCCGAACATGGACTATACTCCTTTGTTATTGTTTGTATTTTTGCTAAGTTAGGTACTCACTCCAGCTTTAACATGCGCTTCTTATATCTGTAGTTGGCTGAGGCCTGGCAGGAGGTGGAGGCTGCTCGTGGTCACTCACATCAGTTGCAAGCTCAGCTGGAGGAGTTTCAAGAGGAGGTGTCTCTACAAGAAGCCCAGAGCCACGGAGACGCCTCTCTGCTGTCCGAGCTGGAGAGCTGCCTGGCCACAGCTCACCTGGGCGTGGATAGAAAACAGGTGTGCACTGCTCTAAATCTTTAGATAATAGGATCAGAAATGTTGGAATATTATTTAATTGCAACTTGTATGACAAATACTGGGATTGGATTTGCAATTTATGTTTAATAACTTCTTTATATCCAAATTGTGCACTCAGTCCATTTCTTATTTTGTGCTTTTGTGACTGATTATCTGATAAAACTGTAATAATAATACTTGTAGGAGATTGTCTTACGTAATATGCTTAATTATTCTTTTGTTGCCTTTAGAGGGCAATAAGAGAAGTGAAAGTCCACTGATAAAAGATAAAGATTGCAATAACGCTTGCTGTTCAATGGTATATCTCTGCATGCGACAAGAAAAACCTCTTATTCTCTCACCATGCCACAGTATTGTTCTGCTCGAGCAGGAAAATGACTCATTCACTACGCATCCTGTTTGTCAGGATTCCTCAGCCTATCAAACTATAAAATAATGAAGCTATTAATTTTCACAGATTACTCAGGAAATGGAACATATATTGCAGTTACTACAGCCACTTACCCACAACGGCACCAGCAGCACCTTAACTCCAGACATTTCAAATGAACCGGGGGAATTGGAAACCGTTCTGCATCAGTTAAAGGCTGTGTCCCGAACCCTGGCACAAACATGTGGTACTCAGGTAAATAAACCAGTGCTTATATATACATATACATATACATATACATATACATATACATATACATATACATATACATATACATATACATTATATATATATATTATATATATATATATATATATATTATATATATATATATATATATATATATATATATAGTCTGCCCCAGGGCAGCTGTGGCTACACTAGTAGTTTATCACCAGTGTGTAATGAAAGAATAATAACATATGAAGCGTCTTTGAGTGTCCTAAAATTTAAAACCTTATGCATTATTACTACTTTATTTGTTACTGTAAAATCATTATTGGTTAATTATTCAGGTAAATGAATAAATATGTTAATTTTTCATTTCTTAAGACACAAGGGGCACATTTCAATTAATCAGCAAATATAAAAACATTTATCACATGTGTTTGTAGTCTACCAAATTCAATAAAATCAAATCTCATAAATGGTTCAATACAAACCATTTATGAAAAGAAGAGAAATGACTCATTTGTTTTTTGGCCTAGTCCATGAAGAGCTCGAACCTCTTCCCTTGTTAAAAATGTTTGATCCCTGATCCCCACTTGTCCTTCTCTAAAAAAATTTGTTATAATCTTCATATAACTTATATTAAATAAGTGCAAGTACAATATTTGTTCATAGGCACAGCTAAAGAAAGGGAATGAGTGCTATAAGAATTATGTTTAATCCTAAAATTGTAAACAAAAAATACAAAAAAACGTTTGTACACTGACAGCTCGTGTATTACAGTCTCCTTCTCACTATAAACAATAGAAAGTAGTCCAACAACAGAAAAACCTTTGCTGACACCTGATCTCTGTCCTAGGGGCTAAATAAGGCTTTTGTTGGACCGGCAGCTGATCAATGTGGGAAGTGGAGTACGGCAGAAGAGCTAAGGGATCAGGTAATCAGGCAGGGTGTGGTGACATTTACTGTAGAACCAATATTACAACCGCTGTACTAAATAGCATTGTGCTCTGAAGTATGCAATCTTTAACTAATTTCTCCTGTTTTATGTTTACTCTTTCCTCATCTAGAACATTCAGCTGCAGAATGAAAATGCTGAATTATTACATAAGTTGCAGTCTGCACAGTCCCAAGCTGCTGTGATTCAACAGTCCATCAAAGACCGAGACGAAGCCATCGCCAGGTGTGTGAAAAGTGAAACATTTGCGGAAGGAACAAATGTATGTGTGTGTACTGTCATAGATTTTATATATATATATTTTTTTAGGAAAAACATGATGGAGGAAGAGCTGGTGAGAAGTAAAAACGATATGATGTGTCTCAACAATCAGCTACTTGAAGCAATTCAACGCAAGCTCGAATTGTCACAAGAGTTGGAGGCCTGGCAGGTATGTTTGTGGAGTAGTTGACAAAATCTCTGCATCTTTTTTATTATCATTATATAGTGGAGTATAATAGATATTAGGCTATTGCATATTGTAGTTTGATCAATTCCAAAATATTTCTCGCCCTCAGGATGACATACAGATCATCCTGAACCAGCAACTCCGGTCCCAGCAGCAGAGTGAGCAGGTTCAGGCTAAGACTACTTCCAACGGTTTATCATTTTTCCGTCGACCCAACAGGATCTCTACTCCTTCTTGGAGTCCCGACAACAGTGGACACAAGGCTCAATCTCCATGGAGAGACTGGTTAAGACGGGGTAAAGGGGTTCAATACAGCAAGTAATGGACAGTTCATCACAGCCCTTCCTGTCTGCCAAGGAGCAACATGGATTTATTCAAGCCATCATTGACAAAGACTCCTTATACAAGAATAAGAATACATTTCATTTGGAGGTGTTCCTCTAAACACTGTGATTGCCAGAACACTTTGAGTTCATTAGGTAGATATTATACATAAAATGTGTAAATATTGTACATTATTTTATAATAATTATAATTTTCATAATTGTATGTCTTTGTATGTTAACACTACAGTAGCCAATAGAAAAGTAAAGTGATAATGATCTGTGATAATGGTGTACATTTTTTTTCCTTCAAAATATGATTAAAGAGTAATACGCCTGATTGGTTTCCTTTTCTTTATTTCCTATTCTGTAGAAGAATGATAAGATTCTCCCCAGTGTGGGGATAATTTCAGGGTTACAGCGCACGTTATAGAAAAGTATGAAAAAGGAACACTCAAAACAAGATAAAAACATGTATTTTTTACTCACTGTCTGAAAGGAAACATCTGAGTTTTGGAAGAAATAAATATTTGTATGTGTTTATATATACAATACGATAACATTTATTCTTGTATAGCCCAAAAGCACAACAGCAGTCATCTCAGAGGACTTAACAAAACCATTGAAATCACCAACACAGATCAGAGAATCAACAGTTAAGACAAAAATACACAAATGTATTGGTCCATATGGTGAGACCATATGAATGTTGATAAATGTCCATACAGTGAAGCATAGTAAGTCATCTTTATTTATGTATATATATATATATATATATATATATATATATATATATATATATATATATATATATATATATATATATATATATATATATAAAGGACGTAACTTGACTAAGGACAAGTTACGCTTTTGCTGCCCTCCTCTGGTATCAAGAGTGAATTTCACACTCGGTAATATGGGTTGTATTCAGCTATGGTATTAGTATATTCATTTAAAAGCAGTGAATTCCATAGCATAGTTTTTTAGGAAATTACTTGTGCGCGATTCTTTTTTTGATTACTTTTTTGTGTGCAAAAAAACAAAGAAAAAAACTAGTGATTGTCGCGTGTGGATGACGTGCACTGGTTTATTTACTACGCCGCTGTCACCCGTTTCGTTTAAGACACTTGTACGTAGCTATAGTTTTCAAGAGGTAACATACAACGTTTTAAACATTTAGTATTTAATAGTGTACGCTGAAAAAAAGCATGTCCTTATCTTTGTGTAATCAAAGTTTAACAGAGTGTTGTGATCGAAAGTCTGAGCTAAACTAGAGCTAACAGCTAACAAGCTTAAAGCAAGGCCATCCAGGCTGACATTATAGTGAGCTTTGTGGAACCTGTTCTGGTGAAACCGTGAAACTGAAATGATGTGTTGTGCTGAGCTAGTCATATGCTGTGTGATATATTTGCCCGGTAGATAAACATTGACGGTGATAAATAAGCCGTACGTGAATGAGGTTAGTATACCTAAGTTATATCTGAAATATTACGTTTATTTCTTAACAGGAGCCTGAATGGATTGAGAGTAAAACCCTTACATTATTATGACATGACTGACCAGGGCAATAACAACCAGAACATCTCCTGTAACCCATTTGCTGCCCTTTTTAGTTCATTGGCTGATGCCAAACAGTTTGCATCTGGCCAAAAATCTCCTCCACAATCTTCAGAACCAACTTGTGCGTATGAACATTTCTCTGATAAGTAATAATGATTACTACAAAATGCAACTTACTATGTCTCGCAAAGTGCTCACATGTTTGTCATTTATTGCAGTGGACCAATCTGGGGAAAGCCAGTCTGAGTCTGAGAACTCAGTGTCGGACAGTGTTGATGAAAATGATGACTCAGTGGCTGAGATCAGCCGCTCTTTTAGGTCCCGCCAGGAACTTTGTGAACAGCTTAATGTCAATCACATGATTCAAAGGATATTTCTCATTACACTTGATAACAGTAAGTAAAGAAGAAAGATAACAAACAAAATCACTATGTAGATATTTACCAAGAATTATTACTATAAAACGCAATAGTTTTGCATTGTTTTAGTATACCTTCAAGAGTATGAATACTGAATATACATCATACACATCAAATAAAACTTGAAATATAGCCCACTGCTGCTGATCTTTTAACATACAACAATTTATCATTCATAATATCTGAACAAAATGTTTCTATTCAAAGGTGACCCTAGTCTGAGAGGAGGAAATGGCATACCACCACGTTGTGTCTACCTGGAGGAGATGGCTGCTGATCTTGATGGACAGGACTGGCTGGATATGGACAACATAGAACAGGTGCAGTCCTTCTTAATTATTTTCTGCCAGTCCCATTTTAGGAGAAAGGAAACATTTCAAGGCTGTAATTGCTCAGAAGGTCTGTACGGAACAGAGTAATTTTGTTCTAGTACATACAGCAAAACTGCATGTTCCCCTGGAAATGCACCGCACTACCCTACGGGGGCCTTCCCATGAATCCTTCCCCACTAATTTGAGAAGGACTGGGGTAGGTATTTTTGATCCATACATCAAAGGAAATAACACGGACAAAGTACAGCAAACATTCATCTCAATGGGAGCGATGCATTGTACCTGGCTCATTTCCACCCTTGGTCCCTGGGGCAGGCTGTTAAAATATTTGAATGATAATTCATTCAAACATTCATGGACAATGGCACCAGATTTATAGTAAAAATATCAATTCTTTTATTCACTCAAATTAGCATAAAAGCATCTCTCAGCCTCACACTTACACACAGGTACATCAATTCACATTGTTAGTGTGTTGGTACTGACGAACAGCTACACAAGAAAAGCGTTTCCAAATGATTTCCTGTATTTAGAGATCTTGCACACTCTATTCATTCACTCACTGAGGATCTGGTGACTCTTCTGTTCGATCTACTGACTATTTTTCAGAGGGAAGTGCTCGGCTCGACTTCCAGGCGGGACAGGGCCTTCCTTGTTTGCATATTGTACTTATATCTGTTGGTTTCCTCCGGGTTCTTTGGTTTCCCCTACCACTAAAACATATACAATTGGACTAAAACTAGCAGTAGCTGTTCAAAGACACTGACCCATTCAAATATGTAAATACATACAAATACATTTTTTATTTACTGACTGTGTAACACTGCAGTGGTGAATAAAGTGAATGCAAACCGGCTGGTAGCTTTAAATAAATAAGAGAAGCCATCAGAGTGTTACCCTGATGAAGACTCCAAATGAGTGGAAACACATTAGCAATGTTGTTTTGCTAAATCTAGAGTTTACTCGGCTCCATCCCTTTGTCATTTCAAACTAGAAACTTGCAATGGCTGAAGCCATTGCGATTGACTGCGGAACAGATCTAATGTGGAAATCTGCTAAAAAAAATCCTTGAAATCCTTTAAAAGGCCTTGAAACTGTTAAAATACTTGATAGATATTTGAAACTCCTGAAGTCCTTGAAATTGTTGAAACCTTTAAACTCCTGAAATCCTTGAAACTGTTGAAACATTGAAACTCCTGAAATCCTTGAAACTTTTTTTAAACCTGGAAACTGTTGAAAGTGTGGAAACTCCTGAAATCCTTGAACCTCCTGATATCCTTGAAACTGGTTAAATTCTTAAACAGTTGAAATCCTTGAAACTACTGAATGTATTGAAAGTGTCCTTGAAACTGAAAAATCCCCTCACCGCTGAAACAATTTGGTTCCTGTAACTAAGGAAACCTGGTCTGTGGTCATTATCTGGTGGTGGTCTGAGTCTTCGTTTGGGTCTTGGTCTGGTGGTATAATGCAACCTATTAGGTTGCATTATACTGGTTTACATGGAAAAATCTCTATTAAGTTGCATTATACTGGTTTACATGGAAAAATCCCTATTAGGTTGCATTATACTGGTTTACATGTACAAATCCCTATTAAGTTGCTTTATACTGGTTTACATGTAAAAACCCCTATTAGGTTACATTATAGTGGTTTACATGTAAAAATCCTTATTAAGTTGCATTATACTGGTTTACATGTAAAAACCCCTATTAAGTTCCATTATACTGGTTTACATGTAAAAACCCCTATTAAGTTCCATTATACTGGTTTACATGTAAAAACCCTATTAAGTTGCATTATACTGGTTTACATGAAAAAAACCCTATTAAGTTGCATTATACTGGTTTACATGGAAAAATCCCTATTAAGTTGCATAATACTGGTTTACATGGAAAAATCCCCATTAAGTTGCATTATACTGGTTTACATGGAAAAATCCCTATTAAGTTGCATTATACTGGTTTACATGGAAAAATCCCTATTAAGTTGCATAATACTGGTTTACATGGAAAAATCCCCATTAAGTTGCATTATACTGGTTTACATGGAAAAATCCCCATTAAGTTGCATTATACTGGTTTACATGGAAAAATCCCTATTAAGTTGCATTGTACTGGTTTACATGGAAAAAACCCTATTAAGTTGCATTATACTGGTTTACATGGAAAAAACCCTATTAAGTTGCATTATACTGGTTTACATGTAAAAACCCCTATTAAGTTGCATTATACTGGTTTACATGGAAAAATCCCCATTAAGTTGCATTATACTGGTTTACATGAAAAAAACCCTATTAAGTTGCATTATACTGGTTTACATGAAAAAACCCTATTAAGTTGCATTATACTGGTTTACATGGAAAAATCCCTATTAAGTTGCATTATACTGGTTTACATGGAAAAATCCCTATTAGGTTGCATGATTACACTGAAGTCCTTGAAACTGCTGAAGTCCTTGAAACTGCTGAAGTCCTTGAAACTGTTGAAGTCCTTGAAACTGTTGAAGTCCTTGAAACTCTTGAAATCTTGAAACTGCTGAAATCCTTGAAACTGTTGAATCCTTGAAACTGTTGAATCATTGAAACTGTAGAAATGTCTGAAAGAGCTGAAGTCCTATTAAAATGCATGGGCCTATTAAAATGCATTGCAGAATTCTCAATGCAGATTTTTGTCCGATTGCGGAAAAACCGGAAATCGCTGAAGTCCCAAAAGTAATAGCAATAATCTCCCAAACATGTGGAACGTTTTGATGTATAACTTGTGGAAATTGTTGAAAATGTGAAAGCTGTGAAACGTGTCAAAAAAAATGACGGAATAAAGAAATACAAAACCAATGGTTGACTGCGGAAGGTTCCGCAGTCAATCAATTATGTTATTTATTTGAATGACTGATAATGGGGCCCAGGTCTCAAAAGGTTTTGATATATTGCTGTATTAATTAGTATACAAAATGAATTTATGTAACGATATTTTAAACGACCATTTAATTGCCTATTTTTAATTTTTGTTTCTCCATTAGGCTTTATTTAATCGCCTGCTCTTGATGGAGCCTGGAAACCACCTCATCTACATGACCTCATGCAGCGCCATCAACCTGTCTGCTGACCGCGACGCAGGGGAAAAGTGTGTCATTCCGTACCTCTTCGCTTGTTATCTCAGGGCCAAGGAAGAGGTCTGAATTTTTTAACCAATATTAACAGTTTTTATTACATTACATTTTAATTCACTAATTTAGATAGTATATTCTCCACATAGATTAAAAAAGTACCGGAAAAGTTGCTATCGTTTGCGGTTAGGTGCAAAGACCTTTCCATTTCAAACTTGAAGACAGTTCTCCTTACTCCAGAGATTTATGTGAGCCAAAATATTTACGAGCAACTATTAGACCTGCTTCTGGATGGGGTTAGGGGAACAGGTAGGTTTGCTATTTCTAATAAAACAAAATCTGTTTGATTTTGTGTTGGCAGCTTATTTTCTGACATTTTGTCTTTCAGACCCAGAAGATGTTGTTGAGTTTGTGGAGGAAATTATAGTAGGTCTGGTATCAGACCAAGAAGTTCGAAGTTTTGAAGAGGTCATAGTACCGGTATTGGATATTTTCCATGGCCGGGTCAAAGACATGGATTTGTGCCAGCCTCAACTATACTTCTACTTGGATGTTCTTCTTTATTTCAGCCATCAAAAAGATATTGCTAAGGTAGTGGTGTTTCAGTATTTACAATTTAATTGACAGAATCCAACCAACTTTCATTTTCTAACTTCCAATAATGGCCTATTTGAACAGGTCCTAGTGGAACACATTCAACCGAAAGACCCGGCTAATGGTTTGCAGTATCAAAAAACCCTATTGGGAGCAGTTCTTAACATTTCCTGCTTGCTAAAAACTCCGGGTGTTGTTGAAGGGCACCGTTATTTTCTCAACCCATCTCGCTCCAGTGCTCAGGAGACAAAGATTCAAGAGGCAAACATTCACCAGGTATGAGGGATTCACAATGTGAATCTGCAACATTTGACGGCACCTTTAATGCTCTATAGTCTAACTCGTTGTGTCCCTTATTTTGCAGTTTATGGGACAGTTTTATGACAAACTACATCAAGTATTTAAAAATTTGCTCCAACGATCTGGTGAGACACGCCACTTGCTGCTTTCATGGTTGGGCAATTGTCTTCAGGCAAATGCTGGCAGGACAAAGATATGGGCAAATCAGATGCCAGAACTCTTCTTCCAGATGTATGCCTCAGATGCATTTTTCTTAAACTTGGGTTCAGTAATGATGAAACTTTGCCAACCATTCTGCAAACCAAAATCTCCAAAACTGCTTACCTTTAACCCAACATACTGTGCCCTGAAAGAATTAAGTGAGGAAGACCGTTGCAATCTAAATGTCCATGCAAGGGGTTAGTATATGTATATTTCTACAGTATTAGCTTTAATCATATGTTGTATTTCAATCTTATGATAATTGTTTCTTCTTGTTGCACTAGGTCTTGACAAAGAAACCTGTCTGGTCCCTGCTCCCACACAGCAGCTGGTGGAACCAGCCCAGTCTTACAGCCTTCTGACTGAAAACCTTATTCTTACACAGCTCACATTGCACATGGGCTTTCACAGGTTTGAAATACACTCTTTTTTAAAACAATCATGTTTAATTGTTTTACCATGTACAATTATGTTGAAATTAAAGAAGTTTGCTTGGTTTGCGTCTTGGTTTTGATGCAGGCTTCATGAGCAGATGGTAAAAATGAACCAGTCGCTTCACCGGCTCCAGGTGACGTGGCAAGACGCCCAACGCACAGGCAACCCCATGTCGGAGCAGCTTCTAGAGCAGTTTGAACGTCTTATGATTATTTATTTGTCAACCAAAGCTGCCACTACACAACCTGCCATGCTACAATGCTGCCTTAACCTTCAAGCCTCTACAGCCTCTCTGTTGGTTCAGCTTGGAATAGGAAACCAAGGCCCTGAACATGCAGCTCTTAGTTTTCCGCTTCCATCGCTCCAATACTCCACACTGTGCTACATCCCAGGTAGGCTACAAGTACTCTCTCACCAGTCAAAATCTTGTGATGCTAATTAATTTTTCATGTGGTGTTATAGAATTTTTTGCAGACAACTTGGGAGATTTTTTTATATTTCTACGTAGATTTGCAGATGAAGTTCTAGAAACATCTGCTGAAAATCTGGAAGAGGTTCTTAATTTCATTACTGTCTTCATGGGTAATGTAGAGAGGCAAGTACATCACTACTATTAATAACTGATACTCACACTTTTGATGTATTAAGATTCACCTTATGGCCTTTTTTCCAACACTACTCTATTGTTATAGGATGAAGAATCCTCATTTAAGAGCAAAACTGGCAGAGGTGCTAGAAGCTGTAATGCCTCATATGGAGCCAATAGCTTCGGGTGCAGTACAACCAAATGTGTTCTTGCGAGAAAGGCTTTTCTTCTCCTATAGACATGCAGCCCAGCTGGCAGAGGCGCTCATCACTGTGTTTGTAGACATTGAATTTACTGGTAATTCTTCTCAAATAACTAAAACATTAAGTAGTCTGTATACTTTGTAAACATATATTTTCTATTTTTTTCAGGGGATCCTCATCAGTTTGAACAAAAATTCAATTATCGAAGACCCATGTATCCAATCCTCAAATACATGTGGAGCAAAGATGGCTACAGGGAAAGCATAAAGGTGACATGTCTCAAATGGACATCAAAATCTTGTCCACACAGCATTTTTAATATACTTATTGCAATTGTTTTTCAGTATTTGGCAGACTATGCTTCTGAAAATTTGGAGGCCATGAATCCTCCTTTGTTCCTCAGATATTTAAACTTGCTTATGAATGACGCAATCTATCTGCTTGATGAGGCAATTCAGGTTAGATTAACATTTTCCCATATGTCTTCTCTCTTGTTAATATCATTAAGTAACTTTGTGTTCCGTTGTTTATTGTTCAGTATCTGAGCAAAATCAAGATTCTGCAACTCGAGCGGGATCGAGGAGAGTGGGAAAGTTTGTCCCCTGATGCCCGGCGGGAGAAGGAATCAAGTCTGCAGATGTTTGGACAACTGGGTCGTTTCCACAACATAATGTCAAATGAGACGATTGGCACACTGGCCTTCCTTACCTCTGGTCTGGTTTTCATGATTGCGTGTACGACTTAACATTTCACGTGCAACTGTAATTACTTTTTTTTTCATTGTCAGAAATTAAGGGCATCTTTGTGCACCCCTTCTTGGCAGAGAGAATCCTCTCTATGCTTAACTACTTCCTACAGCACCTAGTGGGACCCAAAATGGGTGCTCTTAAAGTAAAAGACTTCAGTGAGTTTGAATTTAAGCCACAGCAATTGGTGTCCGACATTTGTACAATCTATCTAAATCTGGGGTATGTAGAAACGGATCAAACACATTGGTCAACCACTCTCTTTATTTACTATTCATTATTTAATTTTCAATTTCTTTCATACAGTGATGAAGAGAACTTTTGTGCTTCGGTACCGAAGGATGGTCGGTCATACTCCCCTACTCTTTTCTCACAGACAGTTAGAGTACTTAAGAAGATTAACAAACCAGGTGATATGATTGTAGCCTTTGGACACCTGGCAGATAGAATAAAGGTACATTATAAAAAATAAATTGTACATTTTGTTTTCAAAGTTTTAAACTATGTTTGTATACATTTGCTGTTTTAGTCGCATGCAGACCGTCAGCAACAGGAAGAGGAGACTTACGCAGATGCCCCAGATGAGTTTTTGGATCCAATCATGTCCGCTCTGATGATGGATCCTGTTATTCTCCCTTCATCTAATGTCACAGTTGATCGCTCTACAATAGCAAGACATCTTCTCAGGTTTGTTAGTTTTTCTTAAGTGGAGTTCTATACTGTCTTATAATTAAACAACATGTTTTATTACTTGCAGTGATCAGACGGATCCCTTTAACAGAAGTCCTCTCACCATGGACCAGATTAGGCCGAACGATGAACTCAAACAACAGATCTCTCAATGGCTGGATAATCATAAGAAGAATTCTCAATTTGGGCCATGTGGCTAACCAGCGACTGGTTTATTTGAAATGCGTTATTTTGTGATACTTTGTCTGCTTTGTCTTTTTTTTTTTTTTTTATCATACATGCATTTATTTAACCATGAATTCCCACTAAGTTTCAGAATATAATTTAAGTGGTTGCTTACACAGTCAGCACACTACAAAGAATCAACATAGAATTGGGTCTCTCCATGGTTTCTTTGAATATGACTTCAGGATTGTAGCCCCTCTTCCAGCACAATTTAATGAATAAAATGAAATATTCACAACATTTTCATAGACAATGAGGCACCAAACATGAAGCTTCATGTTATACAGCCTGTGTTATAATGCTCGGATTTGCATTGTTGCTAACCTCATGCTTTTCAACGGTTAAGTCTTTTTATTTTTATTTTTTGGATGTTTGACTTAACCAAAACGCCAGTTGGAGTTATGGATTCAAATGATTTTTTAATAAGATTGCCATATATAAATGTACATATAATAAAGAATCAAAACGTATTATGTTTCTGTTAGCATGGATCCATTTGGCCAATAAGTTTAAAAGTTGTATTCTTTTGTATGTTCTCTTGTATTTCTATCATAGCATGAGGTTGCCCATCTTTTTGTAGTAATTACATTGTATTTTATCCAATGTCAATTTGAAATATGCTACCCCAAAGCTTAGGTTGAGCCCAACCCGATCATTTTTATCCTGTCCAAAGGTGTATTATACTGTGACTTTTGGCGACGCCTATAATAATGACTCGTTTGAAATGAATGACATGATGTTAATCAAACAAGTAGTTCATTAACAATAAACAAATCATCTGTATTTTGTGTTCCCGGGCAAAGACGCATGAGCCAGTGAGCTGCATGTTGTCAGTCCGGTCATTACGCAGTACGTCCAGTGAGAGCGCAGCGCTGCGGTCGGGGTTGTTTCATGGTTGTTTATGTGGAGCGTTGGGTTAGGGTTCCGCCCACCGAGGTATCTCTGATCGCAGGGCAGACAGGCAGAGTGTAAAATGGCGCACAGCTGTCGGTGGCGGTTCCCCGCTCGGCCCGGGGGGAGCAGCAACTCCGGTACCGGGAGGAAAGCGGGCCGGATCAGAGTTACTGCTTCTCTGCAGAGTGTGTCGGGAGCCCACCAGAATGCAGCGGGACTCGGACCTGGCTTTGACGCTGCACTACAAGTCTCGTCGGTCATCACAAGCAATCTGCAGATATTTCGGGATGTTTTGGGGGAATCCAATGACTCCAGCAGTGGAGAGGTGAGCAGATGGCACCTTACAAGTCCTACTGTGTGTACCTTCAACACCCAGGGTTAACTTCATGGGAGCACAGTTGGTCTGGTGCTGGAGTATTTCATCCCTTGTTCAAAGTGTGTGGTTTCTGAGTAAGATAAAAACTTGTGAAGATGCATAGTATAAATTAGGTAACAATTAGTCACTTGCTAGCCATATAGCTTACGTTGCCATAATTCAAAGTTTGCACAGCTATAACGTTATGACAAGTCAATAGCACATTTATTAGATGATTGGTCTGGTGTAAGTTAAGCTGCACTAAAAACTACATAGACAACTGCTACATGCAGTTCATTTATTCACTTACAGAAGTGTAGTGAAGGTACCAGTTTTGTTAAGCCTTTTGACATCACGTAGTTAAGGATTGAGTATGTTATTGAAGGGTGATGTTGTATATTTCTGTACTAACCCATAAATATGTAACATTGAGAAACACGATTGGCCTCAATGCACGTGTAATACACAGGAGGATGCAAGGTGCTCTTAATAACAAGACTAATTTTGAAGGAGCTGTGCGCTTAGTAATGAGCTAGCGTAAACTTAGCACTCGTCTGCGAGAAATTCACATCATCCGTTACATTTGCTTACTATCACGTTGATCTAATATAAATGCCGAAACTATTCTGACAGTAACAAACTATGAATAGGATAACAAACATCTGACTTAGACGTCACATTTTAATGGGGAACGTGCGCTAACATAGCTGACCCGTTAGCTTTATGGCTAGCTGTCCACACACTTCTGCTAATGATAACTTCAATATTATGATCGTGGTACAGTGCTCAGGTTTGCTGGCATGTTCTGGTCTGGATGAATACCCATACGTTTCAACATGCTGAAACCGGGTTAAACATAGCAACCTGCACTCCCAGCTCCAGCTTATGCCCTGGAGTGTATCATCTCCATAGCTGATGCTGGTTAGCTAACAGTTACAATGCTACGCACTACTACGCCACGCTAGCCACTGGGACTGCTGCTGATGCATAGGAAAATGGGAGGTGGACATGTTTTCCCCTTCTCTAACCAGACTGAGTGTAGTAGCTAGCTCCTAGCTGTGTTATTCACACATCAACATCCAAATGCTTTCCACGTACGCGTATGGTAAATTTGAAGGTAGTATAAAATACGAAAAGTGTTTTAATTTGGGTTCTAAAGGTATTGCGCAGTTTGACGGGAGCTTACTAGTGCAGATGACAGTGCGCATGCAGGGTTGATAATAACAACGAGCCCCTTCTCGAGGAGCGAGTGTGTGGGGGTGTGTACGCCTCAGTAATCGACCATCTTCCTCATGATGTGCAGCACCATGCGCTCAGTTTGCATAGATGTTTACCTCCATCTTTGTACAACCATGTGCACTGTGGAGGAACACGATTTACCGCGTATATAAAGTGCAAAAAGTATTTTTTTTTTAAGTGAATAGTCACACAGTGATTAAGGAATTTGTTCTGCCTTTTATAACTTTAATCTCCTGTTACTAGGATTTCGTTGTCAACTGCTTAAGTAGCAGGAGTTGTATTTGACCTGTTTATGATGATGGATTGTCTACTGAATCCCAGTAGACTTTCAAGCCTATAGAGCCTGTGGTCACAGTTTGGTGATTTCATTCAGAAACAGTGCAGTGTATGCTTGGCCAGAAAGGGGCAGAATTGTTCAGGCTCAATGTAGCCTGCTGAGTGCACAGGATAAACTTGAACAGAGCGTCAACCCTCCATTGTTTTTGGTTTTAAAAAAACCCCATCAGACCATGCAACCCATCTGAGAGGCAGACCAACTTTTCTTGTGACAGCTGCCACTTTGGAATGGATTACAGAACCTATTGGTGTGACTCAAAGGGGGGCTTGTTGGTTGTTCCTGTTCAAATGAAGCCATTTGCTGGCTATTGTGGTTTGTAGATACATTGAAGATTAATTTTCATTATTTAGATAAAAGTTATTTTACCAGTATATATATTTTAGTGTACTCAACCATCAAGCAGCTGCTGTTCTAGCCACTCTGCTGCTGTTTTGCCTCTCTGTTAACCAATGTTTAAGATGAAATGGGTCTAATCCAGCAGGTGTTTGGTCTATTTAAATTGCCCCCCCCCCCCCCCCCCCCCATTGGTCCATCACACGCCTTCCCAGTTTGCCCAACCATTCCTGAGACAGCCTGTGGATTGAAGGAGGAAGCTTTGTGTCTGCTTTTATTCCAGCCCCTCACAAAGTGGGGGCTGCTGAAAGAGTGCAGGCAGGGATATCAAAGAGTGCAGAACGACTCCCCTCCTCCCAATGGGACAACGCTGAGAGTAGAATTAGTCACAGACCCTCCCGTCCATGGCTTTATTCTGCCACAGGAAGCACGCAAGGAGTTTTCACCTTTGGCAAGAGTGTCTTTGCAAGTGTCTCTTTCTACGTCAATGTACTATGCTCATTTTACATGGTTGGTTTTATTAGTATTTTTTAGAGAGGGACTTCACAAATTATGAATTTAGAACTTTTTACAAAAGTATTATCACAATATCCAATTAATTTAAGCTGTTTAGTTAACATAACTTTGTCATCTATTTCTTATGTACAATTTCTCTGTATACTTGTCCCTAGGGGATAAATAGAGTCCTGAATTTACCTATTTTACAATTATGTGAATGTCAGATTTGGCCCTTATGAATACAACATTGTTCTAATAAATAATAATTAATACTTTGGATTGCCTTCTAATTCATTTATTGACTAGAATATTCATTACATTTTTTTATATTGACTTAAAACTGAAATGTAGCACTATATACTGATTTTGCAATCATGATTATAATCTTTATTAATTTCCTTATTTGCTTCAACTAAATAATACGTTTTGTAAAACATACTTAACATTAGGTAGGTACTATAAAAATTAAAACGGCTTAAAAAGTACTTCATTATTTGAAGGAATGAATGAGGACATGTTTCTAAAATAATCAATAGTCCTATTTATATATTATGTATATATATTTATGCTCATAATTTTTCCCCACACACTTTGATAAAGGTGTGAACTGTGCTCCCATGTACGCACAACACAGTCCAAACAAAGAGTGTCAAGAGTTACAAACTGTCTTTTGGACACTTAAAAAAACATCTGCTCACCTTTTGTTAGGGGCTCCCTGGGGTTACAAAAGCTGCTTTTACTTTGGGGGGCATTCATGCTTTCCCACTTTGACAATGATTAAAACAATGCTTCAAATAAAAATTGGATGCAATCTTGTATGTTGAGTGAGATCAGTGTGACTCACTCACCAGAGAGTACTGTTACTCCAAGAGAGTGAGCTCAGAGATGATCACAGACGAGGAATAGGAAAGCTATTCCTCGTCTGTGAACATAGGAATGTTTAACAATATAATATATTCTTTATAGAAGTTGAGGTATTTTTTGGTTGCTATAATTACTCCTTTTTAAATGATTGTACAAGCTTTTCATTATCCAGCCTCACATCACTGCTCATAACCTATGCAAACCCTGTATAAAATAGAAAATGTATGTATGTATGTTAATATGGCTACTACTACTTGAATACCAAAATATACAAAATCTTATCAGCATCATCAGGCTACTAGGACAGGCTTCTTGGCATTATTGACAGTAGTTATTTGATTCTCTTTTTCCCCAAATCTTTATACAGTTTGTTATCACAAAAGGGCAAAACTGGCCCCTTTTCTATAGAGATATACTAAATATTATGGAATAAGATATGCAATAGTGTGCTGAAAAAATGAGTTTCAACGTTGTGTGTTGGACTTCAGCCCTAATATTTGTGTCAAATCACTCTCAAACATTTCACATAATTTTTACCTTTTTTAGGTTGATTTTGTTTCTGAACATCATACTCTTGTTTACCTGTTTGCTTTACTGCAGTGTTTTTTCTGTATTTTGCATTTAATTTGACAATTTTCTTCCTCCTAGGATGAAGAGTTTGGAGGATTTGGATCCATTACAGAACAAAAAAGAGTACACAGTCCTTCGACAGCTTCATCAGGTAGTCAAACTGTTTTTTTTTTTGTCCATCCATTCATGTTCTTCCTCTTCATCTGTTGCTGTGCCGTGGTGTCAGCAGTCAAAGCAGAGACGTCCAGACTTCCCTGTCCATGCACACTCCTCCTGCTTATCCGGGGGAATCCCGAGACCAGCTGTGAGACATGGCCCCTCCAGTGTGTCCAGGGTCTTCCCCGGTGTCGCCTTCCAGCGGCACATGCATGCACCACCCTCTATTGATGTGCAAGACGTGTTTGAAACAATATTTTATTTAAATGTATCGCAAACGTTTTTGTCTGTTTTTTTCACCCATGTTGATTGATCTCTTATTTTCAAATACTTTATTTGAGGTGTCAATTATCAAAATTGTTGTGATTTTTTCTAGAGCACAGCTCTAATGTTTATATTGTAATAACAATGTTTTTGAAATGTACTCAACAGACACTCCCATACAAGAGCGGAAACCTAGAGGTCGCCCCCCACGAGTTGTGTCCACCCAGAAATCTTCTTCACCCTCCACTTCTTCACGATCCTCACCCACACAAACTCAACCTGAGGCTCTTGAAAAGCCTGTTCAAAAGGTCAAAAGGCTGCCTGGGAGGCCACCTGGTGCAAGTGAAAAGAGAAGAGGACGTCCTCGTTTAAATAATAAGAAATCTTGGGGTTCAGATGATAGATATACAGAGACTGAGCTAGATACAGAAGAGGAAGATGGTAAGAAGGAAAAGTCTAATGACACTGATGCTAAGCTTTCCAGGGCTGGCAACTCAAAGAGACTGAGGGAGACAAAACTTTCACCTCTTAAGTCACGGCTCAAGACTTGTGTACCCAGACGCCGACGTGGCCGACCACCTTCAGCCGAGCGACTCAAAGCAGAGGCAGGTTCTAAGCGTGGTAATTCTGCTTCTCTGCTGAGGAATGACGATGGTTCAAATGACCAAGACTCTTCCAATGCTCCAGCTTCGCCTTCACCTTCCACACCCAGCAGACTTACAGGACTCAGAAAAAGCCCACGACATAGAACGCCAGTTAGGATAGTTCCTTCTTCAAAACGCACAGATGCAACAATTGCAAAACAACTCCTTCAACGAGCTAAAAAAGGGGCACAAAAGCGTTTAGAGAAAGGAGCTAGTACTGGAAGTGGGGTAAGCTCTATTGACGTTGGAATCAGAAAGACACAGGTGAAGAATATTAGGCAGTTTATTATGCCTGTCGTTAGCACAGTTTCCCTCCGCATTATAAAAACTCCCAAACGTTTTATTGAAGACGAGGGCGGGTTTGGAACACCTCAAATGAAGATGCCACGTTTAGAAACATCATCCAGTACCATGGTGACTTGTACGCAACCGACCACAGTCGTGTCCTCTCCTTCACCTGTCCCTGTTTCTTCCACAACAGTTGTCAATACTGTCACTATTGCTACGGAGTCTCTGCCTCCCCCTCCGACCCCCACCATAGTTGCCACAATCCCATCTGAATCTAAAAATGTTAACAATGACACAAATGATACCACAAACGGGAGATTTAGCAGTGCGGCATCTTGTGGTTCAAGTGCAGTGTCCCAGCATTCCTCTCAGCTCTCTTCTGCAGAGTCTTCAAGGTCCAGCAGTCCCAGTCTTGAGGATTCAACCTGTGAATCCCAGGGCTCAGACGGCACACAAGCATTATCAGAACCTGAGGATAACTCTCTTTCTTTACAAGAACAGAGAGAAACAAATGAGATGCTTGACTCCAGGCCGGTCTCTCCTCCCTCTGAGCCAGAACCAGGGCATTGTCTCATGGAAAGAAACAAACATGGACATAGAGGACAGGAGGTGGGACGGGGAAGTCAGAGCCAGAGGGTCCGAGAAAATTTACCAACCGTGCCCAAAAAGCCTATCATCAGTCCTCCAACAGGTGTCCTGCTCTCCTCCTCAGCCCATGTGAATGTCCAACAAGCTTCATCCACAGCATCTTCCTCCTCTTCACCACCACCCCCACCACTTCTAAGCCCGCCACAGTTACCCCCTTCAGTCTCCAACGCTGCTGCTGTTACTGACCACCATGCACAGTCACCCTGGATTTCTCACTCAATCCCACCATTCTGCGCTGGGGCATCAGTACTCTCTGGATTGGCAGACAAGCGTAGTCGATCAATTTTACGAGAGCCCACTTTCCGCTGGACCTCGCTGTCTCACCCCGAGCAAAAGTGCTTTTCATCAGCAAAGTATGCCAAGGAAGGTCTCATACGCAAGCCCATCTTTGACAACTTCCGCCCTCCACCTTTAACCCCAGAAGACGTTGGGATTATACCACAAAGTGGGACAGGTGGAGTTACGCCAGTCACATTTCCAGTACCAAGCAGTGGAGGAGGATCAAAAACTCTTTTCGGTCCTCTCCAACCTCATGTGCACACTCAACAATCTTCTTCTTCCCGCTTTGACGCACCACTTCAGAAGCGTAGTCCATTGCTTCGTGCACCTCGCTTTACTCCTAGTGAGGCCCACTCTCGCATCTTTGAGTCAGTGACTTTGCAGTCATCTTCTGGGAGTAGTCCTGGCTCACTGTCTCCTCAGCAATCATCCACAAGTTCAAGTCGAACAATCAGGCGGAAAAGACGACTTATATCTGGCACACATCGAGGACATTTACGGTCCCCTTCTCACTCAATGACCAGAAGGAGCAGCCAAATGGGAAGACAAACATCAAGGGGTAAAAACATAGAGAAGTCTCTTTCTAGTAATAATCCTAGTTCTATACCAGGAGTGTCTGCCAGTCCACTCACCGCAAGTGCCTTAACCCCCTTCAGCACCTTCACCACGATGACCATGGGTCTTGGTGCGCAGGCAACACCTGACAGCAGAAGAGGAGCTGCTTTGAACATACCGCTGTCCTCTTCTTCCCCACTCTTTCCCATTTTTCCAAGTGCTATACAGGACCAAGTCAGAGGAGTAAAAAGCAGCAAAGAGAGGACAGTACCACAAGACTCTAGTGTTAAAGAAAAAGATTTAGACAAAATTCGAGAGAAAGAAAAAGAGAATAGAGAAAGCAGGAGAGATTTGGAAAAAAGAGGAAAGGTTTTGTCCCGGGATTGTTCCCCAAGTACACCTTCCAGTCACTTCAGCGTTGATGGAAAAGATTCTGAGGTTGTAGCTCTTTCTTCAAAAAAGCCTCTTGGACGCAAAAAGTCAGCAACCATAGATATAACTTCCGATCCAGTTCCAACAGAAAACCGCATGGTGCAATCCAATATGCAAACAGCAGTTGGTAAAGGCAGCTTTTCTAAGAAAGGTCGACAGTCTGAAAGAGGGGCAGAGGTCGAAATTGAGGAGAAAGAGAAACAAAATGGTTCTAACCAAGCTACTACTCTTTCTGGACAGTCAAACAGACAACTACCAATCTCCTCCGTTCTGGCACAAGCGGAAAAACAACCTGTTACTGACAAGCGTGTGGTTGGACTGTTAAAGAAGGCTAAAGCTCAGCTTTTCAAGATCGAAAAGAGTAAGATGAAACTTGCTGAGCCAACTAAAGTATTGGTAAGTTATTTATTTTTATCATTTTCTTTCCAAATGTCTTAGAAAGTTATCTGTATTAAATACGAGGTAATTAAACATTATAAATACAATAAATACAATTGACCAAAAACATAAATTAGAAATATTGACTGGCAGTCTAGTTATTTTATTTAATGTTGCACAGGGGCAAGAAAGTGACTCATCAGAAACTTCAGTCCGTGGTCCACGCATCAAACATGTGTGTCGTCGTGCAGCGGTGGCCCTCGGTCGCAATCGGGCAGTGTTTCCTGATGACATGCCCACACTTAGTGCCTTGCCCTGGGAAGAAAGAGAAAAGATTTTATCTTCCATGGGAAATGATGGTAAAATACTTTACCATGTTACAGATTGATATTATAATGTAAATGCTCATATTCTTTATTACTGTATAGACAAGTCATCTGTTGCTGGTTCGGAAGAAGCAGAGCCACAATCTCCACCAATTAAGCCACGAGAAACGAGACACAAACCTATTCAAGATGCTCCCCCTAAAAAAGGAAGGCGTTCACGGCGCTGTGGCCAATGCTCAGGCTGTCAGGTACCAGAAGACTGTGGTGAATGTACTAACTGTCTTGACAAGCCCAAATTTGGAGGACGAAATATCAAAAAGCAATGCTGCAAGTGAGTGAAATATTTATAATATATTATTTAGAATCTATTTCGAAGTAACAATAATATACTGTTTTTGGCAGGATGAGAAAGTGTCAGAACCTTCAGTGGATGCCATCAAAGATTCTGCTGAAACAAGGGAAAGGCAAAAAAGAGAAGAGAAGGAACAAGGTGTCTGAGAAGAAGGATTCTGCCAATACAGTTAAAGAGTCTAATGCTGAGTCTACAATGAAACCTACTCCTTCCTCACCAAAGGAGGAGTCTTTGGGTAAAAAGAGTGCAACACCTCCTTTAAAGCTTTCTGAGGATAAGCTCCGACAGCCATCAGAACAACCATCTCCCTTGACCACATGCTCTCTGCCTGTAGATTCTTCAGAGCCCTCTGCTGTCTCTGAGGTCAAACAGCTAACCAGTGTGTCCAGTAAAAAGGGACACAAGGATATACAGTCAGAAACCTGTTCATCCTCTTCTTCCACTTCCTCCTCATCATCTTCGTCTTCAGCCCAAAGCTCTCCAGTCAAGACATCAGTGCTTCATCTAGCTCAACAGAAGAATTGGCCAACTGTTAATCAAACACTCTCCAAAAAGGAGTCTCCCAAAAGTGATCCCAGAAAATCCCTGCAGGAGTCCCCCATTCTACCCTCTTCAATTACACCAGATTCAGGTAATGATAATTGCATGTACCCATCGGGCCACCACTCTTATTTAAATAGGAAATAATAATTAAACATCTCTTATTTGACAGACTTGAAAAGAACAAAAAGCTCAATTTCTTGGCCGGACCTTTCAAAACAGCGACCAAAAGACAAGGTAATGAGTTGGATGCTGGCCATTCAGATGGTTTTTAGTATATCCTCATAAAAATACTAGATGAATAGATGTGACTGAATAGATTACAACATATTTGTAATTTGTAAGTTCATAAAGTTCATAAAAAGAGAAAAATCCATATTCATATTAATATGTGAAGTATATGTTGTGTCTGCTTCCTAATACTATATATATTCACATATATTTATTTATGTGAATACATAATTTTTTATATATGTCTCTGGTTGGTTGAATTTCTCATCTGTCATGTGAAGTAGTCACCTTGTTTAAGATGTTTATTTTTCAAATTATTAGGTCGAAAGCACTTGTCCAGGGGTGTCAAACTGGCCACCCTTGGGCAGGAAGAGATTAATATCCTAATTGAATGCATTCTAAACATTGAACCCAACAATAACCAGTAGTAATTGTTTAATTAAAGCCGCAAGCGGCGTCGAACGGCCCTCGCCGCACCGCGCAACTCCCCGCACCGCGCGCACCCCCCGCAACGCGCGCACCACCCCTTGCCAAGCCACCCCGCACCACGCCGTCCCGCATCACGCCGCCCCGCACCAAGCCGCAACGCGCCGCTCCACAACGCCCCGCACTACGCCGCACCACACCGTACCACGCAGCACCGCTCAAAGGAGGTGGCGCCGCCGTGTGATGATTTGTTCCCGTAGCCATAGAAGATTGTTAGTCAAATTGTAATGACTATGATAAGTAGAGCTGGTTTGGCTCCCCATGTAAACTTTGATTCAGTCTGTAGGGGGCGCTAATGGGCCAATTTCAAATATTTCACTTTCACCTGACCTAAACCCTGGAGTTGAACAATGGATTCAAGTTTAATGCAAATCAGACTTTGTTTGTCTAAACGGGAAAAAAATTAATGTTGTCAAAAACGGCAAAAAAACCCTCACATTTTGCTGCTCCGCTGCTCAAACAACGTTTCACTGATCAAAATTCCCTGAAGTAATTTTGAAGGTAAATGTGTTGAGATGATTTGGAACAATTTTGAGGCCAATCGGTGAAACGGCGGAGGAAGAGTCGCTTACCAACCGACGTGTATGAAAATGATTGGTTTTCATTTTTCCATTTTGCAATGAAATTTATGGGCTTCCTGTTTGTCAGAGGGCTTAGCCATAATTACATTTTTTCCATGACTTGACTTGAGGAACATGTGTTCCAAATTACATGGTTCTATGACAATTTTGACCTCAAACTCCTCCCAGAGGCATTTTTAAATTGGCTGTTGTAGGTGGCGCTATAGAGCCAATTTCTAAATTTTAAATTTCAAATGACCTAGACCCAAGAGTTGATCCATGGATTCAAGTTTTGTGCAAATCAGACTTTGTTTGTGCAAACGGAAGCAATTTTTCTATCGTCAAAAACTGAAAAAAAATACGCCACTTTTTGGCGCTCTGCTGCTCGAAAAATGTTTCACTGATCAAAATTCCCTGAAGTCATTTTGATGGTACATGTGTTGAGATGATGTGGAGCGATTTTGAGGCAAATCGGTGAAACGGCCGTGGCTGGTTTGATGTTTGTGTGAGGTGTACATTTGCAAAGAATGGGGAGCGTTTCTCGTCGCCACGGCAACAGGGTAAAAAATAAGCCTTGGACCCAATTGACTTTTTGAATCAAGAGGGCAAAACAGATTTATGTGCAAAATTTCAAACATTTTGAAAAAACTAAATTTGAAAATGCCCATCTAAAACTTTGAAATAGTCTGTAGGGGGCGCTAATGTGTCAATTTGAATTAATTCACTTTCAAATGACCTAGACCCTAGAGTTCAACAATGTATTAAAGTTTTGTACAAATCAGACTTTGTTTGTTCAAACGGGAGCAAATTTAATGTTGTCAAAAACGGCCAAAAAAAGGTCACATTTTGCCGCTCCGCTGCTCAAACAATGTTTCACTGATCAAAAATCCCTGAGGTCATTTTGAAGGTACATGTGTTGAGATGATGTGGAGCGAATTTGAGGCGAATCGGTGAAACGGCCGAGGAGGAGTCGCTTTCCAACCGACATGTATGAAAACTTTTGCTGTTCATTTTTCCATTTTGCAGTGAAATTTATGGGCTTCCTGTTTGTCAGAGGGCGGGGCCATAATAATATTTTTTTCTTGTCTTGACTTGAGGAACATGTGTACCAAATCTCATTTTTCTACGACAAACTTGACCTCCGAAAAGTCCCATAGGGGTATTATTTTGGCTGTTGTAGGTGGCGCTGTTCTGTCATTTTTTGAGTCCCATAAAAATAAACACCAAAATATCAAATTTTTCGCCAGGTCTGATTTTTGGGCCAAAATTAACAACTTTTCATGCATGTTCAGGGGGTCAAATTAAGGCTCAAAGTGCAGAAGAAAAAAGAAAGAAAGAAAGAAATAAATAAATTAAAGCCGCAAGCGGCGTCGAACGGCCCTCGCCGCACCGCGCGACTCCCCACACCGCGCACACCCCCCGCACCAAGCCACCCCGCACCACGCCACCCTGCACCACGCCGTCCCGCATCACGCCGCCCCGCACCAAGCCGCAACGCGCCGCTCCACAACGCCCCGCACACTGCCCCGCACTACGCCGCACCACACCGTACCACGCAGCACCGCTCAAAGGAGGTGGCGCCGCCGTGTGATGATTTGTTGATTTGTTTGATTGTTAGTCAAATTGTAATGAATATGATAAGTAGAGCTGGTTTGGCTCCCCATGTCAACTTTGACTCAGTCTGTAGGGGGCGCTAATGAGCCAATTTAAAATATTTCACTTTCACCTGACCTAAACCCTGGAGTTGAACAATGGGTTCAAGTTTGATGCAAATCGGACTTTGTATGTGCAAACGGGAAAAAAATTTATGTTGTCAAAAACGGCAGAAAAAAACTTTCCATTTTGCCGCTCCGCTGCTCAAACAACGTTTCACTGATCACAATTCCCTGAAGTCATTTTGATGGTACATGTGTTGAGATAATGTGGAGCGATTTTGAGGCGAATCGGTGAAACGGCCGAGGCTGGTTTGATGTTTGTGTGAGGTGTACATTTGCAATGAATGGGGAGCGTTTCTTGTCGCCACGGCAACAGGGTAAAAAATAAGCCTTGGACCCAATTGACTTTTTGAATAAGTAGGGCAAAACAGATTTTTGTGCAAAATTTCAAACATTTTGAAAAAACTAAATTTGAAAATGCCCATCTAAAACTTTGAAATAGTCTGTAGGGGGCGCTAATGAGTCAATTGGAATCATTTAACTTTCAAATGACCTAGACCCTAGAGCTTAACAATGTATTAAAGTTTTGTGCAAATCAGACTTTGTTTGTGCAAACAGGAGCAAATTTAATGTTGTCATAAACGGCCAAAAAAAGGTCACATTTTGCCGCTCCGTTGCTCGAACAATGTTTCACTGATCAAAAATCCCTGAGGTCATTTTGAAGGTACATGTGTTGAGATGATGTGGAGCGATTTTGAGGCGAATCGGTGAAACGGCCGAGGAGGAGTCGCTTTCCAACCAACATGTATGAAAACTTTTGCTGTTCATTTTTCCATTTTGCAGTGAGATTTATGGGCTCCCTGTTTGTCAGAGGGCGGGGCCATAATAATATTTTTTTCTTGTCTTGACTTGAGCAACATGTGTACCAAATTTCATGTTTCTACGACAAACTTGACCTCCGAAAAGTCCCATAGGGGTATTATTTTGGCTGTTGTAGGTGGCGCTGTTCTGTCATTTTTTGAGTCCCATAAAAATAAACACCAAAATATCAAATTTTTCACCAGGTCTGATTTTTGGGCCAAAATTAACAACTTTTCATGCATGTTCAGGGGGTCAAATTAAGGCTCAAAGTGCAGAAGAAAAAAGAAAGAAAGAAAGAAATAAATAAATAAATAAAAAAGGAATTTTTTTGTTAACGTCTCGAGCAAAAACAATATAGGTTTCAATGGCACCTGATACATCATTTTAAAGCTTTTGAGTTTACGCACGCAACCGTCACGTTTTGGTGAGTGACGGGCGCTGAAGCGTCCGTCACGCACCGCCACCATTTGTTTTCACCATTGTGAAAGCAATAGGCCCTTACCCCGTTCGGGGCTCGGGCCTAATAAATAAATAAATAAATAAAAAAGGAATTTTTTTGTTAACGTCTCGAGCAAAAACAATATAGGTTTCAATGGCACGTGATACATCATTTTAAAGCTTTTGAGTTTACGCACGCAACCGTCACATTTTGGTGAGTGACGGGCGCTGACGCGTCCGTCACGCACCGCCACCATTTGTTTTCACCATTGTGAAAGCAATAGGCCCTTACCCCGTTCGGGGCTCGGGCCTAATAAAAGAAAGAATTGAATGGCCTACAATAATAATCCTTCTTAACCTTTTGTTTTTTTTATAGGCACTGACCACTAAGCCACACCACAGCAGTAATTTAAACTGGCTAAGCACTCCCTCGACTAGGGGCCCAGCAAAGTCCAGAGCAACTTGCGACGGAGTGCATCGCATCAGAGTGGATTTAAAGAGAGACCATGATGTTGATAAAGTGTGGGACGTAGGAGGCCTCAGCCTGCTCACCTCTGGACCAGTCACACCCAGAGTGCTGTGCCTCTTGTGTGCAAGCAGCGGGAATGTGGAGGTAGATAAGACAAATTATTATCCAAACAAATAATGTGATGATTATTTTTGGCAACATTTTGGAAACAGAACAAGTATTCATGTCTTTGTGTCCTCAGTTTGTGTACTGCCAGGTGTGCTGTGAGCCATTCCATCTTTTTTGCTTGGGCGAGTCAGAGCGCCCTCATCAAGAGCAGTTTGAAAATTGGTGTTGTCGAAGGTGTAGATTTTGCCAGGCTTGTGGACGCAAACACCACAAAAATAAAGTAAGCACCACTTTTATTCCAACAGATGATCTTGAAATCCTGTAATTGTAAAACTGTTTTGTGATTGATTTTGTCTTTTCAGCAACCACTACTTGAGTGTGACAAGTGCCGTAACAGCTATCACCCGGAGTGCCTGGGTACCAACTACCCGAGCAGACCCACCAAAAAGAAAAAAATCTGGGTATGTTTTTGTCACAATTTAGTATATTTTTTCCTCGCACAATAGACATTTATCCCTGTTGTGTGTTTGTTTATTTTTAGGTTTGCAGCAATTGCGTGTGCTGCAAAAGTTGTGGTGCCACAAAGCCTGGAAAATCATGGAATGCCCAATGGTCACATGACTTTTCAATGTGTCAGGAATGTGCCAAAGTCAGTTTTAAAGGTGAGCTCAACTTTTGCTTTAATTTTTCATCCTTGTCTTGTTTTGTATGACTGCTCAGTGGACTGCTCAATAGGAAAAATGTTCATTGCATTCTGGGAATCAGTGTGGATCGGTTTTCCAACAAAATTATGACTTTGAGTTGTTTCACTGGAAAAGTAGATGAAAGTATTTTTTATGTATATGTGATCTGTTCACAAGGGCTGTAATCAACAGTTACTTTGATAATCCATTATTCGGACAATTATATCTTGGATTAATAGATTAATCCAAGATATAGTTGTCGGTAGATTAATACATTGAAAAACAGGGCATTCTGGATTTAGCATTTTATGTTATTGTCATTTCACAAGCGTAGCTGCACATTTGTTTTATTGTTAAAAAGATAAATAAATTTGATTCCAGTGACTTCGAAAGACTTAAAGTAGTAGTGAAGTACAAATACTGGAAATTCTATTAAAAAATACAAATATCAAAAGTGTATAAGTGTTTAATCTTCGCGGTCACTCAGTAATGAAGACAAAATGGTCTGTATCTTAGCAAGAGTCACACAAATCTTTGGAGGATTTCTTTTTTAACACCAGACCTCTGTTCCACCTTTTTCAGGGAAACTCTGCCTTCTGTGTAATAAGTGCTATGATGAAGATGATGACTGTGGAAGAAGAATGATGCAGTGCGGCCATTGTAAATTCTGGGTTCACGCCAAGTGTGAGAAATTGACAGGTTTGTGGGTTTCTTCTGTATCATCAAGTAAAATCATTCTTGACAAATACAAACCACGCAATCAGGACAGTGATGTAACTTTATCATTGGTGATACATCACTCCTCTTGACAGACATTACCCATAGGACTGCTTAACAGCCCATTTCTTCCAAAAGAGATATTTAATTTCACACAGCAGCACGTTGGTAGTGGTTAGGGTTTGTTTCCTGGGCCAGGGTCATTTTGTTGCTCTTTTTTTTGTTTTGGATTGATTCATCCTTTCCATATGACATTTCATAATGTTCTCAAACCACTACTGCCTTGTTCTCATGACTGTTTTTTTCTCATTACCAACTAGATGAAATGTATGAGCTTCTGCCCAACCTCCCAGAGAGCGTTGCCTTCACATGCACCAAGTGTACAGACTGCTGTCCAAGCCTGTGGCGAACAGAACTGGAAAGGAATCTTCAGAGCTGCATTCGAACTGTCCTTAATGCCTTGCTGAACTCTCATACATCTATGCACCTTTTGCGCTTTAGGCAGGTTTGTGCCAAACGCGTCTTTATTCTTTTTTAATGACTGAAGAAAGTTCAGTTTTATGTGTATTAACACTCTTATCTGTGGCAGCAATCTGTAAAACCTCCAGAGTTAAACCCAGAAACCGAAGAAAGGCAGCCGTCGCGTCGATCTCCAGAGGGGCCTGATCCCCCAGTTCTCATGGAGGCTACTTCTGAACCCAGCGACTCGCCACAAGATTTAGAGTCGGTTGAAAAGAAAATGGATTTGGGTTGCTACAAGTCAGTGGTAAGTGTGTTTCATGCATTATTCGGGGACAGTGTAAGAATACAGTGTTTCATTTTACTATCACCTCCTTTTTAATGAGATGTTTATGCATAAATAATCTTGTGACGTGATTACAACATTTGGTGAATGAATCTTATATATTGTATATGAAATAGTAATAAAATACATCCACGACTTCATTTGTACCCCTTGCACTTGTTTCACAGATGGAGTTTGGTGATGATATTGCTAGAATAATTCAGACATCAATCCACAGTAGTGGTGGCCAGCTTGAGAGCCGCAAAGCTAACGGCATGGTCAAAGCCTTTTTCATTCGGGTAAGGAGTTCAAACTATTAACTTTCTATAAATCAAGCAGTGTATCCTACCTAATGTATAACATATTTGAACGTATATGTATTAGTGCTGTCAGTTTAATGCGTTAATAATGCCGTTAACGTTAACTAATTTTATGGCGTCATTTTTTGACGCAAAAGTGCCGCAGCTGTTGCTGTCCCTGTAAAGTCTAAGGAGAAGTGTAGAGGACAGTACAGAGGAGCAGCAGTCAGGTGCAAATATATGTGTGGGTCCTTTGACTGACGTGCGCCTGGCCACTGCTGGTGTGTGCACGCCTCGTGACATGAACCTCCTCTACCGAGGTACCGTGCTCTGGTTACAGTCTATGGTCACATCATGTTTGCAAACGTAATTGCTGCTCCATGCGTTCTCACAGCGCATCCTCAGAAGAAAGAACAGGAAGCGGCGAGCGCCCACGAGTGCGTGCACAGTCAAAGTAGACAGTTATGAGGTGTGAGCGTTTCTGATACATTATGACAGTAAGCAAAGTGGCATTTATAATATGATAATATTTGTACCATCTACAGTTCTTCTAAACTGATAAGTGTTTCTTTCTTTCCTGCCAATTAAATGTAATTAAAGAAAACATTACTTGTTCATGAATCACATCTGCATCATACTATATTCTGAATAGTAAACACCCACATCAATCCAAGATCTCTGGCTTCAATGGCTTCTGTAAAAGAAGATCTTGGTTCGATAAAGTATAACCGGGGTGGCCACACTGTTCTATGCACTGTAAAAAGCAATAATAAAAGCAGAGATTGAGTAGCCTCTAGACAATCCAAATACTTTCTTTTTGGAGGGAATTGGACTAATATAAGCTTTTTGCTTCATCCAATGCATTTTCAAACCAAATCAAGGGACATTTAGAACAGGGAAATATGTGTGATTAATCGTGAGTTAAGTATGACATTAATTGCAATTTATTTATTTAAATCGTTTGACAGCACTATTTTATATATAGATATATTATACCAGAGCATGCTTGACAGAATTATAATGACTTTGTTGCTTTAGCAAATGGATCGCATCTTCCCGTGGATCAAAGTAAAAGAGTCAAGGTTCTGGGAAAGACAAAAAGTCTCAGCCAGGTGAGTTTTCAAAAACTGCACATTTTTACATTGTTCTATCCTCATAGATATGCTATTGTTTCACCTTGATTGATAAGAGACTTAAAGTTTGCACTCTCCAAGGAGACAGGTAAGGGACATCAAGTTAATGTGACAATACATTTCTTGATATTGAATTCATTAAGTAGAGGTTGACTATTCAAGAATTCTGGTGGAGATTTTATTCGTACTCATAGTGTTTTCTGAAACACTAAACTAATCACAGAGTGGGACAGGAGTAGACTGAACAAGCTGGTCAGGAGGGCCAGGTCCACTCTGGGCTGCTCCCTGGACTCTGTGGAGGACAACACCTCCCACCCACTGCACAGGACTGTAGAGGAGCTGAGGAGCTCCTTCAGTGGAAGACTGAGACACCCTCAGTGCAAGAAGAAGCTCTACCGCAGGGCCTTTATCCCCACCGCTCTCAGACTGTACAATAAGTCACTTTAAGTCACTTGCATGTTTGCACACTTCTTTCTTTGCACTAATTCTATCCATGCCAGATGTGACATGTAAATTTCTCCTGTGTGAGATAAATAAAGTCTATATTATCTTATCTTATCAGAAAATTTTCATAAATACAGCGTGGTTTAAATACATATGATGTGTTTTATTGTCTTCCTGTAGTGTCCTCCTCCCAAATGCAGTACTGCCGCCATCGTTAGACCATAACTATGCCCAGTGGCAGGAGAGACAGGAACTGTCTCGAGCAGTGCAGCCCCTCTTCACAAAGAAGATCATTCCAGCTCCCTCCCCCCAGAGCCAGAGTGGACCAGATCCAGCCTCATCTCCTTCGGTCCATCCGTCTCTTATCAGACCTCTTCCACTATCACCTGGTAATAGAATACATGTTGAGTACATTTAATACATTTTATTACCTCAATTAAATGTCTGTTTGTCTATGTTAAAGGAGATGAGGACAGCCCAGATTCTCCAGTTCCACCTGGTATTGGCGACAATAGACAATGTGCTTTATGCCTCAAGTATGGTGATGAGAATAATAATGTAGGTGGAAATAGAAGTCATATTACAACACACTGATGACTGTTCGTTAAGCATTTGTAATTTGTCTTGTACCCAGGAAGGGGGCAGGCTGCTTTACATTGGACAGAATGAATGGACTCATATCAACTGTGCCCTTTGGTCTTCTGACGTGTTTGAGGATGATAATGGCTCCCTAAAAAATGTTCATTTAGCTGTTCTTCGAGGAAAGGAAATGGTAAATTACATTGAAATATATTATTGCTTTGAACAGTAAAGACTAATCGATATGTTTTGTGTTTATTATTTAGAGCTGTGAGAAATGTCAGAGGCCTGGGGCTACAGTTTCCTGCTGCCTTACATCTTGCTCCAATAACTACCACTTTATGTGTGCACGCCAATGTCAATGCATCTTCCTGGAGGACAAGAAGGTGTATTGTTCAAAGCACAGAGATTTGATCAAAGGACATGTATGTGGACATTTCGGCAAAAATAAAACCGTAAATTGCATATAAAATGATTTAATGTTTTTATTTGTTAATGTGTTTTAGGCTGTGTCTGGGTTTGCTGTGACTCGCAGAGTGCTGGTGGACATAGAGAGCATGAGCCTCAAGAAGAAGTGGCTGTCAGGACTAGAACCTGATGATATCCACATGATAATTGGTAAACAAAACAAAAAAAATTTCTCTTTCAGTTTATATGTCAAATCATGGAAGAACTTTGTCATAATATTATAATGTGCATTTTCTCCAGGTTCCATGACAATTGATTGTTTGGGAAAACTGACAGAGCTGTCAGACTGCAAACGCAAGCTTTTTCCAGTTGGCTACCAGTAAGATGTTTGTCAAACTCTATGTATATCCTCTTCTCATTGGCTTTAGTGACAATGATAAGAGGAGCGTTCCATCACCTGAGATGGCTGGATGAATGAACTCTATGGATGATCTTAAGCAAAGCAAATGTGTCTTGCTCAACCACATAAAACATAATTTCACAGCGCACAATCCAACTTATTGTTTTGGCTGGTCATCTAGACCTAACACACACAACTATCAAATGTTTTCTTGTGTCTGGTTGAGTTTCCGCCGGTTTTCTCCATTACCCAAAGTGAATAATGGTGGTGCAGATTTGTATGAATGTATTTGATCACGTATGTTAAATCACACTTTTGAGATTTGATTAATTTGCACCGCACTGCAATTTTGTGTCTTTTAATCCTTTTATTAATAGCTGTATCACATGGTATTTGATAATGTTAAGAATGTGAATGGCCACACTTTTCCATCTGTACTTCTACAAACTACCTTTTCTTTAGATGCTCAAGAGTGTATTGGAGTACCATAGATGCACGGAAGCGCTGTGTGTACACCTGTAGGATCCTGGTTTGTCATTCTGCAGTGTCAGAGTGTGATCTGAGAAGCACCATGGCGCCTGAACACAATCTCACAATAGCACACAGCCCCTCTCCTGTAGCAGGTAAATCCATCGTTTATCAGTCTGTTATCTTTTTTCCATTTGAGCTGTAACTAAGTTATTGTATTATTTAAAAAACTTACAGATTTTCCAGATCCATTTGAGTCCCCAAGACGTTCTGACACACTTTCACCCTCATGCGCCCCTAAACTCAGGGTTTACACTAGAAATCGCCACCCAAGTTACCCTCCGGCCGGGCCTCGACCTTTGATTTCTTCAGGTATTTTGTACAAATTTGCAGTGGGGTGTGAAAGTTTGGACATTCCAGATGGAATACTCCTGTTTTGTTGTATTATTTTCTCAGGTCATTTGTTTACAAGAAATGGCAAGACCAATTTACAATTATATATTTATATATATATATATATATATAAAATATTTAATCGCGATTAATCACATGAATTTCATAGTTAACTCGCGATTAATCGCAAATTAGTCACACATTTGTGTGGGTGTGTGTATGTGTGGGTATAGACCATAGACTGTATAGAAACATCATGGTGTCATTATGATGATGATAAACAATCTGTAAATATTTTGTAAATTTGTTCATGTAAATACTCTATGCTGTTTCTCTGTTTACTTTCGGTATATCTATGACTGTATACTGTTTGCTTGTATTGCCTTTTTTATTAACCCCTCCCCCCCATCTCCCACTTCATGTCCCCCCCCCTCCTATGCAGTGTTGTGCCAGTTCAGCTTTTCTGAACTAGTTCAAGTTCAGTTCATACATGCTCAAAGTGAACAGAACACGTTCAAAGTTCACATTTTTAATTCTGAACTAGTTCAAAGTTCAGTTCATTTTACTTTTTTCGTGAGATAAATACATAATTTTTTCACACTACGAGCTATATATATATATATATATATATATGTCCTGTACACCCACAGGAGGAGAGCCTTTTGACTACAAAACAGACAAGATTTACATGGTTTTCAATGGGAGCAAAACGGAGTTGCTCCATCTCTGCTCATAAACTACAGACAGTAATGCGCTGCAGTGCGTGTGTCTATACTTTATGTCAAATGTAAACGGTGTAAACTTTGTCGCTAACTCACCCTGTGTTTTCATCACGACTCGGGCACATGTGAAAAGCACCAGCTCACAGCGCCGCACCACAACACAGAGTCGGGGTGCGTTCACAGACGGTGGAAACCGTAGGAATTTTTAGATTTCGGCGGAAAAAGTGCGAGAATACAGGAGGGAGGAACTTTCTCTCGTCGCGTTTTAAAAGAGAAAACAGATTCCAACGTTCATAGTGATGTCTGCCGTTCATGACACATAAAATGAACTAATTCACATTCAAGTTCTTTTTTAAAAAATGTGTTGCGTTCAGTTCAATGATCACGAAAAAATGAGCGTGTTCAATGAACGCGTTCTTTTGAACTCGTTCACGCACAACACTTCTCCTATGTGCCCTTCTGGGTTTCTTCTTTGGCCCCCTGTATCTCCAACTACATATTGTTTGTAATCTCTGTCTACAATGTATCTGAACTAGTCCTTTTCTTTGTTTCTTTGTTTGTTTGTTTTTTTCTGTATATGTGTTTGTCTGCAATAAAAAGTAAAAAAAAAAAAAAAATTAATTGCGCGATAAAAAAATGACGCCGTTAATATTGATTTGCGTTAGCGCGTTAATAACGCGATATTTTGGACAGCACTAATATATATATGAATATATATATGAATATATATATGAATATATATATGAATATATATATGAATATATATATGAATATATATATGAATATATATATATATATAAATATAAATAAATATAAATAAAAATAAATAAATAAATAAAATTAGTGCTGTCAAACAATTAAAAGATGTAATCGCATTATCGCATATGTCATAGTTAACTCGTGATTAATCACATATTTTCCCTATATTTATATATATATATATATATATTAGTACTTTATCACCACCGTGTATGGAGTGAAAGAATAATGACATGTGAAGCGTCTTTGAGTGTCTGGAAAAGTGCTATATAAAACCAATGTATTATTATATTATGCTTTTACTGTGTGAGTGATTTATGTTGTACAATGTGATTACAGGTGGTACTTCGCAAATCCAAAGCCATCCAGTTGTGACAGCAGGGCATTCACTGCCTAATCCCTCGGTTAAAAATGTTGACTCACGGCGACACAGCTCTCCCTCACTTTCCCCTCCGCAGCCACTTATCAGACAAAGAGGGATTGTGTCTTCACACATCATATCAAGACCGCTAACGTCCCCACCTCCCCTAATCCCATCTCCGGCCAGAGATCCTGAAAGGGCAAAACATTCCGGCAAAGAATCTTCAAACAGGGATGAGGAAAAAAGTAGTCTGTTCTCAACAGAGAAAAACAGATGGCAGCACACAAGAGAACAATCACATAAAGATACAAACAAAGAGAGAGTGAGAGTGTTAAGTCGAGACCACGTCTTTAAGGACACTCATAAGAACAAGTCTAAGGATATCCAGCTAAAGGACCGGGGTCAAGTATCAGCCAAAGAGCTTGAGCAACACAAATGTCTGACCAAAGAGTTGAGGCAGAAGGATACAGACAGGGGAAGAACGGTAAACAGAGACCACTTTAGAGATTCCGATAAAGACAGACAAGTGACTAAAAGCGCTGAAAAGGTAGCCCAACCCAGCACAGTTTCAACCAACAGAGGAACAGAAAAAAACAAAACATCTTCTAGAGCCCAGTCTGTGGATAAAAATGCCTTTCCCAAAAGAGATAAAGGTTTAGGAGACTCTCATAAACATCGGCAGCACAGTAGGGAATCAGGGAAAGACTCAAGCCAAGGTAAAGAACGATCAAATCGTGACTCTGATAAGTGTAGACCTCACTCTCGAGACTCAAACCACAGAAGCACAGAACGGTATAAAGACTCAGGGAAAGAGCATGGATCTCCATTTGTATCAGCTGGTGAGATTAGGAGCTCCAGACTGACCTCTGCAGGTCAGGGCCAGTCCTCTCCTCCTGCAGGTACAGCCGTTGTCACAGGACAGCACAATAACAAAAATGACAGACATGAAAAACACAGAAGCAATGACCAGCAACTTTCTTCAACCCCATCGTCTCGTCACAAACCTCTCTCCTCACCAGACTTTGCCCAACTGAAAGACAAGTCAAACTCAGGGAAGGGAAGCACCAGTGGCTCTGGAAATATATCGGTCACTGCTGTACAGAAGAATACTGGAAAATCAGGCTCTCCATCATTTCAAAAAAGTAGTTCACAGAAATCAAATGATTCCATTCAAAGCCCAATTCCATCAACAGCACTGAAGCCACTGTGGTTATCGAAGGCAGCAGCAGATGATGACACCTCAAAACAAAGCTCTTCCAAACAGCCAAAAGTAAAAAGGTCAAGCAGCAGAGAACAGCCCAAAGATCAAATAGGCAAAAGTCAAACAAGCGGCACTGACGCCTATTCCATTATAAACAACACTAATAGTAAAATTACAGGTAGCACAAAAGCAGATACTCACAAATTCAACAAAAATGGCAAACCACAAGTGACCCAAAATCACACCAAAGGGCAAAGCAAAACTCAAGACTTAAAAGAAGATAAATCGTTTTCAAAAAGCAGACAGATGCTTACAGAGTCTGATAAAATGATAATCCCTGATAATTCAAACAAAATTGGACAAACAAGCTTAACCGTAGAAAAGTTACAACCCAAACACAACACAAATAACCAGCTCTCTGTAAGAGATAAATCATCTGCATCAATACCAAGCGACCCTAACAGTACTAACACACTTGATGGGATTTCTCCTTCGTGTCATAGCACAGTCACTGCCTCTTCAGTCTTACCTCCTGGTCAGGGAGGCGGCAGGGAGATTCACTTCTCCTCACCCTCCGCTAACAGTGACAGTTCAGAGTCAGACACACAACCTCACGCTGCAGAAGTGTCTCTACCAAGAGGGTATTCTCAAGGCCTTCTCGCAGAGGACGACCCAGAAGGGCAGGATGATGACCATCAGAGCTTAGATGACAAACATCATGATGATGACAGTGATGGTTCAGGCTCAGCAAAGAGACGTTATCCTCGCCGCAGTGCACGTGCCCGCTCAAACATGTTTTTTGGTCTCACACCTTTTTATGGAGTTCGCTCTTATGGTGAAGAAGATCTTCATTTCTACGGCAGTGAGGAGGTAGCTGGGTCAATGGTCAAGAAAAGATCAGGAGTTCGAAAGAAGTCTGCTGAAGGACAAGTGGATGGAGCAGATGATATAAGTTCATCTTCTTCATCTGGTGATAGTGGTGAAGATGATGGTAGCCATAACCCATATTACTACAACTTCACCCGGACAATCATTAATCCTGGGGAGGGTCTCCCATCTATAGAAGGGATAGACCAATGCCTCGGGCAAGAGTCCCAACTTCAGCGCTTTTTAAAAGATGAGGAGCAACAGAAAAGGCAAGCGGACACTGAGGAGGATCTGCTAAGTGAATTGTAAGTACAGTAGTAAAATCCAAAATTAAATATATGTTGATGAATGTATATTAATAGTGATGGTTTATTTTGTTTTACAGGTCCTTGGGACAGCAGCATATTGGTCAGCTGGATGGTGTTGACGATGGATCCGAGAGTGACACAAGCATTTCCACGACCAGCACAACAAACACCATAGCCACCTCCACTCCACCTAAGAACACCCCCAAGAGAAGGACAAGGGAAAGGCACTCTGACAAGATGGACTCACACCCTTCCAACAAAGATTCTGACAACAGTGGTGGTCCAGGGGGTGGAAACACACGAGAAGGCAGGAAACACCAGAAGGAAAACTGTCTTCCTCATGTTGGAAAGTCTCAGGCACAAAGCCAGGATCCTCTTGATGCTCAGCTATCCCTCAGCACTGATCTGCTCAAGTCTGACTCTGACAACAACAACAGCGATGACTGTGGTAACATTTTACCATCTGACATAATGGAGTTTGTTCTCAACACACCCTCTTTGTCCATGCAGACTTTGGGCCAACAGGCTGAGTCTTCCTCATCAGAACTACTGCTTGATGAGGGCTTTGTAGGAGTAGATGTCAACAGACGCAAAGACATTCTCTTTGATGACTTTTCACAGCCCCTGTCCAGTTCTGAAAGTGGAAGTGGAAGTGGAGTGGAGAGTAATGTAAACAACTCCATGTCTGTGGAGGAACCATACCTGCCCTTGGAGCTTCCCTCTGACTTGTCTGTCCTCACCACTCGCAGTCCAACAGTAAGCGCCAGTCAGAACCACACTGCTGGCAGTCTCATAGCTGACCCTTCAGACCGCAGCATGCTGAACTTAACCACAGACTCTGAAACCATCAGAGGGCGCAAAATTAGCCACAAGAAAAGAGAGGAAAATCAGCACAACACGACTTCTTTGGGAAATCAAGATGTGACTGAAGGACACATGACCCCGGAGCAGTTTATTCCTAGTCCTGCTATAGGCCAGGCAGTAGAAACTACTGTGAACCCTGATGTTCCTCGGGCTGCTGGAACTCCAAGTCTACCAAGCTCTCCATCTATCTCACTTAAGGGTCAGAAATTCCTCCCTGTAACATGCAGCCCTAGCCCAGTTACTGTCACTGGACCGCCTCAAGTTTCAAGCCCTGCAGTCATCAAAACTGGCCCAGATAAGCTTATTGTGGTTAATCAGCAATTTCAGCCATTATATGTCCTTCAAACTGTGCCAAATGGAGTTACTCAAAAGATCAGTGCTACAGGAGTAATGGAAACTGGTTCCCCTGCAGTGTTAAGCTCCATGACTTTGACAACTGGTCTAAACACTTCTCTAACCCCTGGTCAGCAAATATTTCCTGCTACAGGAAAGGTTCTCAGTACAGTGGCTCATCCCACTCAGATTCACACTTTCACAGGCGCTACTCAGACCGGCTTTTCAACAGGAATCCCAAGTACCACATCAGGTCTGCTCATTGGGTTGTCCTCACAGCCTCAAGATCAATCCCAGTTTCTTGTTTCAGAAGCTGGTCGACCCCGTGAATTTTGTCCAAACCTCACTATCGTTTCTAGTCCCTCCACAATAACCTCTTCATCTATTCTCCCTTCGGGTCATGGCAAGAAAAGACCAATATCCCGCCTCCAGCCAAGAAAGAGCAAAAAACTATCCCGATCTCGAAGTCAGCCTTCTTTGGCGCGCGCCGATGTAGGCCCCCCAAATATGACTCTCATAAATTTCTCCTCATCACAGATTACCAGCATTCAGGGCCAACCTACTGGTCTTGTTGAAGTGAATGCCCTTTCAGCATCGCAACGTAAAGTTCCCAACATAATCAAACGACCTAAACCCGGAGGGGTGATGTACCTAGATCCCACAAGTCTTCTTCAGCAGAGAATTGCCTCCACTCAATCTGGAATTATCGGACATGATTCCTCAGGTCATCTTTTGCCGTGTACAGTGTCCAGTCTGACCCCAAGTCAGTCAGTGTTAAATGTTGTATCTGTGCCTCCCAGCGGAGTACTTGGACCAGGAGTCTCTTTGTCCACTCCTGTCTTAAGCTCCTCTGGCATCACAGGCCCAATAAGTAGCCTATTATTCAAGGCTGGTCCCCATGGTTTGGGCTTGTCTGATCAACCTGTTGTCCTTCAACCAGGTGGAGGCCCCATTAATGTTCCTGTTCAAACATCTATAGCCAGCAGCCTCTGTGTCCTGCCCTCTCATCAAAGCATCAGCATGAGCAAAGGAGAGACTGAAGGCGGTACTGTCCAATACAACAAAACCCAGACCCTGGAATCCGGTCAGAACGCGGTTAGTTTAAATCAAGCGTCAGCCGCCCATTTCAACCCCAAGAGACAGGTAGTAGGAGTGTTTACACGCACACAAACGCTGTCACCGTCTCAGAGCAGTAGAACGACCCCTATTTCCAGATCCTATGAACTGAAGCAGAGTCATCCCTGCACAATAGCACCCGCGACAGGAGGAGAGAAGGGCAAGACAAAAGCCAAGAGGAGTTTACAAAATCCAGAAGTTGTCGGAGGAAAGAAACATAAAGCCTATCAGGAGCATTACAACAGACCGTCAGCAACTCCTTCAGTGAAAGCAAATTCAAGGTAAAACTATTTTTGATGCACATCTATCTAAAACATGCATTATAATAAAGCCAATATGGAACACGTGTCAAAACTCATATGGATAAATTACAGCATATAAGATAATACATTTTGCATAGAATTTGTGTTCTATAAGATTGGACTTCAACCAGAAAGATTTGGATTTGGGCTGGTTTTCAGTGTTTATGTGGATTGTATGTATCGCATGAATGTATTGTATGTAATTACATGTATTGCATGAATATTATATTTATATTATATTTATATTTTATGTTTTCTTTTCACTTGTTTCACAAGTTCTAAAGTATCATGTTCCTCCGAACCAATGGACACTGGCAAACCTACAGACAAGTCAACTAACCACGGGTAACTCTTACTGCTCATCTCATCTTGCTTCGTTTAACTCACACTAACAGGTGCAACACTGTTGTATTCTTAACAGTAAAAAGAAGACCTCCGAATGCCCTGGAAAAATTGTAGGCAAAGGCAAAGTCTCACATGCCAAAAGAGCAGGGTCTCTCATTGTGTCATCTGCACCTGGTCAAGAGGACAACGCCAAAGACTCTGCACTGGACAGCAAGCCTAAGAAGGGCATCATCTTTGAAATTTCAAGTGAAGATGGCTTCCACATCCGTTGTGAGAGTATAGAAGGTAAGAAAAAACACCAATAATTTAGAATATTAACTTATATCATATCCAAAAACTGGGAATGATAATCCGCTAGACTTTTTTTGTTTTTTAAATGAGTTATATTTTCACAGAGGCTTGGAAGTCCCTGACAGATAAGGTGCAAGAGGCCAGATTCCACGCTCACCTGAAGGAACTCTCTTTTGATGGTGAGCTGTAGTGTTGCTTTATATGTGAATGTTTATATGCAACCTACAACTGAAACTAACACATTGTTTAATCGCAGGTGTAAATGCTCTTCGAATGCTTGGCATCGTTCACGAGGCAGTGGTTTTCTTGTTAGAGCAGTTGTCTGGCTCCAGACATTGCCGTAGTTACCGCTTTCGTTTCCACAAGCCTGAAGAGTCCGATGAGCCTCCAGTCAACCCCCACGGCTCAGCCAGAGCGGAAATCCACAACAGGTCTGAAGTTCCCACATTCAAACTAATTACAATCACTTTTATCTAAACTAAAGGACATTCATTCCTTTCTAATTGGATTCATAAAATCATGCTCTTTTTTTGTCATCGTAATGTTTCTGGTCGCACACCTACATGGGCAGGCGGAGACTAGAGCAGCATTGCATGTAATTACTATATTTTAGCTTTTTTTCGTTTTCAGGAGATCTGTATTTGATGTCTTCAACTTTTTGGCCTCTAAACATCGGCAGCCTCCTGCGTACCGACCACAGGACGAAGAGGAAGAGGAGGGTCAGCTCAGGGTTGCCAGGTTAACGCCACACTCTAAATATCAACCCGTTTTACTCATCTCTGTGTTTACATTTGCTTACTTATATTGCATGTTTCATGTGCTGTTGATACAGGCGCGCATTCATGGAATTACCGCTGACTGTGAGGTTCAAACAGATTAAGACCACATGTAAAGAAACCGTGGGGGTCTACAGGTGAGCTGCATGGTTTTGAAGTGAACACACAAATCAAGAGCCCACATGATTGTAAGACCTGACTTTAAATGGTTTCCTTTCAGGTCTCCCATTCATGGGCGTGGTCTGTTTTGCAAGAAAACTATTGATGCTGGAGAGATGGTCATAGAATATTCCGGAAATGTCATTCGTTCGGTTCTCACAGACAAAAGAGAGAAATATTATGACGGAAAGGTGAGGAAATTTAAAGTACCTTTGTCACATTTGCATCCTGTGCTTTTCCATGGTAAAAGTGAAATACACCTTTTACTAAAATGTTAAGAAATCTATATTTCAGGCGTACAAATAATATTCCACTGTTGCAATATTACTTCCTGGTTTTAACATGATGATCACACTGACATCACACTGACATCACACTGAGATTCATTGTGGTACATTACCATAAACACTATAATGTAACACACAGATTATTATTTTATGGAAACACATGTTATGCTTTTTTCTTTTTCCCCCAAACGTTGCTTACAAGATGTTTGTGTGACATCATCCTTTTTCCTTTTACTTTTCATTTTACATTGAAAGAAAGAACTGTCTTGTGCTTTACTTACTACTGTATTGTACGTTTATGTTTTAGGGCATCGGATGTTACATGTTTCGCATCGATGATTTTGAGGTTGTTGATGCCACAGTCCATGGAAATGCAGCGCGGTTCATTAACCACTCGTGTGAACCGAACTGCTATTCCCGAGTCATCACTGTGGACGGGCAGAAGCACATCGTCATCTTTGCCCTTCGCCGAATCTACTGCGGTGAGGAACTCACCTATGACTACAAGTTTCCCATCGAAGACGCCAGCAGTAAGTTGCCCTGCAACTGTGGGGCAAAGAAGTGCCGCAGTTTTCTCAACTGAAGAGGGCTCTGGAAGCCTCCCCGCTCACATCCTGGGATCGGCTGTTGGTAAATCTTTAAGGGCCTTTCTGGAGGAGAGGCTTTTGTAGAGATTTTCAACTTGTGCCTCTTTTGTTTTTTATGGTCTGGAATAGAGATTTATCCAATTACAGAAAGAAAATGGTTTGAGCCTTCATTATACTGTTACTCAAATATTCTGCATTGGCCCATCCTCCTTACTTTCCTATGTATTGTTTTTATGAGAAGATATGTTTGTCCACCATTTTTATTGTTAAGAAGATGGAAATCAAAGAACTTTGTTCCATTTTACACCAAAGTGCAATTTGTTTAAGGGACTCGACAGTAATTTGACTCTTTTCAACTGTTACTGATGCACATTGCCCTGTTTGAATGTGCCCTGATGTACCCCACAGTTGTAGAGATCAACGTGAGGCTTCCCCAGCATATTAGTGTGCATTGAACACTGTAAATAGAGATGGGCTTAACAGTTTGTTCTCGCTGCTTAGACAGGAGCTGTTGATGTGGTAAGAAAAGGCCATATGAATGGTACTGATGAGGTAGTTAGGATAAAAAGCCTGATCAATATGATTTCAAGTATAATTCAATCTACATGAAATGGTTTGTTGTAGATTTAGTTGGGACGAAGAGTCTGGCCTCCAAAGCAAGGCAGCTAGAGATTCTGGTGGACTGACAGCCAATGGACTCAACTGCTGTACTGACATATTTATTAATGAACTAAGAACGTGGTCCAGGCCTCAGCCAGAGAAACACCCTTCTATAATAATGACACGTTTGAAGGGTCTGGCGGGTCATCAGGGGTCTGTGTGATGTACAGGAGAGAGTGAATCAATGCAGGTTGCATGTTTTTTATAAAACTTTGTGATAAAATATAAGCTGAATAAATCACGTTCCAAAAATAGCCGTAAGGAGAACCAAACATTGTGACCTTAAATTGAATTTGAAGAAAAAAAACATGTTTGCACCTGATCAGTATATTACTATAATAATGTTTTGTTTTTTTGTATTGTGGTGAGTTTTTTAAAAGTGTTGCCCGTTGTTTGTCTTTTTTATTATGGGCAGGGAAATCAGCTTGCTTTTTTAAAATGTACATAATGTATATTTTTCTATAAAAATACTTAAAGCACTCACTAGTGAATAGCACTTAATGGTATTTATATTTTTTAAGAAATCATATTTATTTTATTGCCATTTTTCTAGGAAATAGAAGTTTTCAGACAATAATGCTTGGTCTGTGTTTCGTATTTTGCTGCCTTTAAGTTTTTTGTTTTGTGGTTTTATCGTTAAATTTGTAGCTGAATGTTTTCTTTGATTCCAAAGACAGACACTGGTCTGTGAACTGTCCCGAGTTCAGTCCACCAGGAGCTCTTTATTCCAGTGCATGGGTCAGGGCAAAGGTGTTTCACCAGTGTTAGTTGTGTGAATATATGCACTTGAGAGAGTTCAGATTGTTCATCCATTGCAGATATCTCCTCTCTCTAGCCTTATTGTTCTTATGCCACATTATATGGAGAATCCAACACCAGGCAGAAGCATTTGACTTGCCAATAATCCAGAACCACAATACTTGAATTGGTAACAGCTGTTGGAAGTAACATAACAAATACTGTATGTCTGTACTTTGATCTGACCTGGTTGCGAATACTTAGGGTGCCTTTAACGACAGAATGCTACCAACATAAAATGTCTTATCCACTCAGCCTCCACATCTTATACAACCACTCTTTACTGGTGACCACTATTGATCGCTCATCTTTTTGTTGTAGTTTGTTGTAATTATCTTCTTTATGTCAAACTGATCAGACTGTTCTTTGCTGTTGGCGCCCATGTCACACGAAGGCCATCACCTGTCACCCATCTGACCGGCACATGCCAAACAGTACAATTTTGTAATTGGTTGTGCCTGTACAAGTGTGAGCAGCAGAGGGCATGTTTGAGGCTCCAGCAAAGTGCACTTGACTCTTGTTCTGCCATGTAGTGAGTGCAGGGACCACTCCAGCAGCCCCCCTCTCACTGCCACTGTGGGGCTGGGCGCTCTGCTTTAGCCTAGCCCTGATATGAATGTATATGATGAGACCTAGGATGCATTTAGATTTCACTACACTGACAGAAAACAGAGCAGTGAACTATAGCAGTCGCATAAAGTTTGCATTAAAAGATTCAAAAGCGTCACGTCAAGGGTTCCATCGAGGAAAACAAACAGAAGATTTCACATGCATCAACACAATACAAGGATTTTTTTTGTTTCATCATTCTCTGTAATTATAGTATAAATACATACAACAATATTCTATGGAAACATGCATACAAGTTTCTTGTAATTAGTATATAATATATGGAATGGACAGACAAAACTTAGTTACAGTAGCAAACAGACTATAACGGTTAATAGCAATGTCTCAATGTAATATTTAATTGTGTTTCAACCAGTCACTCTTTTGTAGATTGATATCCAGTGCCTGTAGATGTTCTCTCATCACTGAAGGGCATTGCAGATTCTCTTCTGTTTCGTTTACTATTTGTGTTGAATAATGTTAGTGTTACTATGTGGTTGTGAACTTCCAGAGGCCAGCCATATTGGTTTCTCCCCACTTTTGGTTATTTTCATGGAGTCTTGTGTACTCTATAACAGGGACTATTTTAGAAGGCATATCGATGTGTGGTAGATACCCTGTTTCCACCAGCCCTACTTTGCCCTACTTTAATCTACCCCGATGGAGAACATTTCCACTCGCCCTGTTTAACCAGTACCAGGTGCTTTTCCGAGTACCTGCTTGGCCCTCTTGTTCTAACCAGGCTAATGGAAACACAACCGAGTAGAGTAGAGTTGGGCCAAGTAGGGCTGGTGGAAACGGGGCTAATGATTTGTGGAGAATATCAAGTCGCTGTAAAACAAAAGAGATTTATTTGATCATTTGGAGCCCTCGGTCTCTCTGACTCTTTGCTTTTACTTATTCAAATGTACTTTATTTTTAGAAAGTTCTAATGCTGAGTCAATAATTAAAGATGTTATTTATTTATTTTTGGGCAACATCTTTCAACGGATGCTGACCTTATGTAATTTTTCATTGTGCATAGATTTTTCATAGATCAGGAGTGGATGTTATGAAGGCAGTCAATGGCTCCTCTGCCATTAATATACCTTTTGTCTTATCAATATTTCTCTCTGTAATAATAATAATAATAATGGTGTATCGAACGGTCATAGTTTCTCCTGTTTTGACAGTATTTCTCTCAATATACACAAATGAAGGAAAACCAACCATGGTGAAGATAAACCACAAATACTTGGTTGAATGTATAATTAGAAAAAGCATTGTACATATATGTAAAAAGAAAAGTTTCTAATCATGTTTATTTTCTATGCACTTTTTTATTTAAGTGATAGTTTAAATAATAAACATGTCTTTACTCTTTCTTGTCTGCAATGTTCATTTCTAGACATTTCCCCCTTTTTATATTTCCGAAAATGCCAGTCTGGAAATCAATGTGTTTTTGAAATTAACTTACTCGTGTCTAAATTTAGAGAGGAAATGATGATGACAGACCTAAAACATGCTCATTCTGCGCCGAAGCTAACAAACAGCTACATCATAAAAAGTTTCTTTCGTGGGCCCCCTCCTGCTTCTGCCTGATGAGTCAGGGTTTGGAGCTGCTGTTTCAAAGAGCTGCACCTCTCCCAGGTCTCATAAAAGGATTTTACTGCACAGACGTCGCACACTTTCACCATATTCTGCCACATAACTGAAAACAACAGCAATAACAAAACATAGTCCTTCCAGCATTCATAATTCTGTTTTTAAGGATTCAAAACGACCAAAAACCACTGAAATACTGTCACTGTTAATAATGATTCTCAAGTTGAAACAAAACGACGCCAGTCTTTGTAGAACAGATGGAGTCAAGTCTTGTTGGCTCCTGTGACGATTCAAGTCAAACGATTCAATCCAGAGTCAAACAAACTGAGAAATGTACCCATCACAACATCTTCTTTGCAAAGCATTGGGGGAAAAACAGCCCATGGACTTCTCAAACATTTATTATGTCTCAAACCTAATAAAGGCTGTCATTATAAATCAATAACAAATGTTGAAAATCATGGTATTTTTCCGTTAAAGTCCCATATCCTCTGGTGTAAATATTCCTCCATCCTCTCTCCTCCTCTCTGTCGTCAGCCCAGGCTCTAAGTGTTCCTTACCATGACCCTAGTTTTCTTCACTCTCGCTGCAAGTTTGGAAAGAAACGCCGACACCACATTTCTTCTGCGCCCTCAACACGTAAGTCATCTTCAAACACTTGTTATAATGTGTCTTTTGCATGTTCCAATCTATTCTCTTCTCTGCACTTGTTCTTTCATAATTTAAAGACCAAAGCCATAAATAGGGTTAGTTTTTCAGAATCTTTGCCACTTCAGAACTGCACTACACTGGAGTACTTTGCAGTGGCATCACTTCAAATCAATGTTTAATCCCAAACTCTGCCTGGACTGGCTTCTTCTGCTCTGATAATTATATTTGTTGTATCCAAAACAGAATCTGTGTACTGGTACCAGGGGCAAAGAATGAAAATGAGTATTTTGCCAGACCTTTCATCAACACTGCTGATAGCGACATGCAACAGTTTAAAACATTCAAAAGATAAAAGACTTTGTTTATATTGTTGATCACTATGATTCTGAAAGCTGTTCTACTGTGCATTTTAAAACACATGTACAAATATTAAAAGAATGTCTCATTAGATTTGGGATTTGGGATTTATTTTTTCCAGAGAGGTGTGGTTTTTGATGTATTTGAAGTCATGTTTTATTCAGTTTTGGGGCAACGTTACCTTACATGGTTTTGACACACGAACTTGTAAAAGGGCAGTGTGCGGGGTGGAAGATAATGAAATATTTGTAAGTGGTCGTTTTTTGTTTTTGTTTAAAATAGGAACATTGCTATATCTAACTACCCGCTTATTACCTCCTCTGCGTAGATGTAGTCCACACAAAAGAAACGGAACCATTAATATTCATACATTATAATATCTCCAATATTGACAAATGCGTTCATTCTACACACTTTCTCCACAGGTTGAGAAATGACAACTCCTGGACGGTGTTCCATAATCTACTTACTGCTGCTGCTGAAAGTGTGTCATCAGTTGGATGACAATCAGATCCCCCCCAGTGTGTGTATGGGACAGCCTGGTATTCCCGGGTCTGCAGGGGTCCATGGCAGTCCCGGTCAGCCAGGGCGAGACGGACGAGACGGGAGAGATGCTGCCCCGGGAGAGAAGGGCGACAAGGGCGACAGGGGAGACACAGGTATCTACACACAATGCAGCACATTTCCAAATCAGGTTGTGGCCATAAGAGCAGACCTGGGCAAACATACGGTCCAGGGGCCACTTATGGACCGATTCATGTTTCCATATAACCCTCGAACCCCTTTCTCACCCACAGCTTCACACTGTCTCCCCCTATTCACTGCCTAGTGAATGTTTGCAACTTCATGAGTGCTACGATGGCATGTTATACCTAATAATAATCAGGTATTATTGTATTACCTATTAATAATTAATAAAAAACATGAATCTGTCCATAATAATTGCCTTTTTTAGCTTTAGTCCAGCTTTGGTTCAATCCAAGCAATAATTGAAATCTACAATAACTAAAATATTAAATCTATATTCAATAATATAGTCGCAGATGCAAAAGATGAGCTTTTCTGTACAAACTTTTGTTGGTCAAATACGCACATTTTGTTAAGATATAGTTTTTATTATTATTAAAGTCACAGCACAGACATTCTGCTATACCAGCGAGGTGGAGTGGATTATCTCACCAAAGGAGAAGTGCTCGCTAACACCGAGTCAGACAAAACAATATTTGAGAGAAAGGGTCCATTGTATGGGGTGCCGTTTGTAAAAATTCTGTTAAAATTTTTTAGCTGAACATTTTTCTACATTTAGCTCACTTTCCTCACATTTAGCACATTTTCCTCACATTTAAGACATATCTATATCTAAATATTATATCTATATCTAAATGTTAAATGTTATATCTAAATATTATATCTATATCTAAATGTTATATCTATATCTAAATGTTAAATCTAAATGTTAAATCTAAATGTTAAATCTAAATGTTAAATCTAAATGTTAAATCTAAATGTTAAATCTAAATGTTATATCTATATCTAAATATTATATCTATACCTAAATGTTAAATGTTATATCTAAATATTATATCTATATCTAAATGTTATATCTATATCTAAATGTTAAATCTAAATGTTAAATCTAAATGTTAAATCTAAATGTTAAATCTAAATGTTAAATCTAAATGTTAAATCTAAATGTGTCGCCAAGTGTAAAGCTAAATATATAGAAACCACGCCCACTGCAGTGGCTTCAAATCCAGTGGGCCCGCCTTCCGTGCCGTGTGGTGAGTGGGGGCGGTGCCGCGTGTTTTGAACATAGGAATACACGTGGACCGACGTCACGGCTCAAGGCATGTTGGGTCTCCGGCGCCATCGTCCTTGGCCACGGCACAAAATTAGCATTTTTGTGAAGATTCTTGCTTATTTGCTGTAAACTAAGCCACGTGGAGTCCCGTGAGATTCCTGTGTAATCCTGTAGGGTTCTCACCACACGGCACGGAAGGCGGGCCCACTGGATTTGAAGCCACTGCAGTGGGCGTGGTTTCTATATATTTAGCTTTACACTTGGCGACACATTTAGATTTAACATTTAGATTTAACATTTAGATTTAACATTTAGATTTAACATTTAGATTTAACATTTAGATTTAACATTTAGATATAGATATAACATTTAGATATAGATATAATATTTAGATATAACATTTAGATATAGATATAATATTTAGATATAGATATGTCTTAAATGTGAGGAAAATGTGCTAAATGTGAGGAAAGTGAGCTAAATGTAGAAAAATGTTCAGCTAAAAAATTTTAACAGAATTTTTACAAACGGCACCCCATACCATTGTGTGTCACAAAGAAGCAACATCAGAAGTATTGTGTTTATATTTTTGTTCAGTGTAAATTCTATTGTGTAACATGGTCTGGGATGTCAGAGCGCTCACCACTGACTGATCTGATTTCAGGAGAGACAGGACAGAGAGGCTTCACAGGAGACAGGGGTGACTCTGGGCAGAAGGGAGAGAGGGGTCAGCCAGGAGAATGTGCTGTTGCCCCTAAATCTGCGTTCAGTGTCAGACTGTCCGAAAGCCTCTCTCTGCCCCTGAGCGCAGCAGCTTCTGTGCGCTTTGATAAGGTCAGCCTCAACGAGCAGAACGACTACAACACAGAGACCGGACGCTTCACCTGCAAAGTCCCAGGAGTGTATTACTTTGTGGTGCACGCTACAGTGTACCGCTCCAGCCTCCAGTTCGACCTGATGAAGAATGGACATGCAGTGGCCTCTTACTTTCAGTTTTATGGGAACTGGCCCAAACCTGTGTCTTTGACTGGAGGCTCCCTGGTGCACCTGGTCCCAGAAGACCAGGTGTGGGTTCAGATGGCTCTGGGCGACTACAACGGCCTTTACACCAGCCCCAAGACTGACAGCACCTTCAGCGGCTTCCTGGTCTACTCTGACTGGAAACACTCTGCGGTCTTTGCATGAAACAGAGAGAAACAAACAGAAACACATCCACAACTTTCTATAACATGTTTTATTAAACCATTTTGAGTGGCCTACATGAGGTGCAGTCTTTTTTTTATACTTTCAAACCATATGTGGTCAAATGTATGTGCTGTTTATAGCCTCTACATGTCATTAACCTGGAGTCTGGACACACACAGATGGCCCGGGACTACAGCTTTATTGGCTCCATACTCCACCGAGTACTTGAATAGGATCATGGGAGTTTGCCCAACCTGTCCACATGTGCTTTGTGGATTTGGAAAAGGCAATCAACCGTGTTCTCTGAGGTGTCTTGGGGAGGGAGTCAGGTCTGTTCAAAGCAAGCCCAAAATCAAAGCAGCAGTCCTCTCGAAAGCCGTCATAGAATTGTTGATTTGCTAACAGATAAGAAAATCATACATTTACATTACGAATCAAACAGATGAAAACAAGAAATACAGTAGAATAATCATTGTTAATAATAATCACTGCTCAGCTCTTTGAAAACAATGTTGGGACAGTTTGTAGCCGAGTGTGAAGCGGTGAAGATGAGTAAGTAAGTAAATAAGTAATCTTTTTTTATTTATGAGGATCAGCACCTCCAAATCCTGCTCGACCGGAAAAAAGGTGCCTTGCCATCTCCAGGTGGGTGGAGAGGTCCGTCCTCAAGTGGAGGAGTTCAAGTATCTCAGAGTCTTGTTCTCGAGTGAGGGAAGAATGGAGTATGAGAGAGGTGTTCTGTGCATTTCCTACTGATGGGAGACCTCAGGGAAGACCCAGGACACACTGGAGGGAGTCTCTCCTCTGGCCTTGGAACACCACAGGATTCCCCTGAATGAGCTGGAGTGTGTGTGAATAAGACATCTATCAAAATACTGCTTCTATGCCCGGGCAACGGATACAGCAACAACATATTTGCTGTTCATACAATTAAATGAAATACATTTGTCAAAGAATAGATTATAGGACAGAAAGAATGTAAGAAACATTCTCCTCAGCCTTTTTGCTTATGAGTGATGCTCAGGGTGATAACTGGGCAGACAGTGATGTCATATAACGGGTTCATTTCCTTGATTACGCCAATATTCAGCTGTCCATCAGCACAGGTCTACTCTTCCCACGGAATATTCTGTAAATTAACATTGAGCCTGTGGATAAATGATGTGGTTGCACCTTCACGCCTTCAGCAGGAAGCAGCAGTGCGTCAGTAATTGTAATTACTGAATCTCCTTTGATAATCATTTACAGCAAATTGAGCCTTGTGTTCTGTTTCGTTGTGTACTGTCCACTCTAGGTGTGTGGCTAACACATGTAGCCCCTTAATCAAAACACCACTTTCCTAACGACTGCCAAAACAACGGTGAGAGGTGGCACTTTTACTGGCCTGGCCCATGGCTCCATTATGGCCTGGCCTTACCATTCGTAAACTCCAGTCAAAAAAAAGTGGAAAGATTGGGGTGGTAAGACCAGGATACACTTTTAGTGATTATTATTGTTTGTTTTATTAAGGTTAATCCTCACATATAACTACTGCAGAAAATGTGTGATGTATTTAAAGTCGTTTTGTTTGTTGTTTTTCATTGTGTCATTGGTCATTGGTGATGCCAAGAGAGCAAGCACAACGTTTTTTCACCTAACCCCATTAACAAGAACAGTTTTAGACCTGGCTTTGGTGGTACTTATGTAATATAGTTCCTTAGGTGGTACTTAATGTGAAAGGTTGAAGAGAAAGTGACCAGTAATGCCTTTGCAAACATGGCCTGTGGCTGTATCATGGAGGGAAATGGGAAATTCTCCTCTTTCACCAGATCCCCAATGGGAGGTCAGGGGTCAGCTGCAGCCCACTACTGTTTATAAATATATATTTCTCTTGACACTGGGTTTATCCTGTTCTGTTCATGAGAGCAAGTTTAAAGCTGACATGGTAAAAATATAACACAAAACAACCCCCCTCCTTTATTTCTAAAAGAGGGTTTGAGAAATGCCAATTAAAGGTGAAAAGGCTTAATGAGTGGCACATACTATTTGGAGATTAACATTATAGTTAAACCTAAATCAAACCAGCATCTGGCATCAGACCTCACAACACTACCATGTTTTCAATACAAAATATTCACTCCTAAAACACTGATTCTAACTTGAGAATGCAATTGCTCTTTCATGTCTGAAGAAAGCGCTGTAAATAGAATGCAATCATCAGCTGCTTCTTACAACTGAGAGTTTATTAAAGGCTCAAACCACCTTTACATTCATGTTGTTTTCAAAGACATTATTCAAATCAAACATTTGGTTCTTTCAGCATCTAAGGAAAACCTGAATCATGAACACAGATCAGGTCTCTTATAGGGGACATTTTGTTGAATGTAACATTTGGAAGAATTGTTGCCATTCATTTCCTATATGGCACACATTCACAATCATATAAAAAAGCATCAAAGATTGATCAATGAAGTAGTGTAAACAAAAAAGATTGATCAGAACAAATAGTGGATTCCTAGATGTAAACCTCAACACAAAAGCAAAAAGCACATTCGGTTTTGTTCCCTTCACTCTGAAAATGGTCCCCTCACAACCAACGAGGAACTTTTTAAAGATTCTGTGACAGTAATGCACAAGTAGAAAACTGAAAAAAATAATTAAGTCAAAGGAGGCAGCCAAGACACAGATTATACATGAAAGTAAAGCACAATCGTTATGGCATTTATAAACCGTGGTCAAAATACTGCGGTACAAAAACTGCATACATTTTCCCCTTTCACAGCTTGGATATGCTAAAAAAGCACAAGTCAATTTTACTTAAGACAAAAATGGTAGTTACAACACACCATAAAAAAAAGAGTTTCTTAAGGCGTCTATTACAACAACCATTTTATTTAACTCTAATGATTGATGCCTCTGTGCATATAGTGAGTAATATCCTTGTGAGGAAACTAGACCGACTGCTAGAGATAAACATCCATAGTATTGAGGATCATATGACGGCACAGAGGGCAGTTGTGTTGGTAGATGGCTTGTCTTAGCAAAATGTCCGTACAGTCTCTACAGAGACACAAGTGACGGCAGGGCAGCAGAACCACTGTTTTGGCAGAGTCCTGGCAGATCACGCACTTCTTCCTCTCTTCCTGTTCCTTCAGTAGATTTAACAGATCCTCCTCAGGTAAAGGGGTACAGTCTTTATCCTTGTCCTGTTTGGGCAACGGGTTGTGTGTGCTGGAGGAGGGCAGTGCTAAATCTGATGGCTCCAGGGGGTGATTGTCATTGGCTCGTCCATCAGGGGGGTCCCGCCTCTCCTCCTCGCCAGCATCACCATCTCCTCCTGCCCTGTGGTCCTGGCCAGTGCGTCTTGTTCTCAGAGACAGGAGCCGACTGCTGTGACGAAATATCTGCTGCCACAGTCCCCTTTCCAAAGCATGCAGACGGTGCACGTTTCTTTGTAGTTGCTGCACTGTTTCATGTACATGCCGATGGGTATTGTGCAAAGCGGTGCCAACTGATCGGACAAACCTGCACAGTCTTTGAAATAGAGGAAAAGAGTTTATATATTCCACAAAACATGAAGCTGCATGTTGTGTCAGCTCTGGATTGAAATAGGCAGTGGTAGTTACAGCTATTAGAACAGTCAGCATGAAGCCATAAATGTTCAGCACAAAAATCTTAATGAACACATAAATCAATGAAATGGAAAAATCTAAAAGTAGCTTAAATGGTTCCCATAAAAAAGCTGTGGTCCCCACTATACAGCTGTAGAGGAAGGTGAGAGTCGTAAGCGTGAGCTCCACTACTTTGTGCAGAGGACTGGACACTGTCTGTAGCACACCAACTACTCCAACGTAAAGGTTTTGAATGGCAATAAGTATAAAGTTTACCACTGTGTTAGTAAAATAGACCACCAGACTGACTAGAATACCACATCCTTCTTGCAGAGACAGCAGACCTCGACAAAGGTGCTCTTTCCCACGGATCAGCATGTGCATGGACAGGTAGCCCACCATCTTCAGGCTCTCCAGGAGACTCTCTACGGTCAGTATTAAGCTCCCATATAAGGTCACTGATCCATGGAAGATATTTGACGTGGCTTCTGCGATCCACAGCAGACTTAACGAGATGCAATTACAGACCTCCATTAGGAAACACAGGAGGAGCGATGGAATACTGTTGATGAAGGAGACAATAGCCATGGCAGTCCGCACCATACTGTGGACTAGCACGAAATTCAGGTCGAGCAGCAAAAACACGGCGTCCAGGCATTTTGCAGCAGTAGATAAAACGAAGTTAACCAAACCCATCGTCTGTAGCGTGTCAGCGGAAGATCATCGATCCATGAGAATCAGCGTTCGCCTAAAGTTGGGAGTTCATCAGAGTTCATCACGACAGGTTTTCTTCATGACAAAAGGTAACGTTACATTTGTGCAGGTCTGGTCTCTCCGGTGAACGGGAACTCGGTGTTTTCTGTTGACACGACAGCTGTGATTGAATAATCCATAAAACAAACATGCCTAAACCATCGCGCTAACCTTATGCTATCAACATGTTAGCTAGGCGGATGTTTGTTTTCAAATAAACCCGAGGACTTCCGGTCCACCTTTACGTTCGTGTGGTTCTTGTCTGCAAAGAAAAAAAACATCTTCTTAATAAAAGTCCTTTCTGCTGCCTCGTCTAACACTTACATAGAAAAATCTAAATGTTAAATAACAAACAGCAGCCAACATGTTCGCTGCATACGCCATGTTTTGGAGTGAGGTCAGCTGACACTACGTCATATCCGTTTGTCTGTTTGGGGTTTGGGTAGTGGTTCTCAACGTGAGGGGCGAGGTCCCCAGGGGATGCGAGCAAAACATTTTTTTCCCTCTATTTCACGAAATATTTAACTCAATCAAATAAATATAACTTAACTTACTGACATATATTCTCACAAATATTATACAGCGGCAGGGGTCAGAAAGGCTTTTAATGAAACATCTGAGGACTGGCATTTAATGATGCATCTAGGGATCAGTATGATGCATCAGGATTGGCAGGAGCAGTACTTGATCTTATCTGCAGCTTTGTTTCCCGCAAGAACTTGTCCTTTTATGGAGAGCCGCCTTCCTTCGGGTGTCTTGGTGGACCAGTTTCCTCTGTTTGTTTTCTGAATGACTCACTCCTTCCTCTCTGGGTGTTAACAGGTTACAGACCCCATTTTTATCTTTCATCTCTGCACAGCTTGCATTTACAATCCTTTCCTTCTCTCCATGTACACAAGTTTGCAGACACACACTCACTGTCCGAAGAAACATGACAAAAGATTAAATGCAAACAAGTTAGTTTCTCAGTAAATACCATAGACTGTTTATAGTAAATACACACACTTCAAATTTCAAATACGCTGGGACCTATATCTTACTAGCCTGGTCTTACCATACCATTGTACTTTTTTATTTCGTAGGTAAATGATAATTGACCAGAGTTTACAGATGTCTAAGGCTATAGGCTAATATCTAGAGAAAGTGGGGTTGACGCGCACATCCAATACTGAGCAGCGTGCAAAAAAAGTCGATAATAGAAAACATGGAAAGAAAAGGAGATGACTCTGCACAGCTTTTAGCTCCCAAGAGTTTTTAATGTTATCACCACAAGATGTGACGTTTCGGGTCACTACCCTTCATCAGACATAAAGAAACCACAGGCTACACACCTGTATATATACACACAGTAATGACAGGTCACATGACTCATTCGATAGTCAAAAAATAAACAAACAATGAAATTATCATTAAAGTGTAGCCCCCCTGAAGTGTGATGACAAAAATACTATAGCATAGAGATGGGACGGTACCACAGCATATACGTATATACACACAATAATATACACATTACCAAAAAATGTGAAATGTTCACACCATCACATATTTACATTATAATTTACAATTTACAATATTTACACTAGTAAAAGATACCTTTACTCACAGGAAGGTCTAAAGACACACAAAAAAAAATAAAATAAAAATAATACACAAAAAAATGAATCATAGAAAAGGTCTCAGATCAAAGTCTTCGTTTAGACCCTTTGGACTTAGTGTGTCTAGTGTATAAATCCAGTAGGCTTCACGTTTGAGTAATTGGGAGTTGATGTCTCCTCCTCGGTTTGGAAGTTTGACGTGTTCAATACTTGTGTACCTTAATGTACTCACATTGTGTTTTTCTTTTGTGAAGTGGACAGCCACTGGGCTTTTTGTGTCATGATTGCGGATGTTGCTCCGATGTTCTGAAATTCTGGTCTTTAGAGGTCTAGTCGTTTTGCCCACGTATGCCAGGCCGCAGGGGCATCTTAGCATGTAGATCACGTTGTTCGTCTTGCAGCTGATGGTGCCTTTGACTCTGAAGGACTTCCCAGTACTCGGGTGTTGAAAAGTTGTTGTCTTGTGTGTGAAGTTGCACTGCATGCAACCGCCACATCTGTAGTTGCCATGTGGTATGTTCTGGAGAAAGTGTGTTTGGGGCTGAGTGGGTAAGTTGGCCCTCACCAGTCTGTTACCCAAGTTGGGCGGCCTTTTATACACAACTCTGGGTGTGAGCGATAGGTTTTGTAGAGATGGGTCCGACTGGATAATGTACCAATGTTTTTTTTATGATATGTTCGAACTCTTTACCCAGTGGTGAATACTGCATTATGCAGTTGACTTTGGTTTCCCGTTGTTTGTTTTTACTCTTGCTTTGTTGTAAATATTATAGGCTAATATCTTCCTTAAAAAGGCCAATCAAATGTCTGTTTCTTTAGTTATTAAATCCTTCTGAATGATCTGTCTTCATGTACGAGAGTTTAGTTTTATGCAGCACTCATTCTTTTTCTTATGGTTTGAACTTCCTTCATTCAACATTTTGAGGATAAAATTTGTACCAACTTGTGGATGTTTGTTTATTAATTTAAGTGAAATTGCCTGTGTACCCTTAAAATATATCACTGTGGGTGTGGTCAATACTGCAATACATTAAAATAACCAGCAGTGCCAGTGTGGAATTTCCCCTCTGTGACATTCCTCCTTTCTTCTCAGGACCTTCATGACGTCTGTGCATCTGCAGGATGTCCATTGGTTTGCAGCTTCCTGCTTTATGACTCACTGTTGACATCTACCCTTTGTCACATCTCAAAAGAATGATGACCTGAGAAATTTATATTCATAATACATTAATGATTCATATTATTTCTGTAACAACATAACAGTATTGTCTTCCTGGATTGAAGGACACAAATGCAGAGGACACATTTCCCATTTACAATAAAGTATTTCTACTGATGAACTGCAGCTTCTGTGTGTGTTTTTCATTGACCAAGATATTGTACCAAAATTACAAATAACAGTCTGTTTTATAATTTTGCCCAAATGTTCCTGGATAAACAAAAGCCACTGGGCAATTGGGCTGTTTTTATATAACTAATGTCTCATTACATATGATCACCATGGAGAGGGAATGTTTAGATCTGGGCTCATGTTGTTATCAAATAGCCCTTTGTGGCACAGGGGCTGTTGTGACGGAGAGTAGCAGAAATTCAGATTTCTCTGCCACTCATCACGGAGCCCCCTCACCATGCTAGAGCACACTCTGCTACTGCAGCAGATTAGACAATGGTCGTCTCTCATGGAATGGACGGACTACCCCCAAACAAGCTCCTCTGGCTGGCCTCACCCACATTTGTCTTTTTCACATCTTTGCTTATATTAGCTGCTATATTTACAAATATAGATTGCAGATGTGTCACATGTTAATATAAGATGAGGAGGGGACCTTCTCCAAACTTTGTCTCAAAGAAAGAGAGCTGTCAAACACATGTTTTTATTGTGTTCACAATATATTCCCAAGCCACGCCTCTGTTGAACTTAACTTTAACTGAAAGACCTTGAGTGGCTGAACAATGTTATTGTTTTGAGAACTTTCCTCCTATCACCTAAAGCCATATGGAGTGGACTTCATCCTTTAGGAAATGAATGTACAACACTATACCGCCCGTCAGAGACTCATGTGCAAAGTCTATAGAAGTTATCACAACTAAGTTGCCTGTCTCTTTGTAATCTCACACATATAAAACAATATAAAATAACAGGAACTGTATCATGAGAAAGGTTTATTCAGATTTAGATTCAGATTCAGTTTATTTGCCATTTGCAGTAAAAGAACCACATTGGAATACATTAGCAAAAAGTCTCCAGTGTGCACAGACAAATACAGACATAAAACAACATTAAAAGACAAAAATAAAACAAATAAAACAGTAAACAAATGTCACTGTGATATCGATCGACTAAACTATTGACTATTGACCCCTGACTATTCAGGGGTCAAACAATCGTAATTGTAACTGTGCAGTGATCCAGAGAGGAAGCTGAGTTGACAATGCAGGACAATTACAGTAGCCAGACCGAGCACAGCACTGAAGGGCTACAAGTAGGGGATGTGAGTAAATGTTATCGGCGTTCACTGCTTATTTCCAACAAAAAACAAACACAGCCCATATTTCCTGCTGCAGATCTGGTGTAAAAGCAAAAGGAGGGAAAGAATAACAATAAGTGAAAAGGACAGAACACATCAGAAGCTGTCCTCTGCTAAAGTGCAGACTCCTCTGCACAGCTGAACCTTCCCACTATTCAATAATTTCTTTCTTCTAAACTTTGTATCACCACGAAAGTGCCTGAAATAAACTGAACTGAAGAGAAATGTGCAGGAACAGAACAATGTTTAACAGGGGTTTCTACAATGGGGATAGCTTTATAAAGTCCATTATTGTTTGAATTCTGCAGAATTGATCTTGATTCTACTATTTGGCCTTTTTTCAAACTATAATGTTGCAATGGTATATTCACAACACATACTCACTAACATTTAGTTATCATTTTCATCATTACCACACACGTTTTTTATTATTGTTTTTATTATCATTATTATTATTATTATTATTGTTCTTGTTATTATTATTATTATTATTATTATTATTGTTATTATTATTATCATTATTATTATCATCATCATCATTATTGTCATCAAGAGGGGACTGCGTATTTGCAAACAAGTGTTTAAATATGACATATGACATATAAACGTTTGACAGCAACTAGAGAAAACTGGCGGAACTGCATTCTAAATACTAAATCCTGACCACACTCAAAGAAATGATTCAGGTGGTTAGTATTTTGAACTCAAAATACATACTAAACTAAACTCAATAATTGATTGTTGCCAGTTTTACTTAAATTAGTGTGGTCGCAACTAATTTTAAACATGCCCGTCTCAATTAAAAGTTAATACAAGAATCCTAACTCATTTTTGTAACAAATTTGAACTTGATATTCTGGCATAACTGGACAACGGAGAAGTATTGAGTTTGCTCAACATGAAAATCCTCTTGTAAGCCTGGTGGCCCATTAATGAAAAAACAAATATATTGAGTTGATTCAAAATAAATATATTGTGTTGATTGAAAACAAAATGTGGCGAAGCAGTGACGCTACCCAGAATGCATTGCAGCGAAAAATATAAACTTCTTAAAAATTCTACATTTGAGCATTAATTTTAAAACTGAATATGAAGCAAGTCCTAAAGCAAAATACTTGAGCAACATTCTGAATAAACTAATTTGACCAAATAAGTAATTGTATTTATTTTTATCAACCATGATCGAGAGGGCCAAGCCAAAGCAGTCCTATACTCCCTGTGTCACCCTTCAATTTTGAACAATTACTTTAAGGTGGACATGTTTACCAGTGACTGTGCTGGCCCACTCTCATATATATGTGGAGTGAGAGACTACTGCCTAAAATTAACAATTGTGAACCGTTTTGTGAATCTAATCTTTGAAAGATGGTTTTTGAATAAAGATTACGTATTCCTGACTGAAAATCACTTGTTGAATATACTCAAAAAGATTTATTTTCAATGTAATTATTTAAGTTGGTAGTATTGTTAAAATTGAGTTGAACTGATGCTAAAACACTTGCTGAATATACTTAACAAAGTGTCTTTATAACTCAATTATCCAAGTTGGTGGTATTGAAAAAATTGTGCTGGACCAATGATAAAAGACTTACAAAGAATACTTAAAACACAGTCTTGTTCGCAAAACTTAAAAAGATGCATGCAAAATGCTGCCTCAATTTTATTAAGTTTTGCCAATGCATTTTTTTTAGAGTGCATAGAAAGTTCAGTGCAACAATGACACATTGTGTGAAAGAAATGTTGACACAGACAGTATTTTATTTTTGTATGATTTATACTTTAGATATTTTTGGTTCAATCAGAATACTACTTTTTGAACCGTTATGATTTCTGTAAATCACAAAAATGAAGCATTCATTATCGTTACACGTGTTTTACATAGAGTCTGTTCTCATTCAGAGCACTAAAACAAGCTGTAATGCTACAAACAAACCCCATATTCTCTCATCATCACTAATACTCGTCTATCAAGACTTCCCCTGTATAAAAGTAACTCAAAGACAAAGTAAAACATGAACTCTAGGGCAGTATTTTTTACAGTGTACGACCTCCAGCGCTGATGCCCGTGCGCGCTCCTCTCCGCCCCCTCCTCTCGCTTCCTCTCGCAGTTTCCAGGCGCGCACCGCTGTCACTCGCCTCACTCACCCAGGACCAGGACAGGCGCGACCACCACCATCACCACCACCACCACCGCTATGGCTCCACCAGACCCCCGCTCCCTGCTCGTCTTTGCACTTGTAGTCGTCCTGCTCTCCTGTCACACGTGGGAAGGTCAGTGCAAAACATGAATAAATAAAAATAAATAAAATAATATATATAGCGGAGTTATGACTTGATATTCATTGTGCTGGTTTGAGAAACTTGCAAGATTCTTTTAAATTAGTGTTTAAACCATGGATCTCGTTTAGATTTTTAGCACCAATGTTTTTTGAGTCATTTGAATAGAAGCAACTTTACTGTGCATTGTTACTTGCTCTTTCCTAGTGCTTGAGTAGAGTGGATTTGATGGCATTCAGTGGGGAGTGTTTTGAGATCTGAGCTGATAGCACTGTGATACTGACTATAGTCCAACATCTGCTGCTTTTCCCTATAACTTCATGTCCCATTTTACGGTGTATATTTTTAGCCTGTAAGAGTTCTAGTCTGGGAGTTCATGTCTGTGTTCTGTCAGCTCCTGTCAGTGTCCAGTAGTGATCAAGTGGCATAGTGCAAGTGGTGGTAAATACTTGGAAATGTTCAGTTTGTTGTACCCACCACTACTATGATTCCCATTTACGCGATGCATGCCGTGAATGTGTGTGTACAACTTTAGTATTTTTGTGATTTGTTTTTGTAGCCTATGAGACAAGTTCAAGTCTTGATGTGCTTCCTCTTTGCTTCCCTTTGCACATGGACGCCGGATTCTCCACACTTCTTATCAGTTTGATGGCCATGTGAACTTTCTTCTGCCCCGTCCCTGCTTTGTGCCGGTGTCTCCTGTCATGTACTGTACAGGACGCAGCCATCACTTTGAGAGTACATGCAAACATTTACAGTTTTCTCATGCTTGGTCCCCTCATGTCACCCGGTGCATGCCATTAATGATCATGTGCCACTGATGTACTAAAAATAGAGAGTATGTAATACACTTATGTGGCTTCCATCCAGCTACAGGCTCCTCAGACCTGTGTGGAGTTGTAAGCAAATTGGTTAGTCGTGTTCAAAGGGGGCTGCGAGATACATGAAGAAATCCCTGTACAAATAATGACGAATTAGCAAATCATATTATCTGCAGCAAATAACAAATCCTCCATCCATCCATCCATTTTCTTCCGCTTTATCCGTTGCCGGGTCGCGGGGGCAGCAGTCTAAGCAGAGACGCCCAGACTTCCCTATCCACACACACTTCCTCCAGCTCGTCCGGGGGGACCCCTAGGCGTTCCCAGGCCAGCTGAGAGACATAGTCCCTCCAGCGTGTCCTAGGTCTTCCGCGGGGCCTCCTCCCGGTGGGACGTGCCCGGAACACCTCCCCAGGGAGGCGTCCAGGAGGCATCCGGAACAGATGCCCGAGCCACCTCAACTGGTTCCTCTCGACGTGGAGAAGCAGCGGCTCTACTCCGAGCTCCTCCCGTGTGACTGAGCTCCTCACCCTATCTCTAAGGGAGCGCCCAGCCACTCTGCGGAGGAAGCTCATTTCGACCGCTTGTATCCGCGATCTCGTTCTTTCGGTCATTACCCAAAGCTCATGACCATAGGTGAGGGAGGGAACGAAGATTGACCGGTAAATCGAGAGCTTTGCCTTTCGGCTCAGCTCCCTCTTTACCACAACGGTCCGATACAGCGACCGCATCACTGCGCACGCTGCACCGATCCGCCTGTCAATCTCACGCTCCATTCTTCCCTCACTCGTGAACAAGACCCCGAGATACTTGAACTCCTCCACTTGAGGAAGGACCTCTCCACCCACCTGAAGAGGGCAGGGCACCTTTTTCCGGTCGAGCACCATGGCCTCAGATTTGGAGGTGCTGATTCTCATCCCAGCCGCTTCACACTCGGCTGCAAACCGTCCCAGTGAATGCTGCAGGTCCTGGTTGTTGGAGCCAACAGGACAACATCGTCCGCAAACAGCAGAGATGAAATCCTGTGGTCCCCGAACCGGACCCCCTCCGACCCCTGGCTGCGCCTAGATATTCTGTCCATAAATACAGTGAACAGAACCGGTGACAAAGGGCAGCCCTGTCGGAGGCCAACATTCACCGGGAACAGATCTGACTTACTGCCGGCAATGCGAACACAGCTCTGGCTCCGGTCATACAGGGACCGGATGGCCCTCAGCAGAGGACCCCCGACCCCGTACTCCCGGAGAACCCCCCAAAGGACACCCCGGGGAACACAGTCGAACGCCTTCTCCAAATCCACAAAGCACATGTGGACAGGTTGGGCGAACTCCCATGAACCCTCGAGTATCCGATGGAGAGTATAGAGCTGGTCCAGTGTTCCGCGACCGGGACGAAAACCACACTGCTCCTCCTGGATCCGAGATTCGACCATCGGCCGTAGCCTCCTCTCCAGTACCTTGGAGTAGACCTTACCGGGGAGGCTGAGGAGTGTGATCCCACGATAATTGGAACACACCCTCCGGTCCCCCTTCTTATAGAGAGGGACCACCACCCCGGTCTGCCACTCCATTGGCACCGCCCCCGATCGCCACGCGATGTTGCAGAGACGTGTCAGCCAAGACAGTCCTACAACATCCAGAGACTTTAGATAATCAGGGCGGATCTCATCCACACCCGGAGCCTTGCCACCATGGAGGCTACCAACCACCTTGGTGACCTCAGCCAGGGAGATGGATGTATCCGCCCCAGCATCCTCAGCCTCTGCCTCTGAGACAGAGGACGTGACGGGGGGATTGAGGAGAACCTCAAAGTATTCCTTCCACCGCCCGACAATATCCCCCGTTGAGGTCAGCAGCTCTCCACCCGCACCGTACATGGTGTTGGCAAAGAACTGCTTCCCCCTCCTGAGGCGCCGGACGGTTTGCCAGAATTTCTTTGAGGCTGACCAATAGTCATGCTCCATGGACTCTCCGAACTCCTCCCAGTCCCGGGTTTTTGCCTCTGCAACTGCCCGGGCTGCGGCACGCTTGGCCTGCCGGTACTGGACAGCTGCCTCAGGAGTCCCCCGAACCATCATGGCTCGATAGGACTCCTTCTTCAGCCTGACAGCTTCCCTTACTGCCGGTGTCCACCACCGGGTTCGGGGGTTGCCGCCGGGACCAGCACCAGAGACCTTGCGACCACAGCTACGGGCCGCCGCATCGGCGATTGAGGCAGAGAACATGGTCCACTCGGACTCCATGTCCCCCTCCTCCACCGGGACCTGGGAGAAACTCTCCCGGAGGTGTGAGTTGAAAGTCCGTCTGACAGGGGGCTCAGCGAGACGTTCCCAGCAGACCCTCACTATACGCTTGGGTCTGCCAGGTCTGACCGGCTTCTTCCCCTGCCAGCGGATCCAACTCACGACCAGGTGATGATCGGTTGACAGCTCCGCCCCTCTCTTTACCCGAGTGTCCGAGACACGCGGTCGAAGGTCAGATGATACGACAACAAAGTCGATCATCGACCTCCGGCCTAGGGTGTCCTGGTGCCACGTGCACTGGTGGACACCCTTGTGCTCGAACATGGTGTTCGTGATGGACAAACTGTGACTGGCACAGAAGTCCAACAACTGAACACCGCTCGGGTTCAGATCAGGGGGGCCGCTCTTCCCGATCACCCCTCTCCAAGTGTCACTGGCGTTTCCCACATGGGCGTTGAAGTCCCCCAGGAGAATAACGGAGTCCCCGGGCGGTGCACCGTCCAGTACCCCTCCCAAGGACTCCAAGAAGGCCGGGTACTCTGCACTGCTGTTAGGCCCGTAGGCCGTCACAACAGTGAGAGACTTGTCCCCCACCCGGGAGGCGGAGGGACGCGACCCTCTCATTCACCGGGGAGAACTCCAACACGTGGCGGCTGAGATGGGGGGCAATGAGAATGGCCACCCCAGCTCGCCGCCTCTCCCCGCGGGAAACACCAGAAAAGTGGAGCGTCCAACCCCTCTCAAGGAGTTGGGTTCCAGAGCCCAAGCTGTGTGTGGAGGTGAGGCCGACTATCTCTAGTCGGTATCGCTCAACCTCCCCCACAAGCTCGGGCTCCTTCCCCCCCAGTGAGGTGACGTTCCACGTCCCGAGAGCCAGCTGTTGTGTGTGTGGACTGGGTCGTCGAGGTCTCCGCCTTCGACTGCTGCCCAGTCCTCTCTGCACCATTATGCAATCATAATCTAATCCCATATTTTTTCGCAAATCAACAAACAAGATTCTTGTCTTCCACAGATCAGTGTTCCCCAACCCTTTTGAGCCATGGAACATCTTTTTTTTATTGAAATCATGAGACACACCGACTGAAACTCATACAATCCTGAAACTCTGCAGCCTTTACTAACATGGCACATTTTCATTTTCATCAAAGTCAAACAAGTCTTTCTAATCTTTCACACCAAACAACATCTCATTTTTTCCTTATTTCTCTTCAAGCTTTTAATCAGTAATACTTGATTGTAAATTAAGAGCATATATGCACATTATAAATGATATAAATTTACATATGTACACAAACATACATCCAAACATACACTATGGGTTTCCTTTGTTCACTCCAGTCGAATCCTGAAATGAAGTGAAGTTAGATCTCAAGGCACAAAAAACACTGCCATTCACATTCATAATTCTGCTCATTGTTTTGAAAATGTGGTAATATAATATGTTTCAGCCCTAGCATCTGGAAAAATCAAAGGCATTATATTATGTATGAAAGTCTGAGATATGATGTGCAAGTTGGAATCAAAGGTTAAAAAAAGCGTTCTGGAAACAGTGGAATGGAACGGCCACAGGTTTATGTGTTATGCCGGCACTGCCACTGACTGACTGGAGAAGGAAGGACATGGGATGTAAAAACCTAATGAGCATAAAACTGCATGTGGAAGGAGCTGATTTTCTGCTGATATCAGACAAAAGTCAGGAGCTGAGGAGCCGAGAAGGATGCTGTTCATTTCCTGTCAACATCAGCCAATCGCAGCAGGCCAAAGAGCAGTGACCAGGGACCTGACTCTTCCAAAGGCCATCAGTGTGAGCAGCTGAGGCTGGGAGCCACTGCCCCATGTGCCCTGGCCCCTGACAACTGCTGGTGCAAACAATCATTGCCTTGTTAAGAGTCAGACCGCAGCATAGAACTTTCAAGACTCCCAATCTAGCA